TCTTCAGTCGGCCCTGGCAAAGATGGTGACAGTTGCATTGTGTGCAAATGAGTTGCAAAACTTGTTAAGGAACTGCAGGAAACTGCTTGCCACAATAACTGGAAGAAAGGGGTCCAAGAATGGTGGTTCCATGTGCAATTCAGTGCCCAAGAAGCCCTGTTTAGCCGTTATACTTGAACAGGTTACAGTAATGCAAGTAGAGATTGTGGGGCCCTGCATGCTAGCTCTGCCCCACCCCATGAGCCTGCTGGACCCACCTGCTCCTGCCCCAACCAGGCCATGCATAGAAAGTTCATCACAATCAGAATCCTGATAACTGTCAGGATGCTGTCAACAGCTCCCGGCTGGTTGCCCAGGAAAGTATTAGTGGCATAACCTGTTGGCGTTTCGCAACTTTCTGACTAGTTGCAGGACCTTAGCCAGACCTAGCAGAGTAAACGCAGAATTCACGAAAACAATTGGCAACTTGGCTGCAGACAGGATGGACGAAGCAGAAACCAGGAACTTGTAGTTAGATGTTTATTATATACAGTGGACTATTTACAGGAACAGAACAGAACACGGATCTTTAGCTAGCTCTCTCATACACGACTTACAACTCTCAACTCCTACACTCATACTAACACACATTCCAGTTAGTAGGCCATTAATTATTATTCCCCTGAGAGAGCTTGACCAATCATGGAGCTGTCTCCATGCCTCTGTATCACCATTCAGATTACTCCTTCATATTGCCTTGGCTGTCTGCCAAACCCTAATTGACTTTGTGTGAGTAGCTGCACGTATTCAGATTCCCAACAAGTATAAAGACAAGGAAAAGTTTCTTACAGTCCTTTTTTATTTCAAACCTTACAGAAAGAGGCTATAGAACCCAGCCTCTTGGATAATGGCGTTGTCCCAAGTGAATCTCCACCCCACCCCCCATCTCTCCCATTTCCTCATTCATCATCATCATTAGCACCTCTTCTACAAGTGCTAAGTGCCCTCTGTCTTTGAGCTCTTTGCTCTCCTACTTTTAAACCCACCGGGTTCTGGGAGATGGAGGGTCTGGAATGCTTTCTAATAACAATGTGTCATGCTTTGGCTCTCCCATGATTTCCCAACTTTTCCCCTCATCTGCTTCTGAGCTGCTACCTTCCTCAACCCCCTGTTGTAAATCTATACAGTCATACCTCAGGATGAATACGCTTCAGCTTATTTTCGGGTTGCGCTCTGGGTTTATTTCAGCTTATTTCCGGGTTTCGCCACTCGCGCATGCACAGACACTCAAAATGACATCACGCACATGTGCGGAAGCGGTGAAACGCGACCCGCGTACTCGCAGTCGCATCTTACATTCGCTTCAGGATGCAAACGGGGCTCTGGAACAGATCCCGTTCGCATCCAGAGGTACCACTGTACTGTCTTCCTCTTCCTTCTCCCTGGAAGGGTCAGGATGGGGAGGCGGTCTCCACCATTCTTCCTCTGCCCAGTCCCTGACAATAACACAAGAGTTCCTGGTCCTCCCAGGGCCTTATCCGCTGAAGGCACCTATGAAGCCTTCTTCATATCTTCTCACTCAAAACTGGGGTTGACTGGTGTGCATTCCACCTGATTCTGACTATTGTGCTTTTGTGGTATTTGCACAAGGAAGAGCCCACACTAAAGCTTCAGTCTTAGCTGGATGATAACGAGACTGGGCCCAAGTAGGAAAATAAAAAAGGGTTTGGACAAGCCTGCACAGTGCAGACTGGAAATGCAAGATAACGGATGAGGCTTTGGGCTATGAGATGAGAGCAGGAACTAGCAGTGTTACACCCTCCATCTGGAAGAGTAAGAAACATTGAAAACAAGAATCTGGTATACAATTTTTGAAGAGCACATGGCTTGTGGTTTGGGAGTAGGGAGGTCCTTTGTAAAAGAAACAGCTGTCTGTTGCATATGTTATCTCCCAAAGTCAATTTGAACTTTGTGGTTCTGTGATTCTATAAAACCAATTAGAACTAGTAATGCTCCAAGCCCATTCCCACCCAGCTAAGCCCCCTCCCCATATCCTCCACACACCACATTCCCAATGCCATGGCAAGCGGTTTTTGCTTAAATTTTCAAATTGGTTAAAAACATGTTTGAGGGGGAATGCATCAAACAGCAGCATTTCTCAGAAGATCACAGGGTGTGCATGAACTGTGGCTGTACTCAGCTTCAAACACCAGGCAATTGTTATCTCACCCTTCCAAACTTACGACAGCACTGAGACACCATTTGCCAAATAGTCCAAAATATGCATGCCTCTTATAATGTTGATACATGTGAAAATTGGGGCATATTCCCTTAAAATACTAGGTAAGGGCAGAATCCCTTTGGCACAGACACTAAATTTTACCTGACATTGTATTTGTACTTCCCTATACGTACCCAAGCACAAAATATCTAGCGAGAATAAGGCCTTGAAAGATTTTATTTTTCGTAGACACAAGGTGTTTACTTAAAAAAACCACTTTATTTACAGCATCCAACTTTTTCTTCTTCAACATATAAAATTCACAAGGCATGTGGAGAAAGTTTGCACCAGTGTTTTGTTCACAAAAGCATATATACAAGCCAAGGTTTTTAATTAGATGCAGAATTAGATGTGTCAGGTAAAACATTATTATTCCAAACAGAATTATATTCCAGAGAGTCCACTTATTATACAGGCAGGAGGTAACTTCACAAGAAGTTATAACATAAACCTTCATACAGTGAAGAGAGCACATTCAAAAGATGATACACAACCACTTTTCTTGGCAGTTCATTACCTGTGAATATGATTTTTTAAATGTCAGCAACCGTCCCCAAATGAAGTGCTTGGATTGAGGCCATATTTGGCACAAACTATAGAAATCTTTAGAATACTTTGGTTAAGATTCATGCAGCTTTCAATCCATGCATCTCAACATTAAGAATCAAGGACTCAGTCACCTCATCATAATCATAAGGTATCATGGCCATACCAAAGCCCGCAAAGAGAACTAAATCTTACTGGAATGTGCTACCCAATATTTGTGTGAAAATTTCAGGATGTGGCAAAATTTAGTTTAGAGGGCTTTATTGTGAATTTTTATCATACCAGGAAGCTGGCCAGTTCACTTAGAATCCCCCCTGGGGGGGGGACAATGTTCTATTATAATTTATAGTACACATTTGTAAGTGTATAGCAATGACCCTGTGGCTTTCTTCATTGCGGGATGGCTTCCATCACGTCAGAATGAAATCCTTACATAGGCAGGAATGTGCTTAAAGCAAAAAATAAGAGGTCGTGGATCAAAACAATCTATAAATGAGGATGGACAATCCACCCACTTCTTTCAAAGCTGAAGAAAATTTTGAGACGATGAGTAGGAAGTGGAACACAGGAAGCTGCCTTATTCCAAACAAACCATTGGTCTATCCACCTCAGTATTGACTGGTAAGGCTCTCTAAGGTTAGAGACAAGAACCTTTCCCAAGTCCTACTTGGAGATGCCAGGAACTGAACCTGAGGACAGGCCCAGGGCTGACCAGTATATCGTGTTTTGAAAAATAAGACTTGGACAATGGTTTTGCAGAACGAAAACCCATGGGTGAAAACAACAACAGGTCAAGTGCTAGGAGCCGCTCTAGGAGCAAAGCAGCACATGCAATTGCATGTTTATAGAAACTATAGGAAGGTACAACAAATTTGATTTTTTTGGCAAGGGGGGAATCTTGACGACTCTTCCTGATCTGCAAAAGTTAGAGCAGTATAATAGTCAAAACCCTTGCTTCTCCTGAGAGTTGTCTTGGATGGATTGTATCAAGCTGCCACAGACATTCTTTGGCAAACATGTATCCTAACGATTTCTATATTCCCTGGTGTTAACTCACTGACATGGATATTTGAAGCTGGTGAAACCTCTCACTTGCACACAGACACATTTGCAAGAGGTGCCCATTTCTTTAAGGGGAAAAAATGAGTAGGAACATGATCTATATTTCCAAGTAAGATATATTACATGTTTATTTGCGGCGGACATTTTGGAAATAGGAACGACACTGACCATCACCCCTCAAACAAAATATGTTTGTTATTTTGGAAATATGCAGAGTACAGTTAAGAAGTTATGCTATTTAAGATATGATTGGGGGGATATAAATATATAACCTGTATACAAAAAAATCAAATCGATATTACAGATGGACACATACTAAAACACAACAGTCTCAGCTCATGCTACAAAAATCCATACATTCATTCACTGAAATGGCAGGAAAATACACAGGCAGGAGAGAGAATCATTTGTTTCAACAGTGCTTTCAACTGATAATACAGAGCAGCAATACTTTGGTGAATTATAACCATAGTTCATTGCCAGCGTACAGGTAAACCTGCCTAACAATCCCTTAGACCAGCCTTTCCCCCACTTGGTGCCCTCCACCCCACTTTCCCAGAAATCCCACTTCTAATTTCAAGTAAACAAGAGGCATTTGAAAACAAGACTAATAAAACTACCACCTACTCTCATTCCTTCATAATGGTGTTCTGGGGCAGCCCAATCAAAGGGAACTAAGAGACCTGCAACGAGCACCACATTTCGGTAAAGGCAGAGTTAAAAAACCAGTGTGCTCAGCCGTAAGGTATTTACCCCTGGAGGAAAAGGAATTAAGTGTCAAAATGGCACTGGGCATATTTGGCAAATGCCAGAAACACTCCTTGAAGACAAGGGATGGCTAAAAGGCACTTCTGTTTCCTGGGATGTCCCTCATTTCAGCATTGCAGGGCTGAAGGTACCAGTGGCTGCATGGATAGAAGGGCCTTCTACCTGCACAGCTAGACCTTTAGATACAAGCCAAGAACACCTCCTCTAGATGCCCTCTTATGCTATGCATTGGACACCCAGCTGTCAAACGCCACTCCCCAGGCCTGTGGCAAGTGCTTGCCAGCAGCTGTTTAGCCAAGGGGGCATTGCCACGGATAACTTTGCCCTAGATGAACAGCAGTCGCCAAGCGCGAGCCCAAGCTGCCTAGAATTGTGTGCTATTTATATAGGGCTTGTCATCGCCTGCTTCTTTGTAACTGTGCTTTGAGCAGCTGTGCTTTTTGACGGGCTCCTCGGCCCACGTGGGTTCATTGGGAATCTCCACCACGTCTTTCCTGTGGAAGACTTTGTGCAGCGAGGGAGACAGGCTGCTCTTCTTCTCGTTGTAGCCGTTGACCTCAGCCAGGGCCGCTTCCTGCTGGCTGCAGCACAGCTGTGGGTCACAAGCTCTGGAGATGCACGGAGTGCTGCATAGGACTTCGGGGTTCTTCTGGTCAGTGTACTCTGGCTGGATGGTGACTGAGTGGACCCCCGCTTCGTGGAACAACTCCCTCATCTTCTGCGAAGCGTCTTGGTAATCGGAACTGGTGTGGCATTTGACGTGGAGGGTGGCAATGTTCTTCCCACTGACCATCTCCCAGACATGCACCTCGTGAATGCTTGTAATGCCTGGCACTTCGAGCAGCTTGTTTGCTGTTTGGGGTGGGGAGAGACAATAAAAACAAGCAGAAAATAAACTCAATGAGATTTCATGAAGGGTCTACTGGCAGCAGTGATTTGATCAGAAACACTGTTCAGCAAAAGCAGAGAGAACCTTCCAGGACAAATACATTTTACGGGAAGGTCATGGCCAGATCCAAAACATTCCTGGAAGAAGCAGAACAACTGGGCCATGCCAAACTATGCCTAGAGTTTTCCTGGGCTGCAGGGGCATCAGCACAGCACCACACACGATAGGAAAAGAGCACAAGTTCTGGAAACATTAGCTGATTGAATCAAATGTAGATACTAAAAGCAGACCCGCTAAATGGCAAGTATCTGTATGGATTAGGTACCAGCGTAATTTTAGGAAACCCAGCACTGGGTATTTATGCCTTGCATGAGGTTTAAAACATACAAATGGCAACATCAGGTTCCCACCCCCCCAGGCTGGAAAGCTATCCCCATGGGACGGCATAACTCGGGGGGGGGGGGGATATGTCTTGGAGACTTGGAAAGTTTCCGCACAAGTTTAAATTCAAAAGCAAAAAAAGCCCCAAAACCTTCACATGGTCTGAGTGTGTGCATAAGGCAAAAGATTTATTTTTATACTGCCCAACTAACAATGCCCTCTGGGCACTTAACCGTTATCCTTCTACCTTTTTACATCTATAGATGTATGCAGTGATTTCAGGGAACAGCAGCTCAACGCCTGCTGTTTTGCATGAGTACTGTGTTCTCAAAATGCATGCTTTCACTAATCCACCAAGATTTGAGTCATGTTGCTAAGACACCACCACGTGAGTCAGTTTCTCAAAGCTCCTGAGAATGCAGAGCTGGTGGTGGGGCGCATAATCCAGAAATGTAATTCCAGGAATAACACTGGCTTTTTAAGTACTTCGGCAGTAAAGTGCAACTTACTCAGCAACTGCATATTAACACTCTTGGGAACCATCTGCAGTAAGATTGTTGCCGTCTCCTTGATAAGCGGGAAGGCTGACGAGAGTATGATGATCACCATAATTATGGTCAGGCTTGGATCAATGTAGCACTCCCAGTTGCATGGGGTGTTCTCGTCCAGAGGAAGTGCATAGAAGATGGAAGCAGCCACTACAACGATAACTGAGCCAAGAGCATCCCCCATCACATGCAAAAGAACACCTGAAATAAAGGACAGGAGAAACATTTGCTTTGATGATCAGATTTTGGGTGGTTCAAAGGCAGTAGATGTCAGCCAGAGCTCGATCAAAACTTGCTTTTGAACCTAACTTTTTATAAATAGGACAATATTAAAATCAAGGTTCCGCTTTCACATGTGACCTAGACCCATAATTCCTAATGCCGTCACAGAATGACTACATTCACGTGAGCACTGGTATTAGATTCAAAGCATTAACTTTAAGAATGGAAGAGGACATTATAAGTGAAATTTTACTTACATGGGTGCTCAGCGATGCAAGTGAAGACTGCAATGGGTCCATTTTGCCACATGTACACATAGTGAGAAACCACCATCTATTGTGGCTTCCCATTGACCCAGAACTGGCATCCACAGACACTTATGGACACACTGTTAAGACCATATTCATGGCAAAGACAATTTTACTTGGCTATGGGTGATCGCCAAAGAAGAAGACATGCAGTAAAGCACATGGGCACATCATCTTCACACACTTACGTTCTCCTATGCCCGTGTAAGTAAAAAATAAAATGCGGAGCGTCCCTAAGCTCTTCGACCACAAGCCGAAAGCTGGATCATTTGATATTGTTAATGCGTCACATACATGGACATCATCATGTGTAAAGCATTCTAAACTTGGCCTTCCAGGAGTCAACTTGGCTGCATCTGAGCAGCTATAGTCTATCTGTATTCTTTTTATTTGGTCAGTAATTTAATAACTTGTTGGGTTAAATATGATTTATTGATATCTTGTACAATGGCGGAGGAATCCTGTCTGGCACACGGGGTGGCACAGCCAGTACGGACTGCGCATGCGTGGCAGCCCATATGGTCGCCGTGCGAGAGGCAGCCTGTATGGCCGCCGCACGTGAGAGAGGCAGCCCATTGGGATGCCCGTACAGATGGCACACAAGAGCGGCAGCACCCATACGGACTGCAGGCACCCTCGGGCACTCTACAGCTGGGGGGAGGCAGGGGCCATCTTGTCAACCCCTCCCAGAGTGGCACCTCTGCCGCCCCTTCCTACGCCGCTGATCTTGTACTATAAATGTATTTAGAAATGGTGGGAATAAACCGAAACAGGTCACCAATAAAGAGGGTCCCCCAAAATTGGATGTCGTCTATCCTGTATTACCTCTGATATTCAAAGCTTCGGATTTTTTCTCTTTTTTCTGTATCACCTCATCTTGGGGCTTATTCTGGGCATTTATGCTGTCACCTGCATTCAAAGAAGAAACGCTGTGTTGTGTATAAGTTCTACAAACAGAAAAAACACCAATCTTTTCAAAACCAACTTAAATCTTAAACGGTACCAGACGCTTTAGCAATGACCCTCCCACGCCTGCATGCAGACAACACACGTGCAATCATAACTGGAAGCTGATGCATAATTTCATGGAAACGCGTAAAGTAAACAAACTCCAATACATATAAATTGCGGTTATTTATTTGTGCTTAAAAGCTCTGCAAACTCCCACACAATTTTTTTTTGTCGGTAAAAGAAAAACAAATATTTATTTCATGAGCAAAAGGACAAAGTGCAAAAACAAAAAAACCCACCCCCAAAAAACAATTTATTTGAAGAAAAAGAAACTAACACAGAGAGAAAATATTGCCAGGGAAGGACATCAAAAATGAAAGGAGGGCAAATAAATATGAGAGAAGGGAACAGGAAGGAATAGAAAAGAAGGGGGGAAGGTGTTAATAAAAAAAAAAGGAGAGAGAAAAGTGTGGAGAGAAAAATAACAAACCAGAAAGCTGATGATGGCATGGAAAATCTGCCTCATCTAATCTACCTAAAAGTCAGTATAACATTAGAAGTTATTTAACTATACCCACTTTTAACTGGCATTCTACAGTAAAATCTGCACATATTTTTTTGTACTTGGCCTGTGTTCACATCACCTAGAGACTAGATGGAGACTAGATGGAGGTGGAGGAAAGAGAGGTTGGAAAGAGAAAAGTAAGAATAGAGAAAGCTGAGGATTGGAGAACTTTAGGGAGGATTTAAAACAAAAGAGAGCCAGTGTGGTGGTTGGCATTATGGGCTTTGAAATGCCCACTCGGCCAAAAAGCTCACTGGAGGATCTTGGTTCCCTATCTCTTAGCCTAACCTACCCCACAGGGTTGCTGTGAGGACAAAATGGAGACGAGGAGAAGTGCGTACCGCTCCCCAGAGAAAAGGTGAGGTATAAATGTAATATTATAAATAAAGCAAAAAGTACTAATATAGTGATACCTTGGGTTAAGTATTTAATTCGTTCCGGAGGTCCGGTCTTAACCTGAAACTGTTCTTAACCTGAAGCACCACTTTAGCTAATGGGGCCTCCTGCTGCTGCCACGCCGCCAGAGCATGATATCTGTTCTCATCCTGAAGCAATGTTCTTAACCTGAAGCACTATTTCTGGGTTAGGGAAGTCTGTAACCTGAAGCGTTTGTAACCTGAAGCTTATGTAACCTGAGGTACCACTGTATAAGAATGGGGGATGTGATGGGGTGGCAGTGAAAAACAAGAGAGAAGAAAGCATATAGGGCTGGATAAATATATTTTTTCATCATAATATAAATAGAAGAATTCTAATTATAAGAAGTGTGGGGAAATGTACAAGTTAAGGAAAGGAGGTGGGTGGGAAACGAATTATGCTGATGCAAAGAAAACTGATGCAAAAAATCTGCCCCCAAAGAAGATCATATGGGGGAAATAAGAACAAAGCGAGAAAGAGAGAAAACATCAGAAATGGGCAAAGGAGGAGAAAGAAAATGGTGAAGAGAGGCAAGGAGGCGAGGGATCAATGGAGGAAACCGAGAGGCACCTGCTCCGTCCACGCTGCAAGTCTCCAGGTCGAGGTCGAGGGCCGCTGGCAGGGCGCCCTCGGGGGCGGCAGAGCCGGGCTCGGGATCTCCGTCGAGGCTGGGCTCCGGCGTGACCTTAGCCGGCGGGCCCCGTCGCAGGCAGGCGGGCCAGCAGGAGGCCCAGTCCTGGAAGACGAGGAGCCCCACGAGGTTGACGGCGAGGCCGAGCGCGCCCACGATGAGGATGAGCTCGGCGTCGCGGACGGCCTGGGGGCTGGCCAGGCGCTGCAAGGCCTCCACGAGGATGGTGAAGGAGAGCGCGGCCAGGAAGACGGCGTTGCAGAGGGCGCCCACCACCTCGGCGCGGCCGTAGCCGAAGGAGGCGTCGGGGCTGCGGCGCCGGCGCCGGCGGGAGATGCGCCCGGTGGAGAGGCCCACGCAGAGCGCGATCAGGTCGGAGAGCATGTTGAAGGAGTCGGACACCAGCGCGATGGAGTTGCCCACGTAGCCCGACACCATCTCGGCCACGAAGAAGCCCGCCGTCAGCACCAGCATGAAGATCAGGCGGCACGTCTGGCCCGTGTAGCGCCCCATGGCGAAGCGGGAGGCGGCGCGCTTGGAGAGGGGCGCGCGCTTGGAGAGGAGGGCGCTGCCGGGTGGGCGCCCCTACTCCTGAAGCCCTCCAGGGGCTTCCTGGGCTCCAGCCCCCGAGCGAGCCTCCGGGCTGGCTTGCTGCTTCGCCGTCGCTCCCTCCGTCGGGCTGGCTGCGCCTTTGGACCGGCGGGCAGAGAGGCGAAGGCGCGGCGCTAATCGCCCTCTCCGCCGCCTGGCAACAAGTGCTTTGCGCGCCCTGCCGCTGCTGGTGACTCTGCACTTTGCTTTTATAGAGGCGCGGCAGGGGCGGCACCGACGCCCTTCTGCACCGACAACGCCCGGCGAGATTTGCCGCCGTCCGCAATTTCTTAGCCATCAGCGCTAAAGGATAAAGAGGAAAAAGCGCCGCTTGCCAACTCGCCACCCCGCCCACGCGCTTGCCGTGCACCCAGTCAAGGTACAAGAGCCGTCTCAGCATCTCTGCCTCCTTTACCTTTAAACAGGGAAGATGTTGGACAGGTGAAGGTTTCACCTGCCCCTCCTGGGGATCATTTGGGGCGCTGCCACGCACACATTAGGGTGTATCGTTTTCCCCCGTTGCCGGACACATGCTCTCACGACCATGTTTTGCAGCTATGGGTGTGAACTCGCCTTTATCGTAAAGAGTTGGCGATCTACCTGTTATTTGCAAATGCTCGTCATATCTTAAATTACTGACCAATATTTATGAATTCCCCTGCCCCGTTTGAGCCCAGAGCTAAAATGGCCATAAAATAATCTTGGAAAGAGCAATCGAGGATAAGAAGTTTAAGCGCAGGTTCGCCCAGCACAAAAGCTTGTTTTGAATATGTATATTCTCATTCAAACCCATATAAGCATCTCCAGAAAACATTTAAGCCCCAGGATTCTTTATGTTCTGCTTTCTTCCAGCTCAAGGATTCTTTTAAAAAGCAGATACTTACAATATTACCAATTATGCCCTTTTCAGTTTCACTGTCTCTTATACAAGCTGGAATCAAATCTGAAGACTAGTCCGTATTTTAGATAAGATTATCTTGCCATTCGTGGGCTGCCATTTAATTGCGTCCTGATTTTAATTTTAAGATGTATTTTAATTAATTGTTTGATTGCGTTTTTAATGTATCATATATTTGGTGTTAGCCGCCCTGAGCCCGGTCCTGGCCGTGGAGGACAGGGTATAAATAAAATTTATTTATTATTATTATTATTATTATTATTATTATTATCATCATCATCATCATTACATGAATCCAATGCTACTACAATGCACATATAAAGACCTGGCTTCCCCCAAAGGATCCTGGGAACTGTAGTTTGTTAAGAGCACTGGGAATTGTAGCTCTGTGAAAGAGAAGCTACTGTTTTCAGGATTCTTTGGGAGAAACTAATATACTTTAAATGCATGGTGCAAATCTGCAAATGGATCTTCATCAATAATTCCAAATTAATTTAAGTGGATGACGTGTTTTGAAATGTTATCAGCTTAAATTAATTTGGAACTATTGGAATTAATGTTGCCATTGAATAACCTATTTTGAAATTCAGTGAATCACCAATTTTAAACATTGCAGGATAGGAGGAAAAGTTACCTAGCGTCAAGGAATATTATGGTCCAATGGGCATAGATCATTAGACAACATGAAAAAATTCTGGAACTAATTGAAATCACAAGCAATGGTATAGCTCTTTTCACTAAAAGCTTACAAATCAACAACAACAAAAAGAGGCAGCATTTTCTGTATTGTCCAAGTCATACACCTTAGGCACTTATTTGCCTGTTACAAAATTCATCCATCATATGATATTCTCATATCATACAGCATGTGTTCCCCACCACCATGCACAAAAGAAGTATCATTTTCTCCTGAGAGAAGAAAAATGGCTCTGCTCCTTGTTGGTGAAGAAGATATGATATATCTTCACTATATCCTGCATGTGTCATAGATTTGTAGAGTTGGAAGGACCGTGAAGGTCCAACCCCCTGCAATGCAGGAATCTCAACCAAAGCATCCATGGCCGATGGCCACCTCTGCTTAATATCCTCCATTGAAGAAGAGCCCACCACATTCTGAGAGAGTCTGTTCCACTGTGGAACAGCTCTTACCGTCAGAAGGTGGGATTCTTTCTTTCTGTTCCCCAACCGAATTGACGCCCGCCAGTGCTGCCGGATTGGATAGTGGCAATAGTGTTTTACTGCCAAGTTATAAGTGGATGCTGTAAATGACACTGCCTTATCAAATTGTAACAAAGAATATGATTGCTGATATGTTTAATATCCCAAATTGGCTTGCCAAGTTCTGTCGAGGAAAGAATAATATTTTATCTGAATAGCATTTGTAGTTCCCATTTATTCAAATAACAGTTGAAATATCAAGCAGATCGAACTGAAATTGAGAGACTAACATTAAGGCAAAAAAAAAAAAAAGACTCATTCTGTGAGTAGCATAGTTTTAGCATCATTTACCCTCTTTACTGTTGCTTAAACCTCCAGTCACACTATTAATTATGTGTGCAAGGATTAAACTGGGGCAACACGACTACTAGCCATGATGGCTTTATCTTACCTCTGTGCATCCCAGTTGCTTAGGATCATATTGCACCCAGGTCCTGCTTGTGGGTTGCTGTGAGAACAAACTGCTAAATAGTCCTTTGGTTTGATCCAACAGGACTCTTCCTGTTTCCTTACGTTCTGCAGACCAGTTTGTGGCAGACCATAGCTGTCTTTTTGTTCTCATGCTTAGCCATTCAGTGGGTTTGTAACTACGGAATTTTCTAGATCTCAACCCTCTTAATGATGTCAGGCCATAACTGCCTGCACCTGATTGCTTATGGGGAAGCCAGTGTCAAGAATTACAAACCCAGCACAGGGACTTCTCCATCCTCAATGAATCAGTTTTTTAAAAAATAAATAAATAAATAAATAAATAAAAACTAAAAATTAAAAATTAAAAAAAATGGAAAAAAATGAATCAGTTGAGTTTCAGAATCCTTGCGGAGAAAGCCACTGACGAAAATAAAGGTAGCACGAGACAGTGGCTGGAATTTGGTTGTGACATAAAGATTGTGTCACCTTGGACAAGTCTCTGTCTAATATAACTATCCGGCCTCCTGGGATTGTATTTAGGATTTATGGACATATCGGTCTATTTTGGTTACTCCATGTTTTTCCTGTCTTATGTTCAGATTGACCATATCCACATCAGTTTGTGAAGTTTGTAAAGGTCCTGACAAAAATTCATATACATTTTCATAGAAACTTAAGAAGCTGCTATATAATGAATACAGACCACTGGTCCAGCTAGCTTAGCACAATCTGCACTGAATAGCGCTGGCTCACAAGGATTTCAGACAGATTTCAGTCCTACATGGAGACCCTGGGAATTGGACCAGGGAAACTTCTACATCCAAAGCAGATACTTCATCACTGAGCTATAGCCTTTCATGTATGCTTCTCCTAATATAGACATTTTTGCATGCAGTTTTGCCTAATGTACATAATTTTTTCCCCAGCAGTTTCTCCTCACAGAATGCCCTTTTTACATTATTTTCTTATGCACACATTTTACCTAATGCACACTTTTTGGTGTGCATAGTCTCGGTCGGAGAATTGCATTGCAAAATTCAGAGAAATTTCAAAGGATAACTGCGAAATTCGGTAGAATAAGAATAGAGAGGTCACATGCACACCCTACATTTAGGGCACTCCTACAGCACTTTAACAGTCGTTGAGAATCCTGGGAACTATAGTTTGTTTGGGGTGCTGAAAATTGTAGGTCTTTGAGGTCAGCACATGTAACAAACCAGAGTTCCCAGGATATTTGGAAGGAGCCATGGTGGAATGAGAGTTTTAAATGCAGGGTGCGGAGGGGATCCAAATCCAAAGTAATAATAATAAAAGCTATAATAGTGCAGGGAGAGGAAGCATCTTCACTCAACACTGAAAGGATAATACTGTGAACACCAGGCAAACTTCCTTGTTGACGGAATTTGACAAGCGGTGCCACTACTATACTAAGGAGATCTCCTTTCTAGTCCCACCTGCCTTACCCCAGGTAGGGCATCTAGATTATATCCTCTAAAGACTGGCTCACTTTATAAGCAGGTTGATATGAGAGTAGGTGTTCCTGCAGGTATCTGGATTCCATCCCTGAAGGACTTTGAAGGTAAGCACCAGGACTTTTCATTGTGCTCCCTATAGGATTTCGGGGAACAATAACTTTGCATATTCAAGAAGAAGCTATAGCCAATCCTGCGAAGCACAGCTGTATGAGATATGCATTTGAAAACCTGTTTGCCAAATTCCCACTTGGCAATTTGAGGGGCACATTTTTTTAAAAAAGACACCTAAAAGAATGTGTGATTTGGCTCTAAGTCTATTCAAAAGGGGTGACTGTAAGATGGCATGTTCTTTCTAGGTTAGCCTCCGAAGGATTCTTAATAATTGTGGCCAAAGTGCAAAGCTGGCTAATAGCCATTTATACAACAACCAGATTATTAATTGCTAGAAAGCGATAATTGGCTTGTCCATTGACGTCAACGGGTTGCTCAGTTATCACTAAGGGCAGAGTGTGATGAGATGTGGATTGCATAGCTTGGAATATGTCCTCTACATTTGGTTTCCATTGCTCCTGCACTGTGGGGAGGTACTATAGGTCCATGAATACGCTCCAGAAACCACTCAAGCTGAAAGGGCAGGGAATTTACTGGACCTGCCACCACTGCTTCCCACACCTCCCAATTCTACAAGTTTATTTGGCCAGAATAGTGACTACAGCTGTTCATGTTTAGACAAACAATTATCTCTGACACCTAAATGTTAGCATAGTTCAGGGATAGCCATCCCAGGTGTTGTTGGTCTCCAACTCCCATCAGCTGCAGCCAGCATGACCAATGGTCATCAGGGATAAGAGCTGTTGGCCAACAGGATCTGGAGAACATCAAGTCCTGGTAGAGCATGACAACTGACTTTTCAAATGCTCTGCTTTAGTATTAGGGCATTGGTACTCACACAATTGCCAGAGAGAGAGAGATTTAGCAGGCCCCATCACTGTGTTCCTTTAGACACCTGCTGAAAACTTTTCTGTTTCAGCAAGCCTATCCAGACACAGAATTTGCTCTTAAATTTGCTTTATCTCATTTTTAATTGTATTTGTTATTACCGAAATGTTTGCCACACTGAGCTCCTTTGGGAGGAAGGGTGGGGCATACATTTAATACTGAAATAATATCAAACTTGGTTGACCAAGAAAATAACAGTGGAGTGATTATGTGTTCTCCCCAAGATCCTAATGAGAAAAGAGAGTCGACACACAACTTTCAACCTTTTATTTTATTTTAATTGTGTAACACATTTGCAACTTGCCCAGCCATCAATAGAGGTGGCTCATAACAATAATTAAAATCAGAAATCATATACCTTTGACATAATATATTGGTACAAACTAGTTATATCCAAAGAAATGTATGTAGCTTTTTTCAAGCAAGAACAAATGTGACCCCCATTGGCAGTGCAGTGGAGAGATATTGCCTATTATAGTGCAGCTTCTTAATTCTGGACCCAGAACTTACGTAATGTGCCATAAAGCTCCTGATGATTTAAGCAGATGCTGATTTATTTATTTTTAAAGTCGCTTAGGGGATTCAGATTTTCATTTCTACTGTTTGGCCTTTTCCCAGACTTCTACTATTCTCTTGACAGAATTCAGCCAGCAGTGTAGATTACTTAATTTCAAGGAACAGTGAGATGACGCTTCTCTTTCTCATAACGCAAATAGGCAGTAGCAGCAGCAACAAATCAGCAATGTAGCCCTGATCGCACAGTCACTCTCACACACATTCTTAGTGCCAATGGATACGTATAGAATAGTATATGTTGTACCTACTTCTGTACGTATGGAATAAGGCATTTTCAAGACTCACCTAAATCAGGAAAGGGTGTTATCACTGGGCCTTCTCTAATTGAGTAGCCTAAGAAAAATATTAATGGAAAGCATACTGATTAAATATTCTGGGAAAGGCTCAGACTAACCAAACAGCGATAGAATTCGTTTAGTTTTAAATTACCAGTCATTCCACCTCTGAAGAGTATAGACTCAGCTGAATAGCCATGATTTCATCAAAGCTAATGGAAAATATCCATAGCCTCAAAGTTATATTTCCAATAGAAGTAGTTAGGGTTGCTTCCAAATGTAACTGAGTTGTGTTTTGATAAGAGGAAATGCCACACTGGTAAGGACTGGTGGTTCTCAGTAACTTGCAAAAAGCTTGTGGCTTGTGATGCATTGTAATAATTTTTTGTTACTTAAAAAAAGGCCAACACATGACTGCTTTTGATCATGCCACATATCGAACTATTAAAAAGTTTAGGGTCTGCATCAAGGAGCAACCCCCCCCCCCAAAAAAACCACCCTTTAATAAAGTGTCAACCTATGTCTAGAAGTATTAGTTATGGACAAGATAGTGATTTTTAAAAATTCCTTACCCGTTTCCATGTCTTGGTCAAAAGAGTCACGGCAGTAACAACAGTCCAGAAAGACGACATAATTGACTGCGTTGAAGAACAGCCCCACAAGTCCAGCGATTAGGACAAACAGCGCATTTTCGGTCTTCTGTGGATTGAGGAACCTCTTCAGGGCTTCGATCAGGATGCTGAACATGAGGGCCGTGGCAAAGACAGAGTTGCCAAATGCACCCACCACATCAGCCCGGGGGAAGCCAAAGGTGCCGTTCTTGTGCCACCGAATGCGGCTGACTCTTACGCCCAGCAAGCCAACGATCATAGAGATCAGGTGAGACAGGACAGCAAAAGCGTCCGACGTGAGAGAGAGGGAGTTACCTATGTAGCCCACCACCATTTCGCCCACAAAAAGCATAAACGTCACAATGCACATGAAGAAAAGCCGGCTGCTCCGTCCTGTGTAGCGACCCATGGCGGAGAAGCGTTCTCTCTGCTTGGGAGAAGGGTCTTGGCAGGATTAGCAAACAACGATTGGCAGGTCTCCCCTTTTTATTGTCTGCTGCTGCTTGTGTTTAGAAGCTAATTTTTATAAGATGCACTAAAGCAATAAAACCAGTTTAAAGGGCAATTAAGCCAGGGGGTTATCGCGTGGAGGCCGCCACTCAATAAGTGCGTAAAGGAAACTAAGATATCAAATGAAACAAGCTGTTTGTTTGTCTCATTGCCCGGGGTGCTAACGTTTGAGGCTGCAGCAACAATTCTTCACAGCTGGGGCGCCCGCCTTATTGTTCACAGAGGTTCATTGGGTGCTAGAGGGGAGGAGTGAGGCCTTGAGCAGGACCTTGGCCTAGGCCAGAGGTAGAAAACATGATGCCAGGTATTGATGGGTTCAAACTCCCATCTGCCCCAGGCAACATGATGGGAGATGTAGTTCAGCAATATCTTGAAGGCACCTCCCCTGGCCTAGGTCAGCGTTTCCCAAACTTCTGGGAGCTGCAACACCCTTTTTCTGAATCAAAATTACAAGTGCAATTTAATTCATGGGTAGGCAAACTAAGGCCCGGGGGCCAGATCCGGCCCAATCACCTTCTAAATCCGGCCTGCAGACAGTCCAGGAATCAGCGTGTTTTTACATGAGTAGAATGTGTCCTTTTATTTAAAATGCATCTCTGGGTTATTTGTGGGGCATAGGAATTCGTTCTTTCTTTTTTTCAAAATACAGTCCAGCCCCCCACAAGGTCTGAGGGACAGTGGACCTGCCCCCTGCTGAAAAGGTTTGTTGACCCCTGATTTAATTTTTATACACCCTTTATATTGGGAGGATGAAGCAGTCGGAATTGGTCATACATAAGTAAGAGCCAGCATTGGATTAGGATGAGGAGACGCAAGTTCAAATTCCCACTCAGTTATGGGCCAGTTACTTTCTCTCTTTCTCTTTCTCTCTCTCTCTGCCTAATCAACACCACGGGGTTGTTGTGGGATAAAATGAGGCAAAGCCATGCATCTCCCCCCCCATTGGAAGATTCAGGATAAAGAAAGTACCTCTTCACACACTGCGTAGTTAAACTATGGAGCTCTCTCCCACAGGACCTACCCAGATGGCTTTAAAAGAGGATTGGACAGATTCATGGAGGAGAGGTCTATTGGTGGCTACTGGCCGTGGTGGTTGTGCTCTGCCTCCACAGTTGGAGGCAGCAATGTTTCTGAATACCAGCTGCTGGAAACCATCGGAGGGGAGAGGGCACTCGTGCTCAAATCCTGCTTGTGGGTTCCCCACAGGCAACTGGTTGGCCCCTGTGGGAACAGGATGCTGAACTAGATGGGCCACTGTCTGGATCCAGCAGGTTCTCCTCACGTTCTTTAAAGGACAGTGGACACCACAGACGTGTGGACAGAATGCAAGTATTAGTGGAAATAGAAAAATAAGCCTGAGCAGAGAATGGAGGAATGGTTTTCTGAATTAGAGTCCTTGGCCATGCAACCAGTTGCTGTGTGTGTGTGTGTGTGTGTGTGTGTGTGTGTGTTGTTTGACAGGGCTTTCTTCTTTGCAAGTCCACATTCAAATTTGCTTAAGACCAATTGGTCATTTAAGGGCACTGTCACGGACGCAGCCTGTCATTCTGCAAACTCTCCTGCAAACAAGCCTAAAGTTGTAAAAACCAGACAGTCTTTTCATTGACTGCCCGGAATTCCATATTCCTGATGCTTTTTTTAAAACCAAGTGACTGCCTAAATGGGTCCAAAGTTAGAAACACAATAATTTCGCTAAGCCTTCTGGTAATTTACGGTAATCATTAAGTTGAAACCATTACCTTTTTACTATAGAAAAGAATGTAATACCAATCTGTATATCTTAAACTGCATGCCCCTTCATTCCCAGAAGTATGTTTCTTGGCCCAGTTGACAGAAGAACTTGGTGATCTGCATGATCAGATCATGGGTGACAGCTATTCGCACAATCAGCTTCCTATTGGAACAATATAAAACCCCAAGGAACTGCTGATTCCTGGTATAGTTGCTAATTGTAGTGGAAGTCGGTAGCTTCTTATGGAACTAATCACCTAGGAAATGACAATAGATCCCAAAAATTCAGAGCTAATTGGGATTTGCAGAGCTAATTGGGATTTGCAATGAATGTCCCCTGCCCACTTTCATAATTGTATTCATTTCCAGTGTTAAAATAGGTGGTGACCTTGCAGTTATCACTGCCTTACATGTTTCTTTATGATGCTGAAATTGTTTCCCAGATCCTTATTCAACCAAGAGTCGTGTGAATAAGACTTTATTTGATGCTACACCACAAAATAAGAATGATAATACCCCATAGCATACATCTCTATCACTGAAAGACTCTCCCCTCAAGAGGCAACATCATTCTCTGGGGCAAAAATGCATTAATGTACAGTAATGAATAAGGGAATGGGAGCTGTGCACTCCAAAATAAAGCACTGGGCCATCCCAAATGACACCACCAGGTGCACATCCCCTACGACGTGCCCTAGAGTTGAGTCCAGCCTGTTACTTTCCTGTTGCAACTACAGTAGCGTCGCAGTTTTGCATGTTAAATAGAAGGTCTAGCTTGTTCATTTTCAATTTCATCATGATGATGATAGCCCATCTCCTCTTCAAACAGATGTTCACCATCCTCCATCCTGGTTATCAGTTTGGGAGTATGTACCTTTCAGTGCAAGTTAGCCCATTTTTTCATGCACACACATTTTAATGGCTCACACTTCTATGTGCAACACATGTTTTACTGCGCTTCGCAGATATTGCTCCTGAGTTCACAGGTGCAGCTGTAGGCAGACCAGTCCCCATCCTACCCCACCACCCCTTTTCTGGCCATGGGTTTTTCCCCTCCTACCCCTGCAGCTGGGGCATGTGTGGCTTAATAGGCTAGTATAGTGTAAACATAACTTTTATATGTATTGGGAAACAAAACAAAAATTGTATGACTCACTTAATTGCCATATTCACTTTATTGTGGTGATCTGGAACCAAACCAACAACTTCTCTGAGGTATGTCTGTACTTTGAGCAGACTTTAACTATGTTGGATGAACAGCATTTCTTTCACAATTAATTTCCAGGCAAGGACAGCAGGGAAAGAAAGTTGTTATCAATACTAGCTATATATAATACACGTTACTAAATAAAGCTTGCTTTCTCAACTGGCCAGCTAAACCATGGGTAGCCAATAGATCTCAAACCCTCGGAGAAGGGAAGCTCTGATCCTAAACCTCGGCTGCCTTGTGGGTTATCTTTGGGAGAAGAAAAGGCTAAGGATTGAACCCTATACACATCTGGAGGGGAGTCCCTAAGGAGCACACCTCCTTCCAGCAACTCCTGTAGCCAAGCTGGTGCCAAATGTATTGCTCTGCTTTCCTTTGGACCACCTCATCAAGGCCGAGAGGCTGATCTTGTTGTATGGGCAGCCCAGGACCTCCATACACACTGCCCAGCTTTGCGCCCCTGCAAGGTCATATTGGTGCTAACGCAGCAGTTTGACTTCACCCCTGGAGACACACTCCATTGCCTCCCAAGACAGACTGGGGCACACAGACTCTTGAAGGCGTACTCCATTATCTCCCAAGATAGATGGATGCGAACAACAACCACCCATGAGGCAGTCAGGTGGCAATGAGTTTATTATTTTCTCCCTTACCCTCCAGAGCTGATTTAAGGCATGCACAGGGGGCTGTAAGAAGTAGTCCCATCCCATGAACAGAAGTCCACTTGTGCAACATGGAATATCACCCGTGGTATCCATGATCCAACCCAAAGTTACGTATTGCAAAGTCTCATAGTGTCACTTGTATATAAATTACAGGAGCCTCATGGTGCTTAGCTTTGGCTGGGTCATTCAGTGCTTTTTCCAATTGTGTTTTGGTTTCAAGGCCAGGGCAAAGGAACTTCTGAGAGTGCAAACTACAGAGAGGGCCCGTCTCCTGAGAGGGTCTGTAGGTCTTTCAAATATTTGGAATCATTTAGGGCTTTAAACACTAGCACCAGCTCATTGAATTAATGTTCCTACTGAAACTTTAAAAAAAAGAAATCAAAGTAATTGTGATCAAGAGACAGAAACTCAAGCATAGTGTGGGCATTATTTAAATCGAGTTGTTCTGAATCTGCCCTCCGTTTCCTTGAAGCTGCAGTGACTCAGAAGCCAAGCCAGCCTTGTTCAATGTTTCCCCTACTACATCTGTTCATGCCAATCATTTTTCAAATTGATATTTTATTAAGAGAATTTCATTTATAAAAAGGTAATGAGGGGGAAAAGAAAAAATTGAAAAGAATTGAAAAAAACTGTTATATTACCATATATTAATATACAGATGCTTATTCTTATTATCCTAATGTACACATAATTGTCAGTAATCTAATATATTCTGTGTAAACTAGTTCCAAATATCACTGTACTTACCCAAAGAAAGTATGCGGCTATAAGCTATCGGTTCATATGTTGCCAATGTTGTCATGCTGTCGGGCCATTGATTAAAGGGGGTTGATTCCCCTATTCCTGCCAATCATAGGAATGATCAGCAATTATCACAGTATAGGTAGCATTCTTGTAAATCTTGTGAAAAATGACTTGGTAAAGGCACAAGATAGGGAACTGTCCTATCTGCAGGTGCTGGAAATATAACTGGTTTCAATGGTCATTGTGACGTAGATATTTAAACTAAACAAGGTGGCATCCATTGAAGTTGCTTCCAGTGAAGATTATGTACACTAATGTGGTGCTCTCCAGATGCTGGATTACAAATCCCATCATCCCTGACCACTGGTCATATAGGCAGGAGCTCAAGGGAGTTGTAGTCTGGAGGGCACTATGCTGTAAACGTTTAAGTTTTTCTAACAATTGGTTTTCTAATCTTCTAATACACAATTTTAAAACTTTAAACTTAGCACTCTGTAGGCAAACAGGATCTTCCACTCATGGAATGAAGTGTTGCAGCTCATTCAAGAATGTTGAACACTACAGTATTAATGTGAATTCATCCAACCTTTGCATATGGCATTGCCTACCACACAAACACATTTTATCCCATAAGCCAAAAAAGAAGCCAAGTGGTAGCTGACAATATGTATTTATTATTAGAGATGTTGTATACAGAAAAGTCTGTGCATCACTGCTAGTCTGACTGAAGGGGCTCTTTGACTCTGTATGGCTTTATTTGCAGCTGTCTTAAAAAGTAACAAAAACGTGATAGGATCTGGGAAGATTTCAGTCTTTATTTCAAAAAGTTGAGGGCTTGAAAGATAAAGAAAATGGTGTTTCAAACTAGCAGTTTAGTAACTACGGCCAAAGAGGGTGTAGAACTTGGCAAGGTTCTTGCCACAGACACATTTTGCTCCATTCTCCAGCTTACACAGCGGCTTGAAGGGGATGCAGAGACTTTTTGCTCCCATGGACGGAGCGCCAGGCTCAAGGTCTTGATCTCTGAAATGGAAAGCAGATTTCCTTTAATGCCCAAAACTGAGCTAAATGGCAACGCTCCACAATTGTGCACTAACCAAAGGTATCACATGTGACCTAATGTGAGCCTGATTTGCAGAAATCAAAACACTTTTGAACCAAAGGAATTAATGCTGCGCAAAGAGTAAAGTTAAGGTAGTGATATAGATTTGCAAGAGAGCTTTACAAAGACAAAAGGTTGAGCGTTGACAAAAATGGGTACCCCTGCCCGTACGGGCCAGTCGTGTCCGACTCCAGGGCTGTGCGCCCATCTCACTTAAGAGGCCGGGGGCCAGCGCTGTCCAGAGACACTTCCGGGTCACGTGTCCAGCGTGACGAAGCTGCTCTGGTGAGCCAGCACCAGCGCAGCACATGGAAACGCCGTTTACCTTCCCGCTATAAAGCGGTACCTATTTATCTACTTGCACTTAAGAGTGCTTTCGAACAGCTAGGTGGGCAGGAGCTGGGACCAAATGACGGGAGCTCACCCCGCCACGGGGATTCAAACCGCCGACCATGCGATCGGCAAGTCCTAGGCACTGAGGTTTTACCCACAGCGCCACCCGCGTCTGACAAAAATGAGGGACAGTCTATTGTCCCATAATTAGTAGGGATGTTGCAGAGCTTCCGGTGAACCATGAACCAAAGAGTGTCTTGGCACCTTAATACAGGTCATGGTGTTCCACTGTAAACTGTTCCTCCAACAGGTCTACAATAAAAGTGCTTTCCCTTTTAGAAAAATTACACTTCTTGGTTAGCTGATTCTTTACATCTACTGTACGGTAGATGTTACATCTACCGTAACATCTACTACAAGGACCAATTCCTATTTTTGTCAGAGCAAGTGTTCATTTCAATTGGTACTTATGTATTTGTATAGTTATGTCTATACACAAACATTTATTTACCTGGCAGTTGTTTTTTTGATCCAGTCCTCACAATCTATTTCGCCACAGAAAGGAATCTGCACTATCTGAAGTCAGAAAGGAAAATAAACATTGTTGAGGTTATATAATTAATCTTAATTAATGTCTTATATATTGAATAAAACTTGTCTGTTCCAATTTGCAAGGGAAAATAGCTGAAATGAGTCTAACAGAAAGTAGTGTAATGTTTATCTGTTTTAGCTGCCTTGAGAGAAGTCAGTCTGATGATAGGATTCAAAAGCCTTATGATCTTTATATTTCACTGCAAATAAAATTTCACTCCCCTGCCGCTCTGGCCTAATATTTGTGTGTACATTCAACAAACTGGCCCCAGTAGAGAGCTTCTTGAAGGTGAATGTTAGCAGAATCTGAATGGACTTTTAAAAACATCTTCAAATTAAGATAGAAAGTCGCCCCTTAGTGGTGCAACTGAGTAAAACACCACTTAAAGGCAGATGGTGTAAAGAAGGACAATGTTATAAGAACTTATTCTGCAAACAATTCATAGAAAAACCAGCCCCTAACATATTTGCTTGAAGTGAAAATTTGAATGCCATGTTTTCTCTCCAAAAGTCATTGATTAATTGAATATTTTAGCTTTCATGTATTTTGCCAGAATTTCAGAAACATTCCTGGATCCAGAAGCAAATGTATTTTGCAATAATGCACACAGAAGTGCTCATCTCAAAGGGAGAGAGGTGCATGTGTAGGGAACTCACGCCCCCAAGAGATTACTGGACTGGCATGTTAAACTGAATGACATGCCCTGGTCTGCAGAACCAAAGGAATAACCATTATGAGTTCTTGAACTTCAAGTGACGTGTTCACTTTTCAATAAAGAATTGTTTGTTTTCCAAGCCATAAAGGCTTTACAGGCATTTGCTACATTTGAAATTTAACATAAACTAAGCCCAGCTTCAAGAGATAGCACATACAGCATGTAGGAAAGTTAATAATTTCTCATAATTCAGCATCGTTTGAGTGATTAAACTTCATTCTGACTCCAACTTTTAGAAAAGAAAGAAATTGATTCAAACTTGAAGCACACATTAAGGGAGCCTGCTATCCTTCTAGGAAACATGAATATGAAATGTGTATAGTTTGCAGGATTTTGTTCCTCTCAAGAGTGCTACAATACGAACAGCAGCAGCACCAGATCACATAAAGGCCTTCAACTTGGACTCAATGGCACTGGACACAATGACACTCCTGACCCATGGAAGAAGAAAAAACAGGATGGAAAATGCTAGGTCCTAAAACCTAATTTAGTTTATGACAAACAGCAGCAGGATGCATAAGTTGTATCTGTTTAAATAAATTCCACAACGTAAGCCAGCTGCTTGTTTTGAAGGAGGCGTGTTGGAAAATGACTTATCTTTAATAAATGTTATTAAAAATAGGTCAAAGCTATTTGAGAACAATTCACACGAATCAAACTCTAACGTAAAACCAGTAGCCAGAGCACAAAACGCTCCTGTGGCAATCTAAAATACTTTGCTGCAATTAAAGGTGCTTCATTGCACCTTCATATCAATTCCAATAACCTGTCATCCAGCTTTTCTGCATGTACTTGTTGACCTCTATTTAAATCAGATAGAAAGAGTTCTTTGACGCAAGCAATGCGTTCTTTGAACTGACAAGACTAGTTATATTGTCTGCTAATTATTTTACGGTTACTTGTAATGAATTGATTACAGTATCTGATCTAGAATTCAACTTGATACTATTTCTTAGAGATGGCATGGCTATTTTCTGCTGAAAAAGCAGCACAGCTGAATAAGTGTCACAGGGAAGGCAGCCTTCCACCTTTACTAATGTTTTTAAAGACGTGGAGAGGCATCCTTTTCACTTACTGCCATGGACATATATAGATGTCCCATAGCCTTGATGGAGGATGAATGAGCTGACCACAAAGGAAAAGTTTCTGCAGTGGCGGCTGCAATTAAATGAGCCAAGAGGTTAAAGCTTTTAATGAACTATAGGCTCCATTACATGTATTAAAATTGCAAGCATTATTCCAAAGGAATGTGATATCGATTTAACATTTGGCATTTTTTGAGGTTGCAATTATTCTGAGACTCCTAAGAAACTCTCATGTTTTAGGCCAGTACAAACTGCTAATTCTGCAATCTGAATAAATTTGTGTTGCTCAATTGTGCCTTCACTTGCAAAAACAAAACTTGCAGCCTATTCTTACGAATGCTTCCTTGAAAGACAGCCACACTGGGTTCATTAAGGCTGTAAATATACACTGGATTCCAGTCTTGATCATGCTGTAGATTTCTTACCTTTCCCGAATCAAGTGCAGTCTGAAACTCTTCCATTGTATTGGCCACCACCATATGATTCTTTAGGTCTTTAGAAGCTCTGAGAAACAGTAGAAATTCAGTCAACATAAGCTTTTACTTATTGTAAAAAGAAACTCTTTAACCACAGAGCCAGATCTTGAGAATGCATCTGAATTACATCCCACTAATTACATTCCAGTTTTTGTCCACACAGCAGTCCAAATGATGGTTAGGAACATGCTTAGCTGCAGTCAAAGGTGGGATATAAAAGTGCAATAGGCCAAAGTACAGTGCAACTCATTCTGTGTGCCCAAGGTGACTTTGGGTTCTGTGCATCAAACCTTCAATGCACACCACACCTCTTTTGAAAATGAGGGGAATTTGTGACTATGTGATATTCACAAGGCACACAGAAGTCTTTATGCAGACCTAAAGTAGCTCTTGGGATACAAATTTAAGTCCTTTGAATTTGGGACTAGAATCCACTTCCAAGAGAAGCTTGATTCCATTAATATAGAGTATGCCTTCTCTGGGTGTCAGGCCATGAAAAATGGTGGAAGAGCAAACTGAAAGTACAAGGGCTAGTATTCAGTTTAGATGGCTTGAGTTTTTTTGTGAGAAAAGTCAGCATTTGCCAATAGAAAGGACTGTAACTTCTATACTGATGACCTTTTTTGGTCAGGCAAAGCAATCCGAAAGATTTTTTTTTTGGGGGGGGGAGTAAATTGAAGATGGGACAAATAATCAGTTCTAGAGTCACAGAAGGGAGGAGCTGCATTTTACCCCCTCCTGCTTTCTACTCTGTTTTTATTATTATTATTCTCTTCATTGTTCCCATTTGGGGGATTCACTCGACCATTCCCCACCCCACTAGCTCCAACCTATTGGGAAACTTTGAGATCATTGGGGAGGGTGATTCAGACAGCTCAGTTTGCCATGCATCCATTGCAATCCAGGCTGGGTGGCTAAGTGAATGTTAATTCTAGTTGTGCCCTGATCCTCAGTTCATTTCCTCATTCCTTTGGAAACCCGTGAAACGACAGGCAGATGAATGAAACACATAGCGTAAGAAGCAAATGTGTCAGTTTGAAAACAGCCTCCCCCAAACTTAACCTGTCAAAAAGGTTCGTCTGGATTTTGTCCAGAACACGTCTCAGCTGGTCCACTGCTTCATTTTCAGCAAAAGTCAGCTTCTCTCCTGTGTCTCGTCTAACAGCTACAAACTGATGATTTTTCATATCTCGTGGACCCACTTCAAGCCTGATTGGAACACCCTAAAAAGAAAAAAAAAAGTGGAGGCCATGAACAGAGCATTTTATACACTTCTTTACATCTGTCTACCTTGCTTAAGTGGAACACAAAAATATTTCAGGGAAGGAGCTACCCCAGGTTATAGTCAAGAAACTTACACCTGGCAAAAATGCAAATTATTCCACACTCCAGAATAATATAACACAAATGTGTCACTTTAAACCAAATCTTTAAACTATGGTTTAAAGGTGAAGGCACCCACTGAAGCTATCACAGGTGCTTTGTTCCTCTTCTGCTCCTGTTGCACTGCTAACAGCCAAGCCACACTGCAGCTTAGCTTTACATCCAGGTTCGTGTTGTTTGTTTCCCCCAAACTACAAGTAGAAAGCCAAGAACAAACCTTCCAGACAGCTCATGCTTTGGAGAACAAAGCTCTGACTCTGGATGCAAAGCTAAGCCAAACCAAGTTTCAGATCCTAGCAGCACAGTTTAGTGCAAGTATGGTTTAAAGTGACATGCAAACCAGACCAGTATTAATAGCATGTCTCCAATAAGACGACATCCTGAAAGTTTAGTTTACACTGCAAAAACTCAAGCTATTACTCTTTCCCAGCCTAGAAGACAATGTCAGCAAGTCAATACTAAGAGGTTGGATAATTTATTACACAGACACTCTTGAAGTAGATGAGCTCATCAGAATTGGAAACTAAAGAACAGATGACATGTACTATGGGGAAAGTTCCTAAGGAGGGTCTACTGTCGCTAATATATTGATAACTCCCATTTTCCTTCTGCATATACTACTGAATGATGCATCCAAGGAAAGGCTGACAATGAGAAATTCATAAAAGGAGAACAGAACTGAACAACATTTACCTTAAGCTCCCAGTGATTGAATTTCCATCCAGGTGAATAGTTCTCTCTCAAGTCAACACGCGCACGGATATTGGCACTGAATAGCTGCTTACGGTATTCAGCACACTTTGCCATCAGGGCCTCCTTGTCTTCTTCCGAAAGCGAATTGGTGATTCCACAGGGAATAATCACAACCTGAGTGGTGATGCAATGATTATTGAGTTAGGAGCATTAACAAAAATGCTGTTTGCAAGAATTACAATATATAGGCCCTAAACTTGTAGACTGCTCTTAAAACCATGAGTTTTGAAGCAAAAGGACTATTGAAGCAGTGCCGCAATAAAATCAACTGCATTAAAATTTTATAAATATACACTAAAACGGTGACCAAGCAGTCACTGAGCAGAATTATTCATGCATGTATTTATGTATTGATTGATTTGATTGTTTCCCAGAACTAGGACTCAAGGCAGCTCACAAAAATTAAAATAAACACAGATAAAACACACACAGCTTAAAACATATAAAAGGTTGCTGTTTAAAAAGTAATTAAACTGAAAAAAAGAAACTGTGCCAACAAAAAAGGAATAGCAAGATAAACTGTTAGAGTATATTGAACTGGCTAGATTAACAGAGGCAGTTAGAGATCACACTAGACAAGAGTTTCAAAAAGCGTGGGGGAAAATGCAGAGAATACTTCACAAAACAGTGCCCTAAAATACATACCTGGACTTGTTTTGATTAATGTCTGCAGGAGACTTTGTGGATATTTAAGTTATAATTAGAAAAATCTTAATAATTATTCATAAAGGACACAGTTTATAAGGAGGCCAGATACAGGATAAAGGAAGTCTTTTATTTGGTTGTTTGTATTGTTGTATGTTATGTTCACTGTATGTTATGTTCGCGTTTAATGTGTATTGGGGGGTGGGAGGGTTGTGTTGTAAATAAAATTCCAATAAAAATTTAAAATTAAAAAATAAATAAAAAGTAATTAAACTACCTATAGAATTAAAACACATCTATTAAAATGTAAATGGGGAAAACAGTACAGAATACCATTAGGATACCTTTCCTTAAAAGCAGTTAGTTCCCAAAGAAAGTTTTCAGATGCTGCTGGAAGGACAAGGAGAGAGCAAACACAGCCTCCAGAAAGAGAGTTCCAAAGCCTGGGAGCAGCCACTGAGAAGGTCCTCTCCAAAATGCCCACTAAATGTCCCTGTAAGGGAAGCTGGACTCAGAGAAGTTCCTCCCCTGAAGATTTCAGAACCCAGGCAGCTTCATATGGCTCAGTCCTTCAGAATTAAGGACCAGTAAATGTGTGTTGGAGCAAAAAAGTGTTGATTGAGAGTGAAAACACCTAAGTGAAGGTGTCTGCGAGATCTCTCGGGAGGCTGTTTCATAATGCAGTAAGAATGCCCTCTTTCTGGTTGCCACCCAGTGGACAGAAGCAGGCTGCCGCAACATTTCCCCATCCTCTCTCTATTTCCCTCCACATCTTAAAGATACAGCCAGAGGACATCAGCAGCTGCACAAGCATTAAGATTATTTGCCAGTCAACTCAGTGACTTGGAGCCAGACTAAGTTAGTTGTGCTTAGGTCTTACGGAAATCTATGGGGCAAGTTAGTCATGACTTACAGTTAAGTTTCCAGTAAACCAATTTAATGGAATCTAAGTGTAACTATCTTAGTCTGGATTCAAAACCCCACCACCACCACCATTCTAGAAAATAGGAGGGAAAAGAGAGGTGAATTGGCACTAGCAAAAGGTTTGTATCAATGTGATTTTGCTCACCTGAACAGAAGCGACCCTGGGAGGTAGTACTAGACCCATGTTATCTCCATGAATCATGGTCATTACGCCAATGGTCCGCGTTGTGAGACCCCAAGAGTTCTGATAAGCAAATTGCTTCTCTCCTGGTATCCTGGGATCTTCAAAGACAATCTCAAACATCTTTGAAAAATTCTGTCCCAAGTGATGAGAGGTTCCTCCCTAAAAAAAGGCAACAATAAACAAAATTCAGGTAACATCTTCCTACGTATTAATGAAGTATATAAAATGTTTTTATCAGAACATACCTGGATGCCTCGCCCACTGGCGGATATAAATGCCTCAATGGTAGTTGTATAATCTCCGCCTGCAAACTTCTCCTTTTCTGTCTTTCTTCCTTTCACAACAGGAATTGCCAGAAGTTCTTCATACACACGAGCATACAGATCAAGGATCTGTAATACCTGAGACAAGTAATAAAAAACAGTTTGTAAAAGTTTAGACTAAGCTATATGCCAAAAGTATTACTTAACCATTTGGTAGAATCATAGGAAAGCCAAGGATAAATATCAATGGCCTTCTCAAATCCTAATAATTTATGGCGGCTATCAAATAAAAATTTAGCGTTTACAGTTTAAAGCTCCAGCAATAACCACAGAATCCTATCCGACAACAGAGAGTGATTCTCGGACATGAAATTATCTGTCATTTGTAACTATGGTGGTTCACTAATTGTGTTATTTCATTTCTTGTCTGGGGGTTCACATAGTTAATGACACCCAATTTTGAAACATGTAGATTGTTTGAGTGACAACAAGCCAATGAGATTCAAATTAATTCTTGTATATCACACCATGAAAAAACAATGTCCAACACGATTTAAGACTGCATCTACTTTTCATATAATCTCTCTGTGTTATTAGCCTTTTTGAACATACTGAGGAAAAGAAGTTTCACTGTTTCCCCTCAATTATGCTGAAATACGAAGTGGACTTCCTCCCCCCACTTATGCAACCATTTCCAAATTTTCCTTGAATGGTGGATGGTGAAGAATGAAGTTCGTTTAACTTAATCTGTGCACTGTACCTCTTCTGCTGCCTCTTCGTAAGTTGCAAATGCTGTGTGTCCCTCCTGCCACAGGAATTCACGAGTACGCAAGAAGGGCTGTGGATGTTTGAACTCCCAGCGCTGCAATACAAAACAAACAAACAAGCAAAAAACAGAGTGTCATGAAAAGTTAAAGTTGTTATCTTCATTAATGAGCTTGTTTTTAATGTATTATTTAGCATTGCTCAAAGTTCTATTTTTCAATGATGCATTATACTATATGAATTCAAAGGCATAATGGGTTGCAATTAACGAAACACAAAGCCTAAGGCTCCATCAGTACAAGAAACTTTCAACCCCTCTGCTCCCCCTAAATTTGTTCTGTGGTTTCCCAAACCCTCAAGATTAGATTTGGGGACGACATGGAGTTTGTGCCAGTGTGGGGTCCCAATGAACCTAGAGAGAATTCTTGTGTTGGCTTCTGCTAGTGCTACCTAGATTTTACATATTGTTAAGAAACCCACTATTCACACAAAAGGAACCAGAGATTATTTTAACTGCCATTTGTTTTCAATATAAAAATGCAATATTCTCATATGCAGATTTCTATTATTTCTATGAAGATTGTAAATACCAGTAGACAAGGATAATTTGCATGATCACAAATCCAGATACAGTGGTACCTCAGGTTAAGAACTTAATTGGTTCCGGAGATCCATTCTTAACCTGAAACTGTTCTTAACCTGAGGTACCACTTTAGCTAATGGGGCCTCCCGCTGCCGCTGCGCCGCCAGAGCACAATTTCTGTTCTCACCCTGAAGCAAATTCTTAACCCGAGGTACTATTTCTGGGTTAGCAGAGTCTGTAACCTGAAGCATCTGTAACCCAAGGTACCACTGTATATCGCAACAGCTGTCTCAGATCAGGCCTGTAGAGATTCTCCAAATGTGTGCACTACATACCACATTTTTTTCATTCAACATGGTGTTTGTTAGGATGTGGAAAGCAGCAATGAAGAAATATTCAGAGCATATGACATGAATCAAATCCCTCAACACAAGAAGTGCCAGGTGAAAAAATATGGCAAATACCCGCTTTTAAAATTAAGTTGTGGGTTGTTAGAATGTATAGTCTTTGTGGGGAGAAAGACTATACATTCTAACAACCCACAACTTAATTTAAAAAGCGGGTAGTGGAGATTGCTGATTTATTGATTAAGAATGAGCATATTGGGTAAAGCACAGCAAATATCCGGTATACCCTGCACTTACCACAACATTGCACCACTGATTAAGTTTGATGGGGAGATCCCTGTGTGATTGAACCCACTTTGCATAGGCAGGATACATTACTGCAAAAAAAGGAGAATATTTTCAGAAAGCAAGTAGCTATTATGTTAACTATTGGTTTTGGAAACCTGATTTGTAAGAGTTTTTATTCCCATGCATAATAATACCTGTGTGGACTAAGGGTGACATCCAGTGATGTCAGCCTATTTGCACTTCCACTGCTGCAATGTGACTTGTCCTTCCTACCCTCCCCCTAGAGCCCCACAGTTTGCAGATTGGGGAGAAAAGTGAGGAAAGGGAAATCCCATCCTATCTGCTGGCATGTTGCTGGATATTACCCTACATGTTAGGCTAATCCTTTATATTTAAAATTTAAATACATGAGAACATGTTGTTCATCTTGTTTCTTCCTTATTTTATTTATTGTATTTTATTCATTGCATTTATATCCCAACTTTCCTTGAAGGAGCTCAAGGTAACGTGCACAGAAATCCTCACTACAACCCTGTTATTTTAAATCTTAAGACTGTACCTGTTTCACTAGTAGGACGTACAGCTATTGGTTCAGCCAGCTCTGTTTTGCCAGATCTTGTAACCCAGGCAACCTGAAATCAATGAATGTAAAAGTATAGAAAATACTACTTTTTATATATCTATTTCATGTCATTCTTAATAATACAGTGGGCACAATTTTGTTTTAAAAAAATTATTGTGACACATGTGAATTCTGTTTATCAATTGAAGCTCATAATTGTAAACTGTAATTCCACACATTATTATGAATAATGTGATATAAGATTACCTCCGGGGCAAAATCAGCAATGTGTGTCTTCTCCTTTTCCAACGCAGCCTGGGATACGAACATTGGAAAGTAGCAGTTTTCCACACCAAGTTTCTTGATTTCACCATCAAAAAACTCTTTGATGCTTTCCCAGATGGAAAAAGCCCAGGGACGGAGAATGTAACAGCCACTCACATCGTAGTATTCAATCATCTCTGATTTTGTGATCACCTTTTAAAGGAAATAGCAATGTTTCAGTGTCACGAAAATTGCATTGTGGGCAGCAAGTTTAAAAAGTATCAAACAGAAATAAAATCGAACACATGACATTCAGTGGAAATGAGCACGGAACAGTCATGTACGAAAGGTGTTTATCCTTTATTAGAACCATAAATATCCAAATGCACCTATGTAGAGACCGGTTTGCATGTAACACTAAGGCAAGACATTGCTTAGAGCAAGTAAGCAAACATATGGATCTCAGCCATGGCACTGCACTGCTACCCTTTTCCTGTGGCTGTTGCACAGGCTGGGGCTGAGCCATGGTTTGGTTTAGCATTAAATCTGATGCCAAGCAACCGCTTTAGACAAACCAGGAGCTGCAACCAAGGTTTGTTCATGATTGCGGTTTAGCTCCAAAAACTGTTCTTAAGCATACATTATTTTGAAGACTGTGAAAGAGGACTCCCAGGTAAAACTTGAGATATACTTGCCTGAGAATACCAGTCAGATAGATTCTCTTCCTTCTTAGCCTCTAGCCCCAACCTGTAGTATATTAGAAAGATAGAAGCATAACCTAAGCCTCAAAAACAACAACCATAATTAATAAAGCAACAGCCCACTTTAAATATTTTGCTTTATTTCAAAAAACTGTTAAAACTATCCAGACATGAATTTAAATGTTTAAACATTTCAATGAATTTAAACAGGCAAATTTATTATATAACGGCAAGAGTCTTCAAGCTGACATGCTCCCTCAAATAACAATACAATTAGTGGGAAAAGAGCATATTAAATGCGAAGGGGGAAAACCCCAGCGAGTGTTCTGGTAGCTCCAGTCATGGTGAGGAGGACTGGAGCACCACTGTGCCCCCCTCTGAGTTGTGACGCTGCTGCTCAGTGGGACCCGGATGGGGCACAGGAGTACTGAGCTGATGGTGCCAATCTAGTGCCACGCTGCCCTCACTTGATCCCAGCAAGCAGCCAGGAGGACAGGGCAGGAGTGGTGCCCTATCACATGCTCCGCAACTGGGTAGTTCTCTTTGTGCTCTCATGGTGTCAGGAAAAATACATACTTATGAAAAGAAAAATCCCTTCCCCCTTTCACATTTGCTGTTTCTTTCACCTGAAACATCTCCATGCTTTTGCCAGGAAAGCTTCCTATATATGATTCCTATAAGCCACAATTTTACTCAAAGACTTTCTCCCATGGACTACCACAACCCCAAAGATACTTCTGCTACAAATTTTATTATGTCCATATTAGCTCCTCTTCCTTGGCTTTTGTTGTAGGCAGTCTGGACAAGGACTGTCTATTTTGTGTATTCTACCCAAAACCTAGCAAACAAGTCGGTAGTGATGTTGCAATAGTTAGAAGGGATCCTAGCCCAACAAAAGAACAGGAAACGATTTATAACGTTTTAACGTAAAAACAACCCAGCAGTACTATAAAGGGTTAGGGTTTGTTGTTTTTGCCTTCATTATCTCCCTTATAGCACAATACCAATTTTATCTCCCTTATAGCACAATACCAATTTTAACACTACTTTCTTTCCTTTATCCTGCTGCCCAGACTATATTTTAAGTAGAAATTTCACCTGGTTTGTTTCTTAGGTCCCTGACCATCTCCTGGTCCATTTGAGGATAAGTTGCTGCCACCACTTTGGTCTTTCTGTGATTCTTTCTTTTGGCCCTCATTCTGCTTCTGTTGCTTATTTTGCTTCTCGGATTTGTTCTCTTTCTCTTTCTTTTTCTTGTCTTTGTCTTCTGCTCCGGTTGCAGAGACTGGTTTATAGTCTATTCCCGCCAGTATCTTGTACTGCGCCTTCAACTGAAGCAGCTCTTGCACTGCAGCATCAATCTTATCCTTCGGGAGGACACCATTCCCATGGAAACACAGGTAACCAAAAAGAAATGAAATAATAGTTAGCTGCATAGAATAGGCAAGGTACATTAATTATATGTACTGGGGAAACCACAGAATGCACACTGAAAGGGAGAAATTCAGTGAAACTTCTGCAAGCCTTGATTAGCTGTCATATCCAAGCCAGCAAAGTAAGATTGGAAAGCAAGTTTTCAATCCTGGTTTGCAAAGCTTGAACCAACTATGCTTTTCTTCTTTCGGCATCACAGCAAAGTGCAGTTTGGGGGGAAACCACAGTCAATTACTAATCAAGATGATTTCACAAGAGAGGCAGAAGCACCATTGGTTGGTGTTAGAACTAAAACTACCCAAATACTTTGAGACATCTGGCAAGAGGCTATAATCAACATAAAAGCAACCCCTGAAGAGTTCTGCAAGTGGAATCCTCACATTCTGTGGCCAAAATATATGTACTATTCCTTGTTAAGACATGTAACTCGGTAGTATGGAATATAATTTACAGAAAGTTTCACACTCGTGCACAACATCATCAGGAAACAGGATCACTGGTAGAGGTTTGCCCAGCATTTTGGAGAGCTGCTGACAGCTTGAGTAGACAATACCAGTCTAATGGACCACTGGTCTGATTTCATATTAGGCAACCAGAGAGGGAGGGGGCAGCCAGACAGCCAGGCATAATGGTTAGTGCTGAACTCTGGGAGACCAGGGTCCAAATCCCTGCTTAGCCATGAAGCTCTCTGAGTGAACCTGGGCCAATGCTGTGGACATTTACTGTGCAAACAGTAATATAATGATGAAGTAAGACTGAAACTAAAACCTAAGAAAGGCCTATGTAGTCTAGCATTCTGTTCTCACAGTGGCCAATCAGACAGGCCTGAGAAGCCCACAAGCAGGCTCCTTCCTCAATTAGGAATCCAGCAACTGATATTAAGAGGCATAAGGTCTCCAGCATTGTGCAAAACAGAACAATCACATCAATATACACAGTTAGCCTCATCTTGCAACAATCTCATTCATGTGTGTGTGTGTGTGTGTGTCTAGGATATTTGTGGATTGCATCGAAAGATCACCAGGGGGCTGAAAATAGAAAAATAGAGGACAAATGTTGAATCAGGAGCACTTCAGAAGTAAAGATGAGCACTTCAATGAAAGGCAGGAAAAGAAAACTGGAGTGGCTACTTCCCTCAAACTCCTTTTTCTGCCTTTGGCCACATGATACCCTTCAGAGTGAAAGGAGAATAGGCTGAATTAAAAGAGGAAAGATGCTTTTAGTTTTTACAAATGCTGTGAAATTCCAGCAATTTCTCCAGATGCATACCTGCAGAATACTTGACACTGAAAAGAGACCATCTTGCAACTGCAGGTCAGGATATTAGCATAAATTTTAACTTAAAGGAAATGTGATGAACATACCAGGATCCACTCAAACACGTTAAACTGTTAATAAACAGTATTACCTTTTCTGCCTTCTCCGCTTTCAATTTCCGGACCTCTTCTCCTTGGAGAGCAACCTTGTTAAAGAGAGCTTTGGCTTCTGCAGAGTCAGGGCCACTGGTTTCTGGGCTTGCCGGCTGGTTTAAGGCATGTGCCTGAGGTGCCGGTAACTGTCCTGGCTTATAATCCTGACCAGTCTTTTCTTTATATTCCGCTTTTAGGGAAAGGAGGAGTTTTACAGCTTCGTCCACTTTATCCTATGGGAAGTATTATTGGGAGAGCATTCATGTCACAATTCCAAGAGTTATGTATGTATATACCTCTAGTTTCCTGCCTGCATATCCAAGGGTATGTTAACAACACTACATACATTTGCAATAGATTTTATATTGGCAGATTCCTTTCTGCTCCTTTGCTCCCTCAAGATGGCCTTGTTTCCCCCAGATATATGGAGGAAAAGTATATATGGAGGAAAAGTATTAGCAGTTACTGAGGGTTGCATGCAATGCTGGGAAACAAAATTTTCACCTTCCTCTCCCACTCCCATTTGCCCCAAAAATCTGCTGCAGATGATCTTCCAACCCTCTGGAACTGATTTTGAGGGTGTGCAGGGGCTGCACTGTTGCACAAGCAGGAGTGTGTTGCATGAGTGGAACAACAGCACAATATACAACCTTGACTTCCTGGTCCCAAATGAAGTCCCTTGAAAAAACTTCTGCTAAAATCAGTATTATGCACAGCTGATGAACAGAGAAAAAACACAGATTTGAAACCACATGTATAATAAAACCACTATTCTACCTTGGACACCTTTTCGGCTTTGAGTCTCCGTACCAACTCGCCTTGTTCAACTACTTTATTGTACAGAACGTTTCTGTCTACTGGGCTAGAAGATGTCAAACCATTGCAGGACAGAGGAGCAGGATCAGAAGCACAAGAGGACAGGGAGGAGGAAGAAGAGGAGGAGCAGGAAGAGGAAAGAGGAACTGCAGGTGGATGTCCAGGTTTATAATCTTGGCCTGTCTTTTGCTTATATTCTGCTTTTAGAGCAAGCAGCACTTTCACAGCAGCATCTATCTGATCCTGAAGCAGAGAGATAATACAAGAAATATATCAGTAAGAATGGAAAAGTTTAATGCAAAATTTTCCAATATGAAACTGAAGATTAAGTGGGCATGTGCAAATGATAAAATGATCAATCTACAAATAAATTTAACTGTTAGCATTGATATCAAAGTTTTGTTCTGCTTGGACAAAAGAATCATATGTCTTGCATGCAAGAAGAGAAAATGGAGAGAAACCAAATATTGCTTAATACTTTGCAAAAGTAAAAATAAAAATACTGAAAAATAGAATACAATTTTTTTAATTTTGTGAATTACTCAAAGACTTAATAGTGCATCTTAAAAACATAATGTTCAGCACTCTTTCTGCCTTCATGGCCATTATACCTTTGCTGCTTTCTCTGACTTAAGTCTACGAACCACTTCGCCTTGTTCTGCCACTTTGCTGTAAAGAGCTTTGCAGACTACTGGACAGAGGGGCATGGAAGAAGGAAGAGCAGAAGGAGCTGAACTAGGAAGCAAACTCTTTGCTGGGTTTCCAGGTTTGTATTCCTGGCCTGTCTTTTGCTTATATTCCGCTTTCAGAGCTAAAAGCACTTTCACAGCAGCATCTATCTGATCCTACAACAGGAAGCGAAAGAACAGTTAAAAAGAGAGTAAAAGACAGAAAAGCATGTAGCAAAGTAGATGCAATAGTTAGGATGCACAAGATCAAGTTGACAAAAAGAAAAAAATCAGTAAGGGGCTTATTAAAACCTATAAATCATCAGATGCTCTTCACTTAATGAAGCTATTTGAATGTAACCAACAACCAAGGTTTTGTTTTGCATAGAGTGCTCCTTAACTGAAGTTTTATTTGTATTCTATGGGATGGATTCAGGCATGTAATAAGATGGGGTTCTTCAACCTGGGAAGGTAGCCCAGCTAGGAGAAGGGAAACTCTGATCCTAAACCTCTGCTGCCTTGCAGGATATCTCTGGGAGAAGAAAAGGCCAAGGAGAAAACCCTACACAAATCCAGAATGGAGTCCCCAAGATAGTTGGATGGTGCCTTGTATGCCTCCTTTCAGCAACTCCTGCAGCCAATCTGGTGCCAAATGTATTGCTCTGCTTTCCTTTGGATCACATCAGTGCGGCAGAGAGGGAAGTCTTGTTTGGGCAGCCCAGGATCTCCAAAGAAGCGCAAGGTGCAACACACCAGAGCAGGAGAGGTGGGGATCGTTCTTGTCTGGCAAGCTGCAATGCTTGTGCAGACGGAATGTTTGTCATAATGCAACACTGATCTCCACCCAGTCCAGAAAATTGGTGCAATACCCACTTTCACATAGTTCAGCAAAGATACCAGAGGGCCATTATTTGGGGGGCATTAATTGGGGGGGGCAGAATTAATCACCACCACTTTTAATTAATATTTTATCTTTTGACACTTCTACCATAGATGGTTTTAAAAAAATCCCCTTTCTCTCCTGCCAGACCTATGTTTATCATCCCCAACTTCTCCTGCTCTCTTAAGGTTAGTGGTAGTCCTGCCCAATGAGTTCTTCTTTGTCAATCTACTTTTATAAATAACAGAAAAGCCAGATCTATCATCCACCTGATAAAAGGTTGCAACAATCACTTCTCAATTCCTTCTTATCCAGGCTTATTCTTCAAACACTAACCTTGGGCACTTTTTCTGCTTTCAGCTTTCGAACCACTTCCCCTTGCTCAGCGACTTTATCATAAAGAGACTTGCTGTCTAGATGGGTGGCACTGGCAGCCTCACACTTGGAAGGCTGGGCCTGAACTGCAGCGACCGGAGGATTCCCAGGCTTGTAGTCTTGACCCGTCTTCTCCTTGTATTCTGCTTTCAAGGCTAGCAGCTGTTTCACGGCAGCATCAACTTCTTCCTTTGCTGCTTTCTTTGATTTCAATTCACGAACTGCATCTCCTTGGGCAGACACCTTGCTGTAAAGAGCCAAGTGGTCTTCGACTGAAGCAGGGGCTGCAGCACGAGAAGCGTCAGCCGCAAGTGGAGCAGATCGTCCTTTCGGAGCAGTACTAGCCTTGGAAAAGAAGAACCAATGCATGTTTTTACAATGAATCAAACTGGATGAAAGAGAATTAAAACAGTAATAATAATAATAATAATAATAATTTATTATTTGTACCCCGCCCATCTGGCTGGGTTTCCCCAGCCACTCTGGGCGGCTTCCATAGAAACAAAAAATACAGTAAAATATCACAGATTAAAGCTTCCCTGAACAGGGCTGCCTTAAGATGCCCTCTAAATGTCAGGTAGTTATTTATTGCTTTGACATCTGATGGGAGGGCGTTCCACAGGGCGGGCGCCACTACCGAGAAGGCCCTCTGCCTGGTTCCCTGTAGCTTTGCTTCTCGCAATGAGGGAACCGCCAGAAGGCCCTCGGCGCTGGACCTCAGCGTCCGGGCAGAACGATGGGGGTGGAGACGCTCCTTCAGGTATACTGGGCCTTCAGGTATACTTTCACCAGTACTGGTGAAAAACTTGCCGTTTCAAGTAGAACATCAGCAAAGCCGGTCAGGGCACTTCAATATGCAAAGGGCTACTACAAATGTCTCTTTTATCCTCCACCCACCCAGAACAGGATAGCATCCAATGTTTGCAAAGGAGGAGAAGAACTGAAAATAAACTAAAATAAATCAACTTTGGTTAGCACAGGTGTTTCCCAAGTCTGATTACTAGTTCTGTGCTGTTTAAAACCTGGAACACTTTTATAGCAGTGTAGTTTGCCAAACACCTGACCATCTTCACTGCCCTCATCTGAACCCATCCCAATTTGTCTATATCCTTCTTCAAAGGCAGGGGTCAGCACTGGACACAGTACTCCAGATGAGGTGAGACCAGTACAGAATAAAGTGGAAGTGTTACTTCTTATGACTTGGAAACCATGGTTCTATTAAAGCAGCATAAAACTGAATCAGTCTTTTTGCAGTCAGGTAAGATTGCTGACTCATGTTCAGTTTCTGATGATGACGACTTATATGACAAGACTATAATCCTGGATTTCTTTTTATATGTGCTGCTGTCAAGCCAGGTTTTCTCCATTCTACACCTGTTCTACAGTTATGCCAGGCATCCCAAACATCCTTCTGACTAACAATCAAAATACACTAGGTTTCCTTACCTCTTTCTTTGCTGTTTCTGCCTTGGTTTTCTCCTTAGATCCAGATGTTGGCATTTCTTTTGTATGCCCATCAGGGATATAAATCAAAATGCATGGGGCTTCTTTACAGCTGTATGGGCTACAAAGATTACATTAATTGGTTTTTTCATGATTATCTCCCATTGATTGGCATAATATAGACAATGTGAATACGACACTTCTAAAATACAAGCATCTAAATTCCAATGTGAGAAAGGGTTAAGCGTGAACTCAATTTCCCTGCTACATTAATGGGATATGTAACCTAGTCCTATGCATACTTACCAGGCAAATCTCCCATGATTCAGTGGGACTTACTCCCAGGCAAAGGTGTGCTACAGTGCATTGCTTAGATCTATGTAGTTCTTTTCACACTGACTGTAATTTTATACATATCAAAAGAACATGCATTTGTATAAAAATAAATGCACATATGAAAATTGTAAAAATAATAATACCCCCAGCTGGACAAACTCGTAATTTATTTCGGCATCAATCTCTGCTTACTGTTTGTAGTCTTGCTGCTCTCCTAATGGTATCTGTCTAGCAAAACAGTAACTAATCTGAGGTGTTCCCAAAGCTTTTGAACCTCTGGTAAAACAGGTTTCTTATTTACAGCATTTTTTCAGTTATCTGCCATTTCACAAAGGGCCAAGTGCCATGGGAAGCCAGTATAAGAAGAGAAAATATGTGTCCATTGCTAAGGAAACCAGAACGATGCTCCTGTGCCCCAACCCAATTATGCTTAGTTGAGCAGCTTGGGCACAATGTGAATGAGATGTGTATCCTACTGAAACTAATGCAGTGCAGATGGCCAACTTCTGCATTCCTATGCACAGCTGTCGCTCCACACTGCCCTATTTTCAGTAGGATGCACCCCCAGATGCATATCCAAAACATGCATCTCCATCCAGTCAGGCATAGCAATGAGGGCCAAGCGCTGGATTAGGCTGAAGAGTGGTGATTTTCAGTGCAATATGATATGCCAGAGAGTAATGGCTTAGTTGCCTGAGGATAGCAGGATGCAGTTCCTCATTTTTCCCCATGAATTGCCGACCTATCAGGGGTTCGATGGCTGTCAATTGGTATGCATGTTGGTGAAATGTGCAGAAGAATAGAAGGCAAACACCAAAAAAGTCCAACTATTGTGATGAAATGTCAGGCCTCATGAAAGTTCAGTGCAGCAATAGTAGTATGCTAAAATGGAGTTAGGAGTATAATAATAATAATGGCTAGATAAAACCTTTACATTTTGTTATCTGCATGGTTCAACAAATGAGACAGGGAAATATACAGCCTGATATTACAGAGAATAGGCTGCCTGCTGTTCAGTTTGTTCAAGAGGACACACAAGAGCTACACACACACACACTTTTCTAATCATTCTGCTCCAAAGGCACTCCTCTATTTACTTTCTGCAAAATGCATTCCACAAGCCTCTAATTTTGTATCTACATGGACTCCTGGCAAAACAGGAACATTTGGAATATGAGTATAAATATGGGAATTTGGGCTGTGAAACTCTGCAATGGCCATAACACACTTACCTAATTCTATGGCAGAGCATACCAAATGGATAAACAAAAGGAATGAGTTTCCAGTTGCTCACCTAATAGGCTCATATGGCTGATCACAAATATAAAAGCCTCTTCTCTGAATCTGTATTATATCTCCTTTTTTCAGATCTTTAAGGCAAGGATCACCTAACATCAATTCTTCTTGCTGTAAACAGGTTAAAAATCAAGTCAGCATTACGTCCCATGAACAACACAGTATACGTGCTAAGAATTAGTGTAGTGGCATTGCAAGGGTGAGGCCAGCCCAGGAGGAAAGACACATCTTGCTGAATACTGAAAGCCCCCAATTTACAATATGACAACTCATTTGGAGAGCCAATATCTAAAAGGAAGAAAAGCAGGCGTACAACCAACATGGTATAGTGGCTAGAGTGTCGGATTTTGATTAGGAAGACTTCAGCTCAAATATTGTCCCTACCACAAAGCTTACTGTGTGATTTTGAGGGCTAGTCACAATCACCCAACCTAAGCTAAATTGCAGGTTTACTGTGGTAGAAAAAACTCCAGGGGGGTGGAGTGGGGAGACCATATTTGAGCTCCTTGAAGTATGAGAGAAATTTTAAAAATGTAATAATAATATAAATAGGTGACGCTGCAAGCTACCTTGCTATTTCTGTTGACATACTGCTTGAAATCTTCCTCTTTGCCCAGGACAGGTTTGGTGATCAAGTGTTCATAGTTGACACAGACAGTAGGGATGGGAGGAGCACAAGGAGTTTCTGCCAACCAGGTGATCTTAGCAGTTTTTTTGTAGTCCTTATTCTCCAAATTTAGTTTAGCATCAATGGATGTGATTTTCCCAGCGGAGTTCCTACACAAAGCAGAACACACTGTGATTAAATAGTGCAAATAAATGACTAGTATAGTATCTAGGTTATATCAGTGGCATGCAGTTAACTTGTTTTGCATAGAGAAGTTTAAATAAATAAATAAATAAATAAATAAATAATTTATTATTTGTACCCCGCCCATCTGGCTGGGTTTCCCCAGCCACTCTGGGTGGCTTCCAACAAAGATTAAAAAGACATTAAAATGTCACACATTAAAAACTTCCCTGAACAGGGCTGCCTTCAGATGTCAGGCAGTTGTTTATCTCTATGACATCTGATGAGAGGGCGTTCCACAGGGCAGGCGCCACTACAGAAAAGGCCCTCTGCCTGCTTCCCTGTAGCTTTGCTTCTCGCAGTGAGGGAACCGCCAGAAGCCCTCGGCGCTGGACCTCTACCATCATATTCAACAGTCAAGCTACACTCGGCTGGATCTATTGTGAGATGTCACTTCAACTTATGCAATTTCTGCTTGCTGCCCCGCAGTTGCAGCTCCCTTGCAACATGTCCTAACAATTCCTTGAACCCCCAAGAACAGCTTCTGGAGGTGCAGAAGGTTGCAATCAGGTGGGGGAGACAGATAACGGAACTGTGCTTGCAGTGTTAACAGTCCCATCCATTACATACTTTTCTTCAATGTTTAAAAAGCCAGACCTCTTGTTCCCAATAAAATTCAACATCCCAGCTTGTTCCAAGATCCAGAAACTTACTTGTATATTTTGGTGATGATTATGTTGCCCCAGTTAATAAATGTAACCATCTCTCCTTCTGTCAACGTCTCTGCATCTGCGCCTTCAATCAGCACTTTGGGACTGTACCATACAGGCTTCAAGCCAACCTCAGCATTCTGCATGTTAACGAGAAAGAAAAGAACTTACCCCAATGCTTGGTTAAGGCTGCAATCCTAATACGTGCCTGACAATAAGCCCCACTTACTCATAGAACTTACTTCTGAGTAGACATGGTTAGGGTTGCGCTGCAGGTTTTTGCTTTAGATTATAACACACCAATCCATCCTAGAATACACAAATGCTGAGCTTTGCAGGAGAGTTTGCCATTAATGTGAATTCTTCTTTGGATTGCAATGAGATGGTTTAAACTATGAGCTGGTCCATCCTACTTGCCTGGGGAGGGAGAACTGCTACGCTCAAGCCAGAAAGGCAAAAGATGTGAAGGGGATAAAGATAAAGGGACCCCTGACCATTAGGTCCAGTCGCGGACGACTCTGGGGTTGTGGCGCTCATCTCGCTTTACTGGCCGAGGGAGCCGGTATACAACTTCTGGGTCATGTGGCCAGAATGACTAAGCTGCTTCTGGCGAACCAGAGCAGCACACGGATATGTGAAGGGGGTGCCCCTTCCTATTTCCCGCCTCTGCTGATAGGACCCCCAGCTTCAGGGCTGGCATAGTGTTCTCCCTGGTTTGTGGGATGTGCCAGGGTATATTAGATAGTTAAAGTCCAGGGGCTCCCTCAACCCTCCTTAGCACATACATCCCAACTCTAAAATAAAAACTCTCAACATCTTTCCCAGAGTGCTAAAGAGCATATTATGTCACCTTGCACCCCCATTTTACTCTTTCATTAGCTCTGCCATCCATGAGCTAACTAATCTTACTTTTCCTTTGTTACATTTTGGGAGTGTGGAAGAATGGTTTCAGGCAAACTTGGGAATACTACACAAGTTCTCTGTTTTAACTATCTGCATTACAGTGTCTCTTAAAACAAAACAACTAACTAGCAAACCTTTGGATGCTTGGCGACTTCTTTCATCTCTTCTTGAGCTTCAGGAACGTTTACTGTGACTACTTCATTCTTCAGCAAAGCGGTGTAGCGAGGTGCCACAGGATCTATAACCTACATACCAAGAATAACCAAAAATAATCACATCTATTCAGTACGCCCAGAACAGATTTTTTTTTAAAAAAAAAAATCAGAATTATGTGAACTAAAAAGTGTATGCATCATTTAGGAATATTAACTGGTATTCTTTGTGTTACTGCATCTTTGGTCAATAAGAAAAGAGTAACTCAAAATCCACAAGAGTTATACACTCTCCTGGCCTTCCACACAAAAAACGGATACCTCTGGTTTAGAACTCATCTAAAACTTTACATATATAGTAGAGGGCAATAAATGTTATAGTTCTGGCCATAAAACAAGTAAAAATCCTAGTAATCTCATACCTTTGTAGATTACAGGTAACTCTGAATGTTGGCTTAAGTCTTACAGGATAAGCCAATGTATGCATGCTAGAAAGCAAACCCTACTTGAGTTTCAATGCAGCTTATTTCAAAGTAAACGAGTGTAAGAGTGAAGCCTTAGTGTGCAATTATGCTGAACTCACGGGATCAGTTTTTAAAAGAACAATAGATTTCACCCTTAGTTATTATCAACACAGGACACAATTCCATAATTTCACTTTTTTCCCTGTGAATTTCTTCCGTGAAGTATGTTTTCCGGCATCACCATTATTCAACAAAAGCCAGGAGCAGCCACATGGCAGGGCAGGCGGCATGGAGTCACTCTCCCAAGAGCAGTATCACTACTGCTTACTAGGATGGTGCGGGAGAAAGTGGGTGGCATGACTGTGGTAAGGTAGGGACAGGGTGGGTGTGCCGACAGAGTCAATCTGATACTCCCACCGGTGCTCCGGAGCAACCCTGGCCTCATTGTCACACTTCCGCATCAAGCTGCGGCAACACCTGTTGGGAAGGTGGCTCCATGCTCCCACACCCCACCGACTGCCCCTAACAACAGCGTTAGATCACTATAATAAGGCAACATCACAGCAATGAACTCAAGAATAGCTTCTCCTCTCTTGCATTACTGACAAAATAGTCTTCTACTCTATTCACAACTCAAACAGAACAGCTTCCAGGTATTTTTGCTTCTGCTTTTACTGCACTCGCTTCTTTATCGGTTTAAGCTTTTCAGTCTCTCTTACAAGGCCTTGCTACTTTGTACTAGCTGGAGGTATTAAGGCTAGTAAAGGAATGGAGAAACGATGTACACACATACAAAACTAGCTTATCTGGGAGAGAAATCTGAGGGGAGTATTTATTTGTTTATTTTTAGGTTACATGTGAAAACAGCGGCTTCTAAGGAAATATCCCATATTCTGCTTTCCCAAATGCTAGGGCCATGAGTACAACAGTGTTGCAGGAGAAAATTAACTAAAACAGGTTTCGTACCAGAAGTGAAACAACGTACACATTACTACTGATATGGATGCTAACTAGTTGAAGTACTTGAAACACACATTACTCATAATTCCACCTATCAATAAGAAACACAAGGAAATTGTTGACACCCTGGATCTGGGCACCCCAGGAGTCTAAATTCAATAATCTGACTTTGGATTAGATCCAGGTATCAGCAACACTTGTGTTACTTTTTAGTAGGTGTGCAGAGGTATAAATTATTTTCTTATCAGTATCACAAAAAAGCAAAACTTTAACTGCCCCACAGCTAACCAGCACAGTTTGTTGACTGCACTAACAAACAGAGGTTATTTGGGTATTCTTGAATTAATCTAACTGTTAAGAGTTTGCTTTTCTGACTCATTTGCTACTGACTCATTATTTTTGCTTTCTCAGTAGCTCAATACTTGGTCCTACAAACCAATTCAATGCCTTCGCTTTCACTCTTGCCCCAGAGTGAATGCATAAGGCAGCATACAGTGCCAAGAAGTGAACAACAACATAAATTTAAGGCCAATGGTGTTTATAAATTTGTTTGACGCACTAGTGTCCATCTATGCAGCAACAAAAAGAACCAATTGATAATCCCTCATATAAAATAAAGAGGACAAATGACAAGGGCTTTAGGAGAATACAAGACACATGCCAGGCAAGCAAATACTTAGTTCTGGGGCAAGCCTCCTTGAAAACAAGCAAAAATCCAGACTCAAGTGAAAAGAATAAGAACAGCCACAGAGTTGTGCAGACAGACACAAACAGTTCGCCTTATTATAGTGTCCAAGCATCTGCTGCCAAAGAAGCAACTAACCATGTCAAGATGCAGTATTCCTTATTTGATGCTAAATTAAGACACATCAGAAGAGCTTTACTTGCTGTCTGAGAGAGAAAATGTTAACGCCTTCAGTACACTGCAGAAAGGCAGTATGTCCAGCATTGTAAATTAAAAGTGACACTTTCTTCTCCGTTGAGAAATTCAGACTCAGATCATTATTTCCCCTTTAGAACAGGAATAATGCATTTTAAGATGGAAATACACAGCTCTTGTTATGTAAGCAAACGTGGTTGTGCTATGAGAAGTTGCACAGTGATGGCTTATGCTATGTATGCTTACAATACTGTAAGCTATATGCTAAGGCAGAAAAAGCGTTAAGTAATACCTTCTTACAGATAGCTCGCAGCTTGAAAGCAGAAAAATGAAATGCAGAATTTTCATCAGAGTTTACATTAGCAAAATATCATTATCTCCCACACAATTCAAGAACAACAATTCAGTATCAGACTGGCAGAAGTCAGCAAGATTAGTGTTAGCCCTGGTTAGCAAGAGGGGACATTCCATTTTCCTGAAGATGAGGAGCAAGGTGGTGCAACATACTGCATTAGCTAGTCTTTGAAGAGCATTCCAAAGAACGCTGGGTTCACAACCAGCAACAAGAGAGCAGGTGTCAATCAGAAATGTCATCAGATCAAAATGGAGGAGCATGTACCTTTTTGTTAAATGACCAAATTTTATCCCACTCCATGTTTACAACTGATCGAGAGGAGCCCTGTAAAATATAATGGGAAGAGGGGGATAAGAGAAAGAAAGGCCATAAATCTTGATGGTGTATTTGTTGTTGCATTTTGAATTACATCTTATTTACTTTAACCATTCTTTTCCACAACATTACTTCTTTACAAAAATAAACGTCCTCCCTCAGGACTAGAAATAAGTATCTTGCTGGGGGTGAGGGTGGGAGGAATCCATCAATAAGTAATCATTCTTTGTTGCAAAATAGAGACGATCTTCTTTAACACACTATGCTTTCTTAAAAGTTTCAGGTATAAGTCTGAGGGTAAATTAAAGATGGATCAATTGTCCAGTTAGATATTGAACATGCTATAGTTGTTTGATGTATTGTTATTTTCCAAATGTTAATATGATGTATCAACTTCTTTAAATCATAATCCTATGGTCCCTGGTAGAGTATCTCAGAGAATGAGTGGTCCATGTTTCACAGTAAGGTTGGTAGTACTATGGGATATATAGCCCAAAAACATGTAAAATGCTACCCATGGATAGGACAAATGAACAATCAAAGTCACAAGAGGAAGATTTTCCTGATGTTCCTGAAAGAAGGAATCGTCTATAAAACGATTAGATCTACAAAATAAAAAAATTCCTTCCAGTAGCACCTTAGAGACCAACTAAGTTTGTTATTGGTATGAGCTTTTGTGTGCATCTGATGAAGTGTGCATGCACATGAAAGCTCATACTAATAACAAACTTAGTTGGTCTCTAAGGTGCTACTGGAAGGAATTTTTAAAATTTTGTTTCGACTACAGCAGACCAACACGGATACCTACCTGTAACTAGATCTACAAAGACATTCCAGCTGAAGGGAGAGTGGACATGCAACCACCTACCTGTGCAGCAATAAACTGCTTCAGTCCTTCAACTGTCATGCCTCTTCTTAGGACACCACGCACAGTTGGGAATCTTGGGTCATCCCTAATAGAAATGAGTTTCTGCTTAATTTAACAATGCAAAACTGTGACAATATCAAGAAGCCTATGTTGAATAAACTTGGAAGAGAGGATTCTTAAAATTCTCTTTTTACTTTGGCTTTCCAACAGCCTGCACATCTTTCTTTTATCCTGCAAAAGCTGTGGTATCAACTTTGATGAATTCATAGCAACCTGCTTAATTCTTGGGTCTTTTTCCCAAGAACAGAAGGCATCACATAAGCACAGATCAATCTAAAGACCGAAAGAGTGTTTGCTGGAAATGGTGTTTGCTGAAAATGATACAATGTATATCTAAAACACTATATCAGAAAGTAACAGTAATTTTTCAACAAACATAAGCAATGCATGCATTGTGCCATTGATTTCTTAAATAATTACATAGTTACCCAAGGGATGTTATTAACATTCATACCAAACTTTCTGAGACTTTAACTCTTTTCTTTTTGGAGATTTCTACTCATTTTGCTTAATTTATATGTAGCAAAAAGTTGTCAACAATGACACCTGAGAGGAACCAGCATCCTTCCAATCATATTTTTGGGGTATACAAGTGACGTGAAGAAAAACTCAATCTGGTTAAACTGGTTAATGTAGTACTAATAACTGTGCAGGTGGCCATGGAAAAGTAAATTAATCCACCATTCCTTTTGCATGGTTTTTGTTACTATTAGGTAGATTTCTGCCACATTCTGTTCCCCAAGTTTGAAACCTCAGTTGAAAAGAAAGCTTACATTAAAAGAAGAGTGTGGGGATACCCATACACTTTCCCTACTTTGAACCTACATATTCAAACATTGTTCATCACAAAACTGAGCACAAAACTCCACCTTCTGGCGGTTCCCTCGCTGCGAGAAGCCAAGTTACAGGGAACCAGGCAGAGGGCCTTCTCGGTAGTGACACCCACCCTATGGAACGCCCTCCCACCAGATGTCAAAGAGAAAAACAACTACCAGACTTTTAGAAGACATCTGAAGGCAGCCCTGTTTAGGGAAGCTTTTAATGTTTGACAGACTATTGTATTTTAATATTTTGTTGGAAGCCGCCCAGAGTGGCTGGGAAAACCCAGCCAGATGGGCGGGGTATAAATATATTATTATTATTATTATTATTATTATTATTATTATTAAGCCAATAATTCTGAAAATTGATCTGAGTTTGAAAGTCTAACACCGACAGTTAAGAAAAGTTGTTGGATAAAAAGACTGAGCAAGGGTATTTAAAATATATTGACTAACACAATATCTAGCGAGTTGTAAACCTGTTAATTTCTTCATTCTTTGGAGTAATTTTTGTAAATTAAAAAAATTAAGCCACACCAACTTATTTTTAGTGTAAGATACTGCTTATGAAAAATTATACACTGATTAGATTGCAAAACAAATGTGCACATGTATAAACACCTGCATAATTCCTACCAAGTTTAACTCCTTTAACATACCAGCCATCCACTAGCCCTTCGTTGACAAACCAAGTGAGCTTCCTTTTAGACAATACAGTGTTGTTGAGGTTTAAGCGGCTGTACTCCCAGATATATGGTTTTCTTATTTCCAAGGCTTCAATAATCCAGTAGAACTGCTCATCTCTGTCATGATATTCTGTTGTTCTTAATGCATGGGTGACACCTTCAATACTGTCAACTATGGGACAGGCAAAATCATACGTGGGATAAATGCTGAAATGTAAGAAAAAATGCAAATAAGCTTCATGTACACATTGAAAGTGTTGAGCACTGCACACACTATTAATAAATTTAATAAACAATCTCTAAAGCAACGGAAAGATTTAGCCTGTTGTGATGACTACTGTTAATGAAAGAGGAAAAAAGAACTTTCCACTATCTTTAAAACAAAGTTCAAACACTATACTGTACAGTTGTACCTTTGTTCTCAAAGTGCTTGTGCTGCAATGTTCAGGTTTTGCTTCTGTTAAATATATAACAGAAGCAAAACTTTAACATTACAGCACAAACACAGTAGTTATAGTGAGTGAGCTAGTTCCACAGTAATTATAGGAAATGAGCTAGTTCCAGGAACTGCTTTTCCAGAATGAAAAAGTGAAAGAGAAAATAGGAAGGTTTTTCTTTTGAGCTCACTGATAGTAGAGGATTGAGCCCAGCTGTAACTGTTCATAAAGCAAGCGTCTTTGGAGCAAAAAATTAATAGGGTGAAACCCCGTAATTATCAGCAAATCCCTTTTTACTGAGATAGTAAGAATGTGGGGGGAGCAGGGGGCCACCGGCAAGGAAGAATACTTAACATCTTCCATGGCTTCCAATCCCGGCAAACCACACACACACACACACACACACACACACACACACAGTGTGCTTTTTCCCCAGTTCACTTCCCATTCAGATTTGGGAGGGAGTAGAAAGAGATTAAAAGGAGGAAGGAAGGGTTAAGAAACCGCTCTCTAATTCTCCCTGGAAAGTGCATCCCCAGTCCACAGCAGTATTAGGATGGAATCCCCGCAAAATGTTATCTCTGCCCAGGGTTTTAATCAGACAAAGCTAAGCTGGCAAGGCCAAAAACTGCTGTGAAAAGAGGAGGTTTTCTATAACACTATTGGGATTTCATCAGGCAAAGCTAAACTCAGCTTAATTTGATAAAGGGCCAAAGATAAAGACACCAAGTCAATGGCCCCATCCACACTTAATGAGAAAGCATCGCTAAATTTTAAGAATGGTTTAGCAAGAATATGAATGTGCTGGGCAACACTTCAAAAATCCACGAGTCAATCCTCCCCTGGTCTTTCCTTCAGCATGCTGAGGAGGAAACAAACCAGAAGTTGGCTTGGCATGACATGTGAAACAGCTCTTGTGGTTTGTTAATAGAGAAACAAACCATGAGTTTGCAGGTAATGACAAACCAACATCTGGTTTGTCCCCCCCCCTGTGCACTGAAAGAAGGACTGGGAGAGTCTCTCATTCTGCAACTGAGAGCACATTAGCCTGAGGCCCACCACTAATCTCACTGTAAGTGGCCCTATCACTTAAGTGAACTGCAATTTCCATTTCCTAACACATACTTGTACTTATTTCCTGTTCGTGGATGTGGCTGGTTTTTGCAGCGATAAAGAGTTGGGTCCCTCATGCATCCATTGTTACTACTCATGTCGATTTTTGCTCGTAGACAGCAGGTCTGCCCATATTCCGTTCCCTTTTTCATTTCCTCCCACATTTTGAAGTTCTTCTCAACAGCTATAAAACGGCAAAGATTTAGTTTAGATTTAATAACCCAGCTCTGGTACTATGAAATATTATTTACCAAAAGTGAGACACCTCCAACAAGAACGGAGCTAAAACTGACAGCAACTCTAGCCTAGCAGGTATTTTGGCAATGACTTTAACTAAAGAGTTTAACATTTTCTCACCTGAAATTCCATTGATTTATTTAGCTACTATTGTCTCTTCTGACTGGCAGCATCTCTCCAGGATCTTAGAGGTTTTTCCCAGATCTACAACATGATGATCTTTTAACTACATATGCAAAAAATTAACGAGATCATCATTTGAGGCCCATTTTTGTGTGCCTCCTCCATGAGAGGTCCAGAGGGTGGCAATACAATAATGGGCCTTTTCTGCAGTGGCTCCCCATTTGTGGATGCTCTCCCAAGGGAGACTCACCTGGTGCCTTCATTACATATCTTTACGCACCAGACAAAAATATTCCTCTTCAAACAGGCCTTGGGCTGATTAGCATTCTATGTCCTTCTAAATGTGTTGGTGGGAAGGGGGTTATTGATTTGTTTTTGTTATTGTTATGTATTTTGGGTTCTCATTTTGTATTTTTATGTGGTATTCAAATTTAATAAATGATGATGATAACAACAACAACAATAGTAACAACAACTAAGCAACTAATTAACAAAGCAAATAGAGATGGAAGCCAGAAAAGCATCTTACAGTTATTTCTGTGCTTGGACTCTGTTCTTTGCTCTCGTTCCATTTTCATTTGTTCTGCGGGCGTATCATCTACATAAGCCTTCCCTTCATGAATGAGCTTCTCAGCATATTTCATTATTGTTTCAAAATGATCCGAAGTGTATGTGAATTGGTCTGGTTTGATGTGCAGCATTGCAACATCTTCCAAGATAACCTGAAGATATAAATGTTGAAAGGATTAACTTGATATACAAAAATCCTAGTATTAAGTCCTCTCACTGACAGATCTTGCCTTTTTCACCTGATCCGTATTTTCACCTGATCCAGTAGGTCTTTGGGGGTTGCGGTTGCTTAAAGAGCTCTACAAAAGAACTTTGAAATCTCTAAATCCTTAATTTATCCAGAGAAAACAATTTTTGCATTTCTGTATTGTTCATGAGGATATCCTAGAACTCACTGGCAATTTCAACCTCTCAGTACCTTGTGATACCATTAGCCACTGTTTCCTTCTGAATAGGTCATCTTAGGGGGGAACCAGAGCAATCAAAGCGAAGAGCAAGATCCTCAGTGCAATTATAGCAAGCCCACTTGGCTTCTTAGCACTATTAATGCATATGCATTGGGGTGAGAGAGTCAATGAGAGGTTCATTTGCTATCAATGTGGTCTTTTAAAAAACACTTTTTAGAAGCTCAGCTTCACAATGAATCAGGCTCTGTACTGTTTATTTCATAGTTTGCATTGTAAATCAAATAAATCCATAAAAGAGAGATCTTCTCTAGCTCTGTTCATATTTTATTCCAGTGCAATGAGCTTTTCTTTTCTGTTGTTTCATCCCACATCACCCAAGGTAACTTTTGAAAGCCTAGAAGCACATGGGTGAGGCCAAACAGCCAACTGTCTGCTGAAAAAATCAAGGACAACATTTGGGTGGAAAGGACTTAGGCTCAGTCCCAGGCTATTCCTAAAGCACCTGTGTGAATGATATCCTTTGTGTTATGTGAGGTGTCCCCACCCACTCCATAGTTAACAAACAGAACTGTATAGAAATCAAAACAATTGGAGACCCAGAATGAGATATAATATGAAAAGATACCTTTTCAAAATCTTCTTTTTCTTTTTCTGGATTTGTATCATCAAACCTCATGATCAGTTTACCCTTGAAGTTGACCTGGTAGTGCTGATTCAACAGAGCAGCTTTTGCATGTCCAATATGCAAGTATCTAGGCAGAAAATAATGTCAAGAAGAAAAGAACGTTGGCTACAAGGGGAAAGTAAAGTAAAACATAGAGCACACCAAAGGAAGAGGCAAAGTATTAGTATTTCCCTTCTTTAATTGTTGCTGTAAAGTATGTTTTGTTTAACATAAAAAAAACTTAAAACTTTTTCTTTCAAGTCATAACTTCATAGCCTCTTGAGAACAGAATCCAATTTTTTTGGACTCAGTCCAAGTTAATGTTTGATGTCAGTGGCTTAGGAATTGCACATGCACACATCACCATTTGTTTGTTTAAGGTACACTTTATATCACTTTCAAGACAAATGCCAACCACGATACTCAATAATTGATATGGCAAAAACCATTCTATAGCCTGATCATCATCAAAAAAGCTCAGAAAAGTGCAAGAGGCTCCAGAAGGAAGGGAGCAGGGAAAGGAAAGCCCTATCCCTTAAGTGAAGCTCCACTCACAGTTATTGGGATACAGGCCTATGTAAGCTAAAAATATTTCACTGATAAAACACAAATATTGCGAATCTTTACATTTTCCAATTAAAAGAAATGTGAGCTAACAGCAATCTTGCAGAACACTGAAGTTTCCCAGGACAGAATGAGACGGAAATCAAACTCTCAAAATGTATTTTATTTTCCTTCATGTTTAGCACATACGTTTTTCAGCTACATGAGAAGGGCATTTAAAGATAAGCAGTTTCATACAAAAGAACACGCTTTAGAAAGTAATTTAAAAGTAACATAGTTTTTAAATTCTCCTTTCCTTATGAAAATTACAAGAGAAAATCCATTCTCTATCTTTCACACTGCGAAAAGAGTGTGGGTTTAAAAGTCCTTACACACACCAACCTACAAATGTCAACTTACCCGCTTGCCTCAGGAGGAAATCTAACAATGACTTTTCCCATCTCTGCTCCAGGGAGTTCAACGAATTTCCCAACATCTTGCTTCTTCTCTGCTGCCTTAAAATTAAAACAATGAATGAAATTATTAAATCACAAGCTGAGCACAGAAACACACAGACTTTTATTATGAAAACTAAGTTAGCAGTAACAGCTGAGCGACTAAATAATTATCTGAGATGGGCTCTATTAACAGCAGCACAAGTTCAATGGGCTGGATCCAGAGAAAAGGCAGCTGGCAGAAGAGGATTTTTCTGCCACCTCATTCCCCTGGCAGCTCTACCCCCCCTTGTGCCCCCAGCATTTAGAATGGGGACCTTCCAGTATTATCTTTCTGTTACTGAACAGACCGCAGTGGTCAGCAGGGAGAAGTGGTGGTGCTTATCTGACCTTCCGTTACAAGACTGCGATTACCAGGAGGGAGAGGACTGAGGCAGCAGAAAGGTTGGCGCAGTGCAAATGCAGCAAAGGAGTCAATCCAGAGCTCCTGCTGGTGAGTTTGCACCATGCTGACCTCCCTACCAATCCCAGAAAACACAGTGAAGTCAGTGACAGGAGGTCAGATAAGTGTCCCTGTCCTTTCCCACTGATTGCTACTGTGAGCAAATCCCTAAGCCGAAACATGACAAGGCTGTTAGAGTGGCACAACTATATTAGTTAAAGCTTGCATCTTAACAGTTCAATTCTAAACTGAATATGTTTGTTTCTTTAACTTGCTTTTTATTGTACTTTGAGCACTACATCCAACACAGTGGTACTTCGGGTTAAGAACTTAATTCGTTCTTGAGGTCCGTTCTTAACCTGAAACTGTTCTTAATCTGAGGTACCACTTTAGCTAATGGGGCCTCCCGCTGCCGCCATGCCTCCGGAACACGATTTCTGTTCTCATCCTGAAGCAAAGTTCTTAACCCTAGGTACTATTTCTGGGTTAGCGGAGTTTGTAACCTGAAGTGTCTGTAACCTGAAGCTTCTGTAACCCAAGGTACCACTGTATAGACTACATTGCACAGAAAGACAAAAACTGCTGTTAGCTGTGCTGGTCTACTAGAAAAAAAAATCTAAAAGCAACAATGGTGCGATACCTTTTATAAGGACCAACCAAAAAGTCACAAAGTAATGAGCAAGCTTTTAATTTCTTCCCATTCTTCTTTTGAAAACTGTGCTAACAACACTGCTGATTCAGATCTTTTGCGTCTCAGATGTGCAGCAGCCCATTGTGACCTTTTCTGCTCAGCACTTTGCAGATAAAATCATTTACATCCACCCTTAGATGACAGAACTCTGGTAGAATATGAGCCAGAAATGCCTAATCAGCAAAAAGCTTACCATTTTAGTCTTTGGAATAGCAGCTCCCACAGTCCACCTGGAACCTACTGACTGGAAAACATGCTGTGTTTCAAGAAAGTTGTACCAGCGTTTTACATGAACTGGAGCTTTACCATGAAGTAACAGCTCTTGCCCTGCACTGCTGCCTATTGGGGGAAAAGCTATGTTTTATTAAACATTAGGAAGCAGACAGTTTGGCAGGATTTCTTACTGACATGATTCACACCAAACATCAGCACAGATCAATATTAGAAGCTCAGCTATGAGAACACACCTCTAGAAAAAAATCAAATTCTACACTTTAATTTTAGGGAGGGCACAGAATAGATGCATTCACTGAGCTGTTCAGGTGTACAGGTCTCCGCAAACATATGCAATTTTGGGGGGAAAGTCGTATCACATTACAAAATAATTCACTGGCAAAAATGGTAAAAACACAGTTGGAAAAGCTGTTTAAACAATAATGTAACAGATCTGTAGATTTCATGGGTTGTAGCCTTCCATGAATAGAGTTACTTTCATTCATATAACAAAAATGAGGTATGCAACCTATTATGCTGCAGAATTTAATTCATGCAAAAACATTATATGTTATTTAATCTAACATTTATATCTAACTCTTCAATCCTAAAAGTGCTTCCAGAGCAACTATTAATTAAAACAATCTATTTAAAACAGCTATTACATTAAAACAATAAAATTACAGAACATCTCCCACAGCAAAAAGAAGAAAAACGGCTGGTCTCACTAAATTTACTAGTATGTAAAAATAGGAAGAGAATTCTTTGGATTTAAATTTCAATAGATATTAACACTTTGGTGAATGTAATACATAAATGAGTAGTTATCAAGGTCCTGCAATTTTAGCACATTTTCTATATTATTTACCTTTTAGTGTTGCCCAGACACTGAAATCTGCAAGACTCAAAGAGTTCCCAACCAAATAAGTTCTCAGAGAAAGGCAGTTATTGAGCTCTTGAACTGCTGAAGCAAAACTGGTGGAAGAAGACAACTTTGTGGTGCTGAACTCCATCCAATGGTCAACCTTTGTAAAAGAAGGGAGTTGTTTTTGCTTAAATATTTTGTAACAAGTTATATAAAAGTGTTGTTTATAGCCATCACAAAAATCATACACTGGGTGCTATTAATCTAAGTTTTACTCAGTATAGATCTACCGAAAACCAACTATTGGTCTCAGCCACTCAGTCTGCTGGAGCCTATCTTCGCATGCACGGAAGGTCCCTAACGCACTGAGGGTTTGAGACCCATTAGCTACTCTCATCTGGTTTAGCCAGCCAGTTGAAGCCACTCCTGGTGTGTAGCTGCTGTCACATCCTGACAGCTTCTAGGAGCCACAGAGGAGAACCGAGTGCAGGGTAGGGACCAAGGGTGAAGAAACTACCCCAGAAGAAGCACGACGAGTCCCCTGCCAGAGGTACTATGCCTCCCACACTAAAACCAGCACAAAGAGCTTTTCTTAGTAGGTAATTAACGTGGGTGGCGCTGTGGTCTAAACCACAGAGCCTAGGGCTTGCCGATCAGAAGGTCGGCGGTTCGAATCCCCACGAAGGGATGAGCTCCCGATGCTCAGTCCCTGCTCCTGCCCACCTAGCAGTTTGAAAGCACGTCAAAGTGCAAGTAGATAAATAGGAACCGCTCCGGCGGGAAGGTAAACAGCATTTCCGTGCGCTGCTCTGGTTTCGCCAGAAGCGGCTTAGTCATGCTAGCCACATGACCCGGAAAAACTGTCTGTGGACAAACGTCGGCTCCCTCGGCCAGTAAAGCGAAATTAGCGCCGCAACCCCAGAGTCATTCGCAACGGGACTTAACTGTCAGAGGTCCTTTATCTTAATTAACAGCCAGTGAAATTCTTTCAACAGTGGAGTAACATGTTGGCGATATCCTGTTCCAGGGAGGAGTCAAGACACCACATTTTGCACCATTTTCAAGGGCAGCCGCACACACAGCGTGAAATGCAGTTCACTAATTTAAGTGGGACTACTTTGAACTAAAACTTAGTTGATTACCACCCATTGCCATTAGGAAAATATTAAAAGAAATACACAGCCTACACATCATTCAGTTAATAACACTCTGCAACATTTAAGGTATTAATCAAATAGTGGGGGGAATAATCGAACAGGCAATCTCAAATATAAACAATTGATTCATACCTCAGTGTGTTCCAGCAAATTAGATCCATATAATCCAGCAGATGTGGCAATTCTAGCCAGATAGCGAGCTATGGAATTCACATCTGTAAATGTAACTTGACTATTTAAGGGGGGGGGGGGAGAGAAAGAAAAATACATGAGCTTCTCCAGACTGAAATACAATTGCATTAGGATGGATCATAAAAGCAGCATAGTAAGTTATTTTTAAATGAACTAATGGGCTTTCTACCAAATAATAAAAAGATCAATTAAGTGTCTGTCCCTTTTTAGAGCTTTATAATTTGCTGCGCTACTCTAATTCTTGTTACTTGAGAAGAAAAACCATAGGAAGTTTGATGATGTTCAATTAACTAACAAGCAAGAAAGGTGGCAACATGAAAATGTTTTTTTTTAATAATAATAATAATCAGGAGATAGATAGATATGCTCAGGGCAATCTTCCTTTTTACTATTCCGAACTTAAAAACTAGCATTTTTCTACTTGGAATGAAGAGAGGCAGATGCTGCTCATCTCTGGTCCGTGCTTCTTGATGGGGAAGGTGCCCCTGTATCTACCTTATTCACAACTAGCTCATAGAAATGAGTGAACCAGTGTCTGCCCCTTTACTTTGAATATGAAGAAGGGACAAAGAGTGGTGAAACAGCCAGTATGTTTACCAAACTAAATTGCGGTAACCATTTATAATGAAATATTGTTTGGGGGAGGAGGGGAGAAGACGGGAAGTGAAATACAAATTGCACAACTGATTTAAATCAATTAGTTTACAGTAAGAATACTACTATTTTAGTTGTCGGGTGCTAAAACAGATAAAAATGGATTCTAAGCCTAATAAAGATAGCAAAAACAAAATAATGACAAACAGGAGAATTCCTAAATTAATTTTATTAAGAATACCACTCCAAACTCAGTTTAACGAAGAACTGAAGAAGCTCGCCAAAAGTGTAAGAAAGGGTTTTTTACATAAAAAGTAGCAATAAAAAAGAGCAGTATGTGAATATATACAAACACATATAATAGCTTTATAATACAGAAGATAGAGGTTAAACAGGAGCAAAGAAGTGAGATGGCTAAATATTGATCCCACAAGCAACCATTAAATCATATTACCCTTTCTTCTGCCTTCCACTTAACAGCATAAATATATAAATTGACTTTTAAAAGCACTAATGGCAAAGATACAAGGCACTTACTCAGATACCCGTAGAATGTTCTCTTGGCCTTCTTCAACTGAAATTTTAACATGATCCTTCACATGTTCTGCAGTAAGCAAGGCTCCTAAAATACAGTATTTGTTGATTAAAAGAGGAAATATTTCATAATCATATTTTTTGAAGGGATTGAGATTAAACTCAACACTTCCCTCATCACTTGAAGACCGATACTCTCAGGAAAGAAATCGGTTTATTCCTGTTGGCTATTTTTCCTGGCAGCAATTAGGGTTGAATAGAAGGGGAAAGCCTTGACTAGTTTACAGTAATGACCTCAGTAGGGAATGGCTGTAAATTCACTTACCAGCACTATCTCAAAATTCAAAGTGCTGCACCACAACACTATACTAAATGCATGATCCAAAGAAATCTTTATCTTTAAGCCCTGCAGATTTCAATGGGAGCAGGTTAAACCTAAACCTAAAGCAGCTATTCTGTTTGTCTGGAATACACACTAACAGTTCTAAACTTCCAAGGACTGCTGTTAAGGTCACATCTGTCTAAAAATTTTGGATACTTGGATTTTAAGCACTCCCCTGGTAGCTATAGGTGACAAGAACTGCTTGCAGGTGAGTAGGCTGGTACAAGAGGGATGAAGTTTCCTATTGCTCCTCCCAACCAAGCAGGCAGAGGGAAGCCCCTCCTTCACAATCAGCTAGAAATGCAGAGGGTTGCTGCAGGAGGCAATGAACTCTGTCACTCCTCTACTAGCCCAAAGCAAGATAGTAAAACAAGTATTTCAGGCTAGTAACTGTTTGTGGCTTATTTACAAGATTTATCTTAATTTTAAAAAACATAAAATTCCAATGCATGTCTATTTGGCAGTAAGTCCTGGTTACAGTTTTAGTGAATCTAACCAAAAGATCCTCAATTTCACTTAAGTTATGTTTATCATTTTGTTACTGTGCAGCTTTGACACTTCTATAAGTACCACTAGCTTCAATATACCAAGTAAGTGTGCATTAGATTAAAGTTCAAAATTATTTGGTGTAAGTCCTGTAAAATTAAGAGGAATGTCTGAACAAACTTGCATAGGACCACACTGTTAAAATACTCAGTGTTTTTCTACAAAGACTTGCAGCCTAACTCAGCATTCATGCATTCATATTATTTCAGGTCAAGGTTTTGGTTTTGGCTTTTTTAAAAAGAGGGACAAAGAGAGGAACACACAAGCATTCTTTCTGGGTGAGCACCTTCCTGCATTGTGTCCATAGCATAGGCACACTTGCTTGCAAGTAAGCCTATTTATTTCAGTGGGGCTTACTTCTCAGTAAGCATTCTTAGGATCAAGTTGCACAACAAAATATGAATGTTTTAACTTTACTTATATTAAGTAGAACAATATTTAACATGTTGAACTTGCAGTATTATTAAGGAGTGTTATTGCAGGCAAGTGCACACTATTCAAGACTACACTGGAGTTATTTCAGGAGGCAGGATGAGAAGCTATAATTACAATACAGAAATCCCATGACTGAGCATAAAATCCTTCTGAGCTACGCCTCACTATGTCTAAAAGCAGTGCCAATTCACTAACGAAATGGCATTTATAGAATTTCATATATAGAGAGAGAGACTCCCTGGGTTTGGTTCTGCTTGATGGCATCTACACATCGTATAGACTGTAAGGATCTACAGTGAAGGAGTGAGGTGCCTTTTCTGATCATTAAGTCCGGTGCCACTCAAAGTGGCCATGCATTATTTTCGATGACCCCGATTGTTATTGAACAGGGTGGCTGTGAAGGGTGAAGGAATCACTAATCCGGAGTCCCAGGCACGCCAGGTTCCGATGCTTGTGGCCTATATATACTCCAGATTAGAAGATCCTCCAGCTATCCAGCTCGGCGCCACGTGTCAGCCCCTTTCAGTCGAGCTCGGCCCACCCACCAGCCCACCCCCTTTCTCCCTTTCCCTGCTTATGTGTGGTTGAAGGGAAGGGAGACTCCCATTTAAAATAACGCAGCTGACAACTACAAATTCACTTTTGGCAGGTGGATTATGGGTATGTTCTGTCTCCATATGCATGGTTGTTACTCCAGATTGGGTATTTGGTTCTCGAGCTTCCAGTTTCACATCTGACTGCCCTTGCCGGCCTCTTCCCACCATCTCAAGCCCTTTCTCGCCCACCCCCTCTGCCCTCCGTCCCCTTTCGCCCGCCTCGACCCTCTCTCCCTCGGCCCAGGGGGGATGCGGCGAGGCGCGTCTCGCTCTGCCCTTGGCTTTGGAAACGTCCCCGCTGCCAGGCGGGCGAGCGGGAGGATGAATGGACGGGCGAGACGACGCCGCCGCCGCCTGACGCAACATGGCAGCCACACGCCCCTCTCCACCAGCCCCACCGGAGGGGCTGCCCGCTGGCCTCCTCCGGCGTCCAAATCCCGTGTAGGAAAAGAGGGGCAGCCCTTACCGAGAGGGACGTCCGAGGGGTTCACCGTCAAGCTCAGCGCCATTCCGGCGGCGGCGGCGGCAGCAGGCAGAAAGGACCGGGCAGGAGCGCGGCGACTGGCAGCGAGGCTGAAGACGCGGCCCTCCCCTTTCCCGGCTCTGCTCCCGCCTCTCGAGTAGAGGCAGCAGCGCCGCCTCCTGCTTCGGCTCCCGGCTGGTCACGAGGCCTGACGCCTGCGCGTCTTCCTCCCCGGAGGAGGCCGAGAGGCTCTTCCCCGCCCACAAGCCCCTAACTCTCGAAGCGCGTTTCTCCTAAACCGTAAAGCCCTTCTCGCCTTGTCAGCCGCGGCTCCTCCCCTCAGAAAAGAACGAAGGGCGGCCGCAGGCGCTGCACGCGATTGCTCTTTATACGTTATGTGGCAGGCGCGGGTTTGGAAGCGCGTGTGGCTGCTCGTCACGCAGCCGTGTACAGTATCCTTGTCGAAGGCACACGTGGCGGGTTTGGGGGCTGTCAAGGAGCCTCGAGGCAGCTGGGACATTGGCAGCCTCTTCAGAAGCTGGTGCCTGAAAGGGCAAAATCTGCGACCTTCATTTCAAACCTTGGTCTTCTGTAAAGAAGATGAGTCATGGGCAATGCTGCGTCATTGTCACTGATGGGCTATGGCTATTGTTATTTTATTTTAGGTTGCAATTCTAACCAATAGTAAGTGTTCACAGCAGATATTCCTCACTTTCCCATTATCCTCTTAGGCTAGGCCTAGGTGGACATTCCTCATCATCACTCTTGAGATTATTGAACGTTTCCCTAATGAACAAGAACCTGTCATAATACTGCTAAATAAAATACAATTAGAAAACTAAAAATACTAGGATTTAAGTGGCTTCTTCCTCTATGCCTACTTAACTGGGGCTTACCTTGCTTATGAACCTTCCATATGATTTAAGCAATGACACTGAAACTAGAAAGTGGGAAATCTGGGGTAATTTGTACAAAAGGTGTGATTTCTAACTTTTGAGGTGTTGCAGTGAGAATTCTGACTGGAGCTGTAACACAAGCTAAACACATCAGTTGTGATCCAGGCTCCTTTGTACAGAGGGGATAATTATTTTACATGAGAAGGGAAATTTTGGTGGATTAAACTCCCCCTCTTCCTGTGCTGCAGTCTTGATCCAAATTGTTTCCCAATCTCCCCTAGGCTGCTTCTAATGAAATAAAAATGCTTCCTGGTTTGTTAAACCTATATTCCATATGCAAACCAGAAAACGATGAGTAAGGGCTTCCTACAAAATAAGAAGACAAACCAGTTTCCAGATTCAGACATAATGAAAAACTGATTTCCCAAATCAGTCAAGCTGTGTGTACAATGAGGAATGGGGAGAGAAGAAGAGGGAGCATCAAAGGGGCATCATATCCCATTTCTGAGTCCAGTTTTAATCCCAAACAGACCATAAGACACATTTAAGAAATGGTAAATATTTAATTTTCACAGTCATTTTAATCCACTCAAGACACATTGTGCTTTCAGTGTATAAAAGCTGAAATACATTTGTCTATAGCCTCTTCATACGTGAATTGCACAAAGGGGGCATCATACTGCTGGTCAAGCATTGTATGGATGTTTGAACTCAAGAAGCCTAGCATAAACAGTAGGCAAGCAGTGTAGCCCTGCTCCCCAGTCATCACGAGACACCCCCCCCCTTGAGTGATTCACATGTGAACAGGGTTTATAAACAGAGGTGATTTATTTTGCACCATTAAATATAATGGTACTTACAGTTTTTACTCTCAAGTTATCAAGGAAATGTGATTGTGTAAAGATTTGATTATTCAACAGGAATGTGTATAGATTAATAACAATAAACACAGTAATGGGGCAATATAAAATTTTAGAACTATGCTAACTGAAGTAACCTACTGTTCCAAATAAAAACCAAATTTAATGCCTGTTGTAACCGGTGGGTGACAGGGAGAGGAAATTACTAAACACTGTGGCAGAATGAAACTTTGATCCAATTCCATAAGCCATTACCAATTCCAGCTAAGAATAATAAGAAGCTCCTTCCCAATCAAGTGGAATGCACCATGCTTTGTATTTTAAGGCACAAGAGCTTGTTTAACCGTCTCAGGAACTCGACTGGCATAATAGTCATGGTTTTTCAAAGCAGCAAGGACACCTCCTGAATTCATATGCTTGACGTCTTTGTTATAACAAAAGAAATTGCCATGAATATCAGTGAGCTTGCCTGAAAGAAAAAGAAGAGGTTAGCCTTTAAACACAGCAGCTCTATTTCTACAAAGGAAGGGGATTGTAGAAACATAGTAAGTTGCCTTATACCAGTTCAGATCATTAGTCAATCTAACTCAGTATTGTCTACTTGACTGGAAGCAGCTCTCCATGGTTTTAGACAGAAGTCTCTCCCAGCCATACCTGGAAGTGCCAGGGATTTAACTTTGGATGTTCTGCATACAAAGCAGATCTTCTACCACTGAGGTATGGCTCTTCCAAGGTTATTTGGTAAAGGAACTGAACTCTCCTTTTCCATACCTTGGTTATCTAAATTTATTTCCCTCCATTACATAATCCCATTTTAGCATAATGGATAATTCATTTATTTAATTGATTTATAATCAACTCTTTAAGAGAAATCTCGACAAAGTAGCTCACAAGCATACACTCCAAATATTATAGATACTGAAAAACATTGAAATATTCATATGCATGATTATGCCAGTAACAAAAACCAGAAAAAAACCTAACAACAAAATATAGCTGGCCTATAACTCAGCAATATACCATATTTTTCGCCCCATAGGACACACCGCCCCATAGGACGCACCTAGTTTTTTTTGGGGGGGGAAATAAAGAAAAAAAAATTATTTCCCCCCCCCCAGGCTTCCCCCGACCCCAGCCCCCAGAACAGGCTGCTGCCTGCAAGCCTTGCGAGCCCGGCGTCCTATCCTATGCGGACATCTGCCCGAAGCACGGGGCATGCTCCGCAGCGCGCCCCGTGCTTCGGGCTGCAGGCTGCTGCCCGCAAGCCTTGCGAGCCCGGCAGGACCTCCCGCCAGGCGTGTGAGGCTTGCGGATAGCTTCCTGAAGCCTGGAGAGCGAGAGGGGTCGGTGTGCACCGACGCCTCTCGCTCTCCAGGCTTCAGCGAAAGCCTGCATTCGCCCCATAGGACGCACATACATTTCCCCTTTATTTTTGGAGGGGAAAAAGTGCGTCCTATAGGGCGAAAAATACGGTAGTTGCTATGTCAAGGAAACTCAGTAGCCACAGAAAAGAATTTATCACATAGGTCTTCCTGTATGTGAACTGGTTTCATCAAATGTTTCAACTAACCATTGAAAGAATTGGAATGACTGCAATAGTGAGTTCAAGTGGTTTTGTATCCTTGCTTGCTTGCTTATTTACTTGCACATGAGAAGATATGCCAACAAATGTGAGTGTAAATTAAATCATAACTTCAATACTACCTCATATAAAAATTGCATGGTAAAACAACCCAAAATAGAAAGGCAGTTTTAGGTTATTATCTAATATGTGTACACAGACACACATACTGTGTTATCATACATAGACAATATTACAAAATGTAGAGCAGCATCTGAAAACCTTTTTGTTTCATTTATTCCAGTGTATCTATTGACTGGATGCAGGTGGCACTGTGGGTTAAACCACAGATCCTAGGACTTGCCGATCAGAAGGTCAGCAGTTCGAATCCCCATAGTGGGGTGAGCTCCCATTGCTCGGTCCCTGCTCCTGCCAACCTAGCAGTTAGAAAGCATGTCAAAATGCAAGTAGATAAATAGGTACCGCTCCGGTGGGAAGGTAAACGGCGTTTCCATGCACTGCTCTGGTTCGCCAGAAGCGGCTTAGTCATGCTGGCCACATGACCCGGAAGCTGTACGCCGGCTCCCTCAGCCAATAAAGTGAGATGAGTGCTGCAACCCTAGAGTCGGCCACTACTGGACCTAATGGTCAGGGGTCCCTTTACCTTTACCTATCTATTGACTCACCTCCTACTGCATGCAAAATAGCTTCTGGTGCACATGTGTCCCACTTCTTGCAACCAGGGCTGGCAAATACATAAGCAGATGCCTTGCCTTCCACAAGTTGAATAATCTGTCGTGAACAAAGTTACAGTCACCATGTAGGCAATTGCATTTACTGACAAACTCTCCCTGTATGAGTTTGGATGATCAAATTTCAACTTAATAAGGCAAGAAAGACCAAGGCTTTGGCCCATTAACACAGTCCCTTCACTCCTCCCTTGGTATGAACCAACCAAGTCGTCTTCCATTAAATGTAGCTTCTTATTTCATACAAAGTGAGTATCTATTATAGTTACTACTACCACTTTTGAAATAAGGCAACACGTTAAACCAAAGTTTGAAATCATTTCAAAACCATGACTTCTTCCAAAGCTGTTAAACATCATTCCTGGTTATCATAGAACAGTTAAGGGAAGACGTTCTGCATGTGGAAAAATGCTTCCTCACAACACCCTGAACATCTTTACAGTGAGTAGGGCAGCACAGTTTTCGGTTGGTGGTGTACACTATGCATCTGTAGCAACCAGCTTCTGTGGAGGCAGAGTTCTATACATTTTTGATTCAGTGAAGCTATCCCAATATTTCAATGGTCATTTTTACATAGCGAACAATTTATCTGAAATTCAGGAGAAATGACCCTCCTCCACAGGGAATTGTTGACAGGTCGGTTGAAGTTGCTTCATTTGCCCAAGAAGGCCCAAACAACAACAAACCTATGACTTGGTCATAAGGCGTTTTCATTTTTTTAATGTGCAAACCCCCTAAAAGCACTAGAAGGAGGCAGATAATTTTGAAGGCCGCTTTCTAAATTATCTCCGTCCTATCAAGGATTAGTACGTCTCAAAGTCCCATCAGAAGCTAAAACAATTCACATTTCTTCCTAACACTTGCATATCCCACCCTATAATGCGAAAAGAGGCTCAGTTTAGCAGTGAAAGGGAAGCAACAGTAGCACCCTACTGACAGTGGTGGTACTGCGCTTGCCAGGAGGGAGATGAAGTCAAGTGGCAACAAAGTCAGGTGAGCTCTAGGTTGGTGGCAGACCTGCAGGTGTATACACACCTGCAAGCCTGCCAGTGGCAACTGGAGATCCCTCAACCTCACCTTGCCCATCCCTGTCGAAGGAAGCAGCAACACTGCCAGCAGCATGAAGAAATTACTACCACTACAGCTGATGGCTTAATCCCTGTACTCATTCTCATGGAAAAGATGTTCTGCAGTACAGCTCATGAAGAGCAATCGTATTTTTGGTCCTAATCTTTTTTTAAAAAAACATTATCTTTCTAAAAACTGAAACAAAATTATCTCCACACCTTATTTCCTGCACCGCCAACTCTCACCACATGATCAGGGTTCATGGCACTAATGCAATCATTGACCAGCTTGCTGCTGTGTGACCGTGTGGTGGTGATAATATGTTTCCCAGCTGGAGCCTCCTTCAGCTGAAATCCAAAGGCACCCAAACCTAGGACTCCCCATATTGTCCTGCCCAGGACTGCATCTGCACCTGCCTGCAAAAAAGGTACAAAAAGTTCAGACACTGCAATGATACCTTTTGTCGTAAACTACAGTTTTAAAAAGAAAGTAACGCAGATGATCGCTGGAAGTACTGCACTTATGCTGTGGAAAGAAAACAAAACTTATTTAATAGCATTTCTCTTATTTTGCCGCTTTTTTGCATTAACATGCAAGTTCCATCCCTGGTAGGGATTGTATTTTTATGATTAGTGAAGAAATAGAGTCAGGACTCTGTGATTCTTTTCCCGAGTTACAGCAGTATGAGGTCTACTTTTGCCCTATAATAACATATAACGTCTCAGAACACTTCGTAAGATAATATTACTTCCTCCAAAACTCCCTAAAGGGGAAATAGAATCCCACTAATGGTACTAAGTCAACTGTTTCGCTTTCTGATATACAATCTTTATTTGCTTTCCCAAACATTTTATCTTTGACTCCAATCATTGTACCATCAAGCTCACTTACTCAATTACCTTTATAAATTTAGTGCTTTTTCCACCATGTAAATAAGACAAAGCTCCAGGTTTTACCCAGACTGTTAAGTACAGCAGCTCTATCCCAATCATCCATAGGAGATAATCTCTGCACAGCATCCAGAAATATTTCCAGCCTTTAAGCCTAATCGCAGCAGACCACAGCATACGGTGCGTTACTTTATAACAAAACAACTCAAGAATTCCTGATGTTATATATAAAAAGTTTTCCCTGACTCTACAACAAGATTGCAGATAAGCCCTGATTGTGGGCATAGCATTTGCCTAGTGGGATTTAGTAAGAAAGAGTTGATCCTCCCCTTAGAAATAATTCTTTGCCTGGTTTTGTGCACTTCCTTTTATCTAGACATACACCACTGCTATATGCACAGCATTATCCAGCAGCAGCTAGGGGAATCAGGCAATTTGTTTGATACTTTTCAGCAAATCAAGGCATCTCCTACCTCGTAGTTATAATAGGGTTGGTTAATGACTCCTGCTATTGCTTTTCCTCCATAAGCAATTCCGATAAGAACTGTCACATGATCAAGAAGTCCTGAAAGAGGGAATAAAGAGTTGTAGCTTGAAACGTCTTCTAACTTTTGTCATCTGTGCCATCTCAGGTCATATCAAGCGTTTTTCTCAGCATAGGGTTAGACCAGGCATAACCAGGGTGGTGGTCCCCAGGTGTTGAGGGGAAAAACTCCCATCACCCATGTCCATCACCCAAGTTATGGGAGGCCATTGGGAGCGGGAGTCAAGCAACACCCCGAGGGCACAACCTGGGCTACCCCCCTAGTTAGATTTACAGTTTCGGAATATTTAGAACATGATAATATAATAGAAACTTGCTGCAGGTATATTTATTATATTACATTTATATCCCACCTTTCACCCATGATGAAATTCAAGATGGTGAAGGTATTGTTCTCAGGCACTCTCTCTCCTATCCAGACACTGCTGCACCTGCTTATCTTGAGCAAGTTTCCTGCACCTTGTCTCTTTATTTCTTATATACAGTGGCACCTCGGGTTAAGTGCTTAATTCGTTCCGGAGGTCCGTACTTAACCTGAAACTGTTCTTAACCTGAAGCACCACTTCACCTAAGGGGCCTCCTGCTGCTGCCATGCTGCTGGAGCACAATTTCTGTTCTCATCCTGAAGCAAAGTTCTTAACCTGAAGCACTATTTCTGGGTTAGTGGAGTCTGTAACCTGAAGCGTATGTAACTTAAAGTGTATGTAACCCAAGATACCACTGTACTGGATTTTACTGTATTACACTCAAAGGCTGCCAACTCTAGACAAGCAAGAGGTGTTGGCTATCACTCATTAAAATACTGATTCACTAAAATCAAGATTCATTTTAAAAAGGAAGAGCTAAGACAGGCTCGAATTCTCACAACATAGCTTGGCAGAAATAGGGCTTCCCTGAATGTGGCTAGCAATTGACAGTACAATCCTATACATGTCTACTCAGAAGTAAGTCACATTGAGTTCAGTGGGACTAGCTTCCAGATGAAGGGGAGATAGGACTGTTGACTTAGTCAATTAACAAAGAATGAATAAATCACCCAGCTGATTTGGTTTCACAGTCCAATTTCTATTATCAAACCCAATCTCCTACAGCTTTTTCAGGTAATGGTGACCTCTACCTGTCCAGTTATCACTGGTAAATGTCACACATTAACTCAATATGACTTTGGCATTGTGCTTAATAAAACAAAAGTGCATACTCAATGTGAATGCACTGAAAGAAAAAGCAAACCTTCTGTGTATTCTTTGGTTCCATCCAGAGGGTCGACCCATACAACAAGCTTTGAAAGGAAACAAAACAAAGGAGAGTTTCAAGCAGAGATACAGACTTGATATCAAAAGCATAGCTAGCAAGAAAGAAGAAAAGAAATTGTGAAGTGCATCTTCACTTGGAGCAACTGCATCACTGCTGAATAAGAAATCTTTTTATGGTTAAGGATTAATGTTAGTTTTAATTTATCCAAATGTATGTCTTTCTTCACACAGTCAGAAATCCCAAACCAATTTACAAAACCAATGACATATTAAATATATTGTACAATAAAAGATATTTTACAACAGTACAAATACACTAGAACGGCTCACCCAGAAAAGTCATCTAACAATATAAAACAAACCATCCCACCTGTGTAAGAACACACACCAAAAAACAGCCACCAAAAGCCAAACTCCTGGTGCTATCCAAATGCCTGTAAGAATAAAAATGCAATCACCTGGCCCAGGAAGGAAAACAAAATTGACACCAGACAAACTTCCCTTGGGAAGAGTGTTCCATAACTGGGGTGACATCTAATTCAATAATTAGATGAACCTTTAGTTATTAGTACCTCTTCTTCTTTAATGTTAGTATACTGCTGTGGACAGGCTTTCTTCAATATCTCCTCACATTGGCCATTCTCAAGTAACTCTTCATCTACATCTTCAGAGGGAAGATCCTGATGTAAAAAGAAGAGAGAGTTGCACAGTAAAGGTTAATAATACTGAGACGGGTACATAAGTATTTGCCGGTTCACCATGCATAAACCTACGTAATATTGGGTAACATGAGAAAGAAACAGTGGTGGTGTGTGTGTGGATTGACAAATCTCTCTCTTTGGGGCTTAAAAAAATTATAAGCTATGAAGAGGCAGCAATAAGAAAAAAAAACTGAGGACATTTTATTTGCTTTTTACTAATTGTCTCAATTAATCAATTGCTGCTTTTATCAATTGCTGTTGATGTATTGCTGCTGCTGCTCGTTTTTGAGTGGATTGTGGTTTTATTGCTGTTCTAGTGCATTTTTATACATTTTTGTACACCACAATTGTGCCCTACAAAGTATCAAATTAGGTAAGCCTGAACAGCACATGCTGGATTTTAGTGTCCTCACCTCTTCACCGATGATTGTGAGCTTAGGAAACTTCCGTGCCAAAGAGGAACAAATGCTCATCTGCACCAGCCGGTCAGCCTTGGTCTGCAGGTCATTAGCTCCTGACTGTTCAGATAGAAAACCAAGAGGTTGACAGTCAAAGCTATGATGTGGCCCAAACAGAATACTAACTTCCTTCCTTTCCCCAGTGAAGATATACTAACAGCCATGCAAATACATTTCTCAGCTTGTAAACTATGACAAGAGGCCATGGTAATCTTGTGAACCTGGGGGTTTTATGGCCCAGCAAATATTTCCATGTTCCAACAGAGGGAAGGTGCCTTTTTTGTGGAATGCTTTAGACTTAGATAAGTTTGCATGTTTGCATATCTAACTAGCAGTCATCTAGTGAATATTTCAAAGCACTATAACATATATTTATAAATATATTTCCAAATAAGGTACTCATTTTTATATTCCTGAAACAGATGTTCCCTTTAACCACCAACTCATACCCAACATGTTTTCTGGTTCTCTACTTTTATTTTTAAAATGTAATTGGATTTTATGTAAAGATGTTTCTGTTAAGGTGCAGTAAAAGGTAGATCAGAGTTAGACTCCAGGCCTTGAAACAAGATGCAGAAACTTAAGACATTCATAAGCACCATCATGGTGCGGTGGTTGGAGTGTTGGACTAGGCTGGGAAGACCCACATTCAAATCCCCACTCAGCCATTAAGATCACTGTGTGAGATAGTGACCATCTTTCTACTTAACTGACCTCACAGAGTTGTTGCGAAGATAAAGTGGGGAAAGAACTAGTTATGCCACCTTGAGCTCCTTGAAGGAAAGACAGGATATACATGATGATAAATAAAACACCAGTCACAATTTCCAGCACATAAAGAAGACTTATACAGAGGCCCATCCAGCTCAATATTATCAAGACTGACTGGCAGTGGGTCTCCATGGTTTCATACAAGGATGTCTCCCAGCCCTACCAGAAGATAGTGGGGTTAAACCTGGGACCTTCTGCATGCACAACATGATGCTCTACTAGTGAGCTATGGCTGTTCTGCAGAGAGAAAACATGTGTGCAAAAAAAAATCACAAACACCACAGTGAAGAATCTCTTTGAATCACTTTGATGGAATTGGCAAGAAAGGGTCAATACTTGGGTTTTATCAGCTCTTGGATTCTAGATTATTGCCTATGGAATCCTGCAAAGTCAAGCATTTTTCAAAGCCTGTAATTTTAAAATGTCCCAGAAGCCTAGGAAAGCAGGCATCTGCAGAGTCTATATATGTTTTTGAGACTACAATTCCCATCATCCTTGACCACTGGTCCTGTTAGCTAGGGATGATGGGAGTTGTAGGCCAAAAACATCTGGAGGGACGAGTTTGCCTATGCCTGCTCTATACTGTCCTAGAATCTATAGGGATAGCCAGCAAAATGATTCAGAAAGAGAAAGTTGACAAGTGGATTCACAGTAATGTGGGCCATGATTTCTGATTACAGTTCAGGAAACTAGTGCATTCCCCCGCACCCCATCAACTGATGTTGGCATGGCCTATCTGAAAATAGCAATCCAGAATAGGCCCCCACTGAACACTGAGAGGCTTGTTTCTGAGTTAAACATGCACAGAATTCTGCTACATGTTATACTGGGGTTGATCATTAATGCAATGCACACTTACCTAGGAGTAAGTCCCACTGGACTAAATTGGAACTTATTTCTGAGGAGGCATGCATAGGATTGTGCTGACAGTTACCTTCTCAACTACACCTAGATCTCCTCCGGCCATGACTTTCCTCACAATTGTTCCTGCTTTATTAGCGACAGAATATGCTGAGGCCACAAGACGCATCAATACAGTTGGACTGGAAGACATGCTTACTGCACGGAAGAAGGGATAAAAATCTTGTGAGTGCCACCGTCATCTCCCCAAACAAACACGTTACAAGCTTAGCACAAAAATATTCAGTGGGGAAAATGAATATTGCATTAGCAGTGGGCAACATATGCTGTATTTTTCTTTCAGAGATATTGTGAGGCACGACTCGCCCACCTAGAAATATTCTTTGCTCCTTCTGTGCCCCCTCAGAATTCTTTTCTGTTTCTGCCACTATTGCCTTGATGTTGACTAAAGAAGAATGAATGGGTGAGATGAAATTCACATTTATTGTTCTGCCCACTTTTGCCTCCGGCCCTGCCCACCACTACCATGTGGCTCCTGAAAGCTTGCTGAGAAGCAAATGCAGCACTGAGGCTGAAAGGTTCACCATCCCTGAAATAAATAATCAAGTAAATAAATGGGGACGTGGGTGGTGCTGTGGGTAAAACCTCAGTGCCTAGGACTTGCCGATTGCATGGTCGGCGGTTCGAATCCCCGCGGCGGGGTGAGCTCCAGTCGTTCGGTCCCAGCTCCTGCCCACCTAGCAGTTCGAAAGCACTCTTAAGTGCAAGTAGATAAATAGGTGCCGCTTTATAGCAGGAAGGTAAATGGCGTTTCCGTGTGCTGCGCTGGTGCTGGCTCGCCAGAGCAGCTTCGTCACGCTGGCCACGTGACCCGGAAGTGTCTTCGGACAGCGCCGGCTCACGGCCTATAGAGCGAGATGAGCACGCAACCCCAGAGCCGGACACGACTGGCCCATACGGGCAGGGGTACCTTTACCTTTAAATAAATGATTTAGTAATGCCTTCATAGCACTGTGAAGTAGTGTCATGGCTGTGAAAAGGAAAGGCTAAATGTAAACTCCACAGAACATTTTATTGTGATTAGAAAAGGCAAGAATGTGCAAGCTTTAAACTAGTTTTATTATTACATAAAGATACGTCTCCACGGACTCCCTTTGTTTGCTTTCCTCGCTTATTCTCAAGAGGTATTCATTACCTTTGATCCAGTTATGCAACTGCTTTTCTACCTTTGGAAATTCCTTACCCAACTCATGTTACAATCTCTTTTACATTTATTGTAGGTTTGCTAAACCTGCTCAAAAATATAGATATATATTGTCTTCTCTCCTCTTTTCAAAGAAAAAAAACCCCACAAATGACAGTGTGTCCTTCAACATTTGCATTGGAAGGTAAAAAGCTGCAGTGTTTAGCTAAAAGGGACCTTTCTGGAAGTGATAGGCCACAATCCCATGATCCTTCAGGACAGAGGTGAGGAAACTTTTTTAGACTGTGAGCCACAAATCCTTCTGGACAACCTTCCAATGGCCACATGCCAGTAGCGGGCAGGGCCAGGGGCAAAACTTGAGTGGAACAACACCTGTAAATTTTACCTTTGTAGTTTACACATGCACACCTCTGTCCTCCATGCAGGAAATCAAGATGGATTATTCAATGACATACTCCAGCCAAGACAAGCATTCAAGGAGGGTGGAGGAGCAGGGCTGGTGAGAGGTGTGACTTGAAAAAATAAAGTGTGGCTGGGCAGAGGCTTAAGGGCCAGACAGAAAGGTACAGGAGGGTCACATCCCCACATAATCCTAACCCCACCTGCCTGGGCCTGAAGTTAAAAGTGCTTGTGCATACCCAACAGATCTTTCACCCACTGCAAGTGCAAAACACAAAGTCTGAAACTCTACCTGTTTACTTTAAATGCAGTCCTATTATGTTCAATGAGGTTTACTCCCAGATAAGGGTGCACAGGGCTGCAATCTTCTGCTGGGGCGGTGAGAGGCAAACCTGAAATGATATTGAACATGACAAAAGCCCTATTGTGGATATATCACAAAGTGCTTGGCAGATATATAGCTTATGTGACTGATAGTACTATTCTGAGCACAACACAAAGCTATACTTTTATCCTACATTAATTGATCTAGAATACACATGTAGGATTCGCTTGACAGTGAAAATAGTAGAAATTTCACACTGATTTCTGTGGTTTCTTATGAACAAATAATGTTTGTAAGACATGCCATTCCGGGCCAGCCTAGGCAACATATACTAACGCTATACTTTTGATGTTAGCCGCCCTGAGCCCGGTTTCAGCCGGGAAGGGCGCAATACAAATATAAGTTTTTTATTATTACTTCTTCTTCTTCTTATTATTATTATTATAAGAGAGCGGCAAAGATCAAAAGCAATTCCACGTCAGCTCATTTACATTAATTTAATGTGATCTTGAGCATACGACTCGGAAAGCCCTCCCCATTCTAATAGCCCAGCGAATTACGCCTCGTTTTTCCCTGGAAGTTCAATCTGCTTCTCTCTCTTTCGCAATCGTGCAAATGCCTAGCGGGTGCAAATATCCCTCCCGTTGGTTCTCCGCCGCCCCATACGATCCCTCCAGCTGCTAAATAAATACTGGCACAAACATGACTATCTGTGATACTCACTAAAGAAGGTGAGGGAAATATGAAAAGTGCATGCCTACCTGCCTTTGCAACAGCAGCTCTCCAAGCACACCTGCAACACAACCTCCCAGCCTGAATGCTAAACCCTCCCGCGACTTCCTCCCTCTAAGCCGCCCGTTCTCTCTCCGCCTCGCCTACCAGCATCGGCTGGGTCCTAAAGCCCATTCATCCATTTCCCGTACACGTTTCTTTGCGGGGCGGATAGGAAAATACCCTAGAATTCACGTGGGATTCGCATGACGGTGAAAAACAGGCATTGAAATAGTAGAAATTTCACGGCGATTTCTGTGGTTTCTGATGAACAAATAATACTGTTTTTAAGACATGCCATTTCTGGCCAGCCTTGGCAACTGTCTCAATCTACCTAATGGTAGATTGCTACCATGTCCTTAAGGAGGAAGAAAAACACATAAATAATATTAAATAAACTTACCATCCTAACTGTGCATACAGAATAGTAGTGCGTAGATAAATAATCAAACTTACTTAGCTAGTTTATAACCCAATCCTGTACACTGGTGTACATTCCATTGAGTTCAATGGGGCTTACTCTCAAATAAATAAGAATAGGATTGTACTGTAATCTGAGGTGTGTGAAATGAAGCTTCTGGATTATCTATTTACTCACTGTAGCAAATTGAGGTCAGATTGCAGAAACTCCTTAAACGGGCAGCGTCGACTATGTATGTGGTTTCTATTTAAAGGCAAATCTCTGAACTGTTCGACATTTTAGAGAGTATATTATATTGCTTCTGCATAATAACGCTTTAGTAAAAAGCAGCTTTCTTAAAGTCAATGCGGAGCGTCCAGACTTAAAGATCTATGGATGTTTTACTCATCAAAACGACGCCTCACTGAGTTCAGTACAAGTAATAAGTGAGTCGTGGGTGGTGGGTGGCAGACTTAGAGAATTCCACTGATGCTTGCAAATAAATGTGCATAGGATCGGGGTTTTACGTTGAAAAGCATGTGCGATTCCTTTTAATTGTGGATTGTTTTTTATTTTATAACTTTTCCGTTAAATGGGTAGCCCCTTTGAATTTCTTATGACAAATAGCCTTGATATAAGGTTTGTTTTCCCACGCCTAAATGCAAAAATAAACGGCAATATATCGGCAATATATCAGTCCTTGAAGTGCAATAGGTTTTTTTGTGCGTGTGTACATGCATCCCTTTTCTGTGGGTTGGGAGGCGGCTTCTCAAACTGTAAGGCAGCATTGTGTGAAGCCTTTTTTGCTTACGACCTTCCCAGGGTGTCTTTGAAACTTCAGCACCCTCTCTCCCCTTCCAGCATCTGAAACGTGCCACGAGCCGGTCTGTGCGTTTTGCAGTCAAGAACTTTTTGCGTGGCTCATTAAAGCTCCGAAAGTTGGGCTTCATTTGCCTTTTTCAGCTGTTATTACACACCCGCAAGCAGCAAGCGGGAGGACCGACCTCTAGAGGGCGCTGGGCAATTCAAACCCCGCCCGCCCCTGCAGCACGCGAAAGAACGCGAAAAAGAAAGAAGAACCCGTTTGAAATGTCCCTTTCGGGGCCCCGTTCAACCCTCGCTGCTCGCCGTAGCAGGCCCGGAAGTGCCCATAGGGCAAAGTTAGGAAGATGTGGGCACTGCGGGCGCCGCCGCTGCTCCAGTCCTCTCAGCGTGCCTGGGGCTGGACATGCAGGGCGGTGTCTGCGGGGCCCGGGAGGGCCCAGAAAGCGAGCCCGAACTCGAAATACCGCGAGACGGTCTTGCTGCCCCGAAGCGATTTCCCCGTCCACTTGCCCGGCCGGCTGCAGCCCGAAACGGAGTTGGAGATTCAGCAGGTAGAAGAAGGAAACGGGGGAGGCTGGGCTGAGAGAGAGGAGCGCTTTTTTGAAAAATTATGCCCTCCCGCCCCCTAGTTGCAAACCAAATTGCGTAGTAGTGCAATCGACCTGCACGTTTTTGTTGGGACCATGTCATGCCACCACGGGCGCTGGAAGACCTGAGCATCCTCGGGGTCCTGGTGAAGGGGAAATCTGACACTTTCCTTCAATGCCGGATTTACGTATAAGTTAAGCATGGTATAGTTTAGGGCTCCACTCTCTTGGGGGCTCCCAAAAAAAGTAAAGGGGAAAAAACTGGACGTACATTTCCAAAATATAAGATAAAAAACAAGTAAAATAAAAACCTAATACAGCAACAGTGTGTTGTGTGGGCTCCTATGATGTAAGTAATGGTCATATATTCAACACAAAAATATAGCATATATTCAACACAAAAAACAGTGACAATTTGTTGTTGACAAAGGACAGCTGGACATATAAAGGGCCTCATTACCTTCAAGTAGCTTAGGGCCTCATCAAACCTAAATCCAGCCCTGCTTTCCCCCCACTTTGAAGCTGCCAGTGAAGTTTTCTTAGCAAGAAGTAACTTGAGGTTAAAAAAAACCAGTAGCTTCAGGAAGGCGATTTGTTCAGGGAGAGAGAGAAACGTTTCCTACCCATGCACCAAAGTGCTGAGACGCTGCTGTTATTCATATAACAGAAATGTGCGTGTTAATTGTTTTCAAATGATTTCTCTGCTAGTTTGATTTTATTGGGACGTACCAGAAGGTCAGGTCCAACTAATATCAAGAATCTACTTTTGCAATCCTCTACAGCCACAACAGGCGCTGTAAGTCAAACTATTAGACTTCACCCCCTAAGGGGCACTCTGTTGTCTCCCAAGAAAGATGGGTGCCAACCCACCAGCTTTTCCAATCGGCATCCCAGAAATTTATACGCATAATGCAAATGATTGCACTGCATTACATATATCCCAATATGCTTATTGGGACTTATCCCAATATGCTAACTTCATATGTAGTTGACAGATTAAACTAGTTTAATTGCAATCCCCTCGTTCCAGGGAAACCTGTAAAGAAAGCTAAGATTGCCAAAAGTGGTTGGGGATCTCTAACAGAATTCAGAACACCCTTACCAAATTACCGTTCCTTGGGGGAGTTGTGATTGTTAAGCTCCACAGAATTTGAATTGTAATGCAGTAAAATACAATATAAGAAGCAAAAGCAATTAATCACAATTGAAAATCAACCATAAATCCACAGATACACCATAGACCAGGCATGGCCAAACTTGGCCCTCCAGCTGTTTTGGGAGTACAGTTCCCATCATCCCTGACCACTGGTCCTGTTAGTTAGAGATGATGGGAGTTGTAGTCCCAAAACAGCTGGAGGGCCAAGTTTGGCCATGCCTTTTATAGACCATTGGAAGGAAGTTTGCAGACCCTGCTGTAAAATAACACTCATTTTGTGTTTAGAATATGGTATGTGATATTATTTCTAATTATGTGTTTCTATAGAAATGTGGCTTCTCAGAACTGTATTCATGGCAAAGACAAAGGAAAACAAAGCAAGAATTTTGTCTTCATGATGGACCACCGTATGCCAATGGAGATCCCCATGTTGGTCATGCATTGAATAAAGTGAGTGCTATCTTCCTAAATAAATCTGCTTTGCCTCTGTAAATACTTAACATTCAGTTCACCAGCAAGTCAATAAAAGTTTTGTATCTTTCAGTATTGATCTTATGTGTACTTAAATGTTTGGAACAATAATAGAAAATACCTTTCCATTGAGGCTCCTAGAATGAGTGTGATATTAAATGGAAATGAATGGTTGATCTTCCATGGCATATTAATGTTGAATTGTGTCCTTATTGAAATGCAATTTGAAGTCAGTCAATGTTTGCCAGTGTATCTAGTCTCTGAGTTCATAGGTTTGTTAAACATTGGAGCAGGTGGAATCTAAATACATGCTGATGGAACCCTGAGAATTTGTAGAGTGAGATAGAAATATGTGTGCTTTTCTTTTTCTTTGGTTTCCCTTTAGATTTTGAAAGACATCACAAATCGGTTTCACGTGATGAGAGGCTATAAGGTACACTATGTGCCTGGATGGGATTGCCATGGATTACCTATAGAGTTGAGAGCATTGTCAGAACTTGAGGAAACTGAACATCTTTCTCCAATGGAAATCAGACAGAAAGGTATATTTCCTCTTGCAAGCTTTCTGAGAGAGTTTTGTGATGTGGGTGTGCAATTTCTGTCATTGTTGGTCTGATAGAAAGTCTTGTTTGTGAGGATTGCAGAATCAGTGTGATCTCATATGTTTGAGAGATACCTTCTTAGATAATAGGTGCATGATTTAAAGCAGGATTGGGGAACCTGTAGCCCTGTTGATGCTTTCGGTCTCCAACTCTCCTTTAGCCCCAGCAAGCATGGCCAGTTGTCAGGGATGATGGGAGTTGTTTGAAGGCAAGTTGTTCACTAGATAGAATTGCAAGAACTGCTTTCTGGTTCTAGGCCTTTGTGGAGGAATTTTGAGAGCTGAAAAGGTAGTCTGTGAGATTCAAATTCACAATGGGCTTTTTTCCTCCACATTTCAGCTAAAGAATTTGCAGAAAAGGTAATTGAAAAACAGAAAGAGGCTTTTATTCGCTGGGGCATAATGGCAGATTGGGAGAACTGCTACCATACGTTTGATAGAAAGTACGAAGCAAAACAACTGGGCATTTTTCACCAAATGTTTGATAAGGTGAGTTAACATTTATTTGGTAAGTAAGAATTACGCTGTCAAGATTGCCATTCAGTTTTGATTACTTAAACCGTATTATTTTCCTCCTAGGGTTATATTTATCAGGACTATAAGCCGGTGTTTTGGTCTCCTTCAACAAAGTAAGTGGTAACCGTACTCATTCTTGGAATATAGTCGGTGAGAGAGTGGAAGGCCTTTTTCCTTATTTAATTCACACTTTCTTTTCATGCAGTACAGCCTTGGCTGAAGCTGAACTTGAATACAACCAGCAGCATGTTAGTCGTTCTGTTTATGTCAGATTTCCCTTATTGAAACCACCACCCAAGCTAGCTTCTGTGATAGGTATGTTGTGTATGTTGTATTTTATGTATACTCTTAATACAATTTTTGTTAATGTTCTTTTAATGTACTTGAAATAATGCTTATTAAATATACTTTCCCTTGTAGACGGATTACCTGCTGTGAATTTGATAATCTGGACCACACAACCTTGGACTATTCCATCGAATGAAGCTGTCTGTTATATGCCAAATTCAGAGTATGTACTCATTTGCTTTTAATTTCTCTGGGACATGCTTAAAATCTGTTGTTGCTAACAGTAGGGATTAGGGTTGTTTTTGTTCTTATCACAGAAGTAGGATGATCATATGCACATGTACTCAGAAGTTAGTTCAATACAGCTTATTTCAGGTACATATGTATGATTTTCTACTTTAATAGGAGTAATTTTGCAGCATTAATTTTGACTGGTAACAGTACTGGCTCCTCTGGATTAAAAAAAAGGTGTTTTGCATGCATTTTATTGCCAATTTGTATGTCTCTTTGTATTCTAGCATTTAATGTAGTGATGCAGTAAGACCACTTATTGTCTACCTTTATTCTGTTGAACATTTTTGCTCACTGCTTTACAATTTTTTAAAAAAGAGGTGCATGTTGTAAAGCTTAGAAACATACTGCGTTGCAGCTTGCTGTAGGGCTTTTGGTCTATCAGGGATTATTTTGATGTCCCCTCCTGTCTGGTGCCCCCTGAACCACATCCCACAATGTTCTGAAGAGTCAGTCTCCAAATCCTCCGGGAGCAGATTTTCAGCGAACACAGAAGAGAAGGGAAATGGCAAAACACTGTATTCCTGTTTTCCATTCGCTTAAGCTTTAGCTACATCAAATCTCTTCTATGAACAAAGGGCCACCTTGGAGGTTATCATAGTTGTGAATGCATCAGATGTGACATGGGTTCATGGTTTCCAGTAGTCTCTTCCACCACTCCATTCACAAAACAAGCATTTTGAGTCTAAAAGCAGTCTGTAGTTTTGCACAAAGAGCTGCTAAAGAGGAAAAGCCTTAAATTTGTGTTCTTGCATGTTGTGTTAGCTATGTCTAATGGCCACAACAAAGCAAAAACAGCCTGTAGGAGGATTTAAATAAAAATATTTGGAAAATCCTAGCTAAAACTATTAGAGACTATGAGTTGTGTAGTCACGGAAGGATGTAGCATAAATCAGAAAGAGATAAAATTGGAGGATGCCTTGTGTTATTGTATCCAATTGTTTTCTGATTCAAACCTTTATGAGGAAACTAATGTAATTTATTTCAGTGCAGACTTCTAGAAACATTGAAGTGGATTTTTCTGTTCCTGATCACAATGAGTCCTACGAAAATGCCTTGTTATGGCATTAACATTTCCATGATAGAAATTGTTTTAGTGGCACCGTTGGGAAATACAGATTGTCACAAAATGGGGAGGATCTGCTCTGCTAATTTTGGGGAGAGCTCTGCGATACTTGCATGTATTTTTTACGATTTGAATGGTGCTAAATTAAAAGATGTCATAAAATTATAGGTATTCCATTGTGAAGTGTGCAGACACTGAGGAACATTTCATTGTAGCGGCAGAAAGAGTACAATCTATAGCTGCTGCTTTGGATATGCAGTTTGACGTGATTTCAACATGTAAAGGTAACCTCCTTTTTAATATTTGAATAAAGAAATGGGTATATTTCTAATACTGAATAGTAGAGGATCGGTTGTTGACTTACTTTCCTGTAAATTAGAATAATTTACCTGTAGCTTACCTGTAGTTGAGTTAGAATAATTTGTAGAATGATAGCTAATCTGAAACAATAAACCTATTTATTAAATTATTGTAGTTGCTCTTGAGGTAGCCCTTGGCGCCTCCTTCAACAGGCTGTTTACATGTTGCTTTTTAGGAGGTGAATCTCTGGTAATCCAGTTGCTCACTGGCAGGCAAAAGGATTGACTGAGCTAGGCTATGTAATTCAACAGCTCCCCATAGAAAGAATGGGGAAACTTTAAATTGAGTGGTCAGGGAGATGGGGTGTTAAACACTACAAGTTGACTAACTTGTTTAGCCTCCTGCCCTGGGAGATCTCCCCTTCCCTGCCTCTCACGCAACCATCCATCACCTTCATCTGTATGCCGACCCCTCATTAACCCTGAGTACAGGATAACAAAAAACACAAGGGCACTCAATAGCACTGCCTCATCGTGAAACAATACTGTATGTTCCCTTCGCTCCAGGGTTCTAAGATGTTTGGAGAGCCTTCACAAATGCAGGAAGTTTCAGGAAGTGGCTCATGAGTTGAGAACAATGGGAATGACTGGAGTGGGTGGGGCAGGGAGTGGAGGTAGCACACTCTCCTACATGAGAGAAGAGGGTAATGCTTCTTTTTAAGATGGTGCTTGTTATTGGCAGTTTCTTTAAGTACCTGAATTATCAGTACATATTTCTTTGGAAAAGGTGCTGCCTGATTTCTTTGGCCACCTTTTTCCTCAACGAAACACTGCAAACCTCTTCTCTCTCTCCATCCCCCAACCCCCTCCAGATATATACATGTGTGCAGTTTTTCTACTGGTCAGTTGTTGTATTTCCTTCTGCTGTGTTCTCCTTCAGGTACAGATTTGGAAAGTGGTGTGTGCTCACACCCCACCATTCCTGAAAAGCAGTCTCCCCTTTTGCCTGCAAACCATGTGACCATGTCAAAAGGAACAGGATTAGTTCATACAGCCCCAGCTCATGGTATGGAAGATTACAGTGTAGCTTCTCATCACCAGCTACCCATGGTACTGTGGTTTTGCTTGCTTTGTCTTTAACATGTGGGTTTTCCCCCCCTTCTTGCACCAAAAATATTATTTATCAAACATAATAAGTGTTATAAAATCACTTGATAGCACTCAGTAGCCACTCTGGTGCCATCAAGGTACACAAGACTACCAACTGTCACACTGGGGGGGCAGGGACGGGGACTTGTAGTCTAAAACATTGTGGAGAGGGCCCCTGCATTTGGAAGGCTGACTTAGGTGATACTTTGCTGGTGCAACAGGGTTTCCCATCCTCTCCTCCCCTCTGCCTTCCCCCCCCCCACCTGCCCAAATCTGTTCCAGAGAATTGGGGAGCCCACCAAAATAAATTGGGTGGGGGAAGCTGCTGGGGTGAATAGAGGGAAGGGAAGAGCCACTGTATGCAAGAAAGTTTATCTGTTTAAGTATACTGTTGGAGGTGGAACAGAATGTGTTTGTGCATTGGATTAGGGCAATAGTTGTATTCATCCAGGTATGGGGCGCATGTAGTTGTGCAATAAAGGAGCAGAATGCTGTTGATTCGGTCCTGAAAATCATCCAGTTGCAATAAACATAGTGATAGATTTACAAGATGTATATAAATCCTCTATTTTATTAATATTCCTTTTTATATCATTTAGATTGCCTAGCATCCAGAGTGTGCAAATAAAAGCATTAAAAAAAAACATACCCTAGAACAGAAAACATTTCAAACATTGGGGACAAACAATTGGATACTAAAAGTATCATATACAGCCTTACAGTCTCAGTTCTTCCAAAATACCTGAATGACTAAATGCATCCTCTAAAGGTGCTAGAAGGACTGAAGGAGCCAGCCATATTTCCAACAGGGGGAGAGTTGCATTGTTGTGGTGCCACTGCAGAGAAGTCCCTGTTGGTGATACCACTAGGAAGTCCTCCCCTGCCCATCTCAGAGCCTGAGAAGGCACATACTGGGAAGGGTGTTCCAAGTGCCTGGCTCATCTAGAGCACTTGTGTTCCTTAAAGAGTACCTCATGTAAGTCTCCTTTTGCCATCTCAAGTTGACTGCAGGCAGCTCCTTTGATAACACCCTCTTCATGTTTAAAAACAATCCTTTAGCTGCCCTTGCTATTCTCCACAGCTCTTTCCAGCTCTATAGTTCCTTCACTTTGGTTATTCTGCAAAATCCAGAACTGAGAGTACAGTATCTTCCAGATAGATCCCATCCCCTTAGAATTCGTGAAGTTATGTAATACTCTAACATATATAATTGTATGTTTATAAAATATAAATTACATGAGAGATGGGGGGGGCCATAAGCTTGCATTTGAAATATTAATCTTAGTTTTTAAAATGTTTTATGTATGAGCAGTAAGAGATTTTATTCCTCTTAGAATGGCCATTTTGAGCAAAAAGAGTTAATGCTCCTCACTAAAATCTTGGAAGTCTGCTTTTCTCTCATGGCTAAATGTATTTGCTTCTGGTGGGAAAGTTTAGCATCTTATACCTCACTCTGGATAAGAATGATATCACCTTCCTCCTCCTAGTAGTGAGCTCACACTCCTGTAATCAGACAAAACTTTCTCAACTTTTTTGACATAACCTCAAAAGTTCCCACCTCCCCCTTAGGACTGCCTGGTGGGTGAAGATGGACGTTTCACAGAGGCTGCAGGGTCTGAGCTTCAAAAGAAAGCTGTCCTCGAAGAAGGAAATGAAGCTGGTATGTATATTTTGTATTGTATTCAGAAATAAAGTGGAGTTTATCAGATATAATGAATGCCCTGTTGCGCCAAGAGAAGTGCATTAGCATTTGGAATTTCAGCCGAGTGATAATTTTGTTCACTTTCCTCAGTCATTCGGATGCTTCAAGGAACAAAGAGCTTATTAAAAGAAGAGAAATGCATACACAGCTACCCCTATGACTGGAGGACTAAGAAACCAGTGATCATTCGTGCCAGCAAGCAGTGGTTCATTAATACGGCAAATCTCAAGGCTGCTGCCCAGGTACAAGGCAGACTTCTAAGGTGTATGGATACTCACTTGTATGTGGGAGGGGGGCATACTTTGCATAGCTGATACAGTCATACCTCGGGTTGAAGTAGCTTCAGGTTTTCAGGTTTCGCTCTGTAGCGACCCAGAAGTAATGGAACGCATTACTTCCAGGTTTGCCGCATGCGCAGACGCTCAAAATGACGTCATGCGCGGAAACGGCGAATTGCAACGTGCAGACGCTGGTTGCGTTCACTTTAGGATGCGAACGGGGCTCCAGATTGGATCCCATTCGCATCCAGAGGTACCACTGTATTTTAATTACCAAAAGTATCAGTCTTACTGCATGCCTCTAGGCAGCTTTCTGATGAGTGATGTGTAGCAAGAAAGACCATTGGTTTGCTAGCTGGGGCTGATGGGAGTTGGGCACCCCAGTCTCGCCATCCATGGTCTAAATAGTGCCTCTGTCTTCCTTTAAGTCTCAACTTTGCCAAATGCTTTCTGGCTATTTTACAGGACGCACTAAAGAAAGTAAAATTTGTCCCAGCCTCAGGGGTGAACAGAATGCTAGAGATGCTGGACAAAAGAACATACTGGTGTATATCGAGGCAGCGGCGCTGGGGTGTTCCCATTCCAGTTTTTTACCATAAGGAAACGGGAGAATCATTAATAAACGGGTGAGTACTTTACAGTCTTCCGTTTTATTTCAAAAAGGAATTTGGTTTGCTGTCAGAAATACAATCTTTTTTGCGTAGAACAGTCATTGGCGTTACAATACATGCCGTATTCTGGCGTTTGCTGTTTCGGTTCCTGTGGCAGATGATTTGTCGAAACAGGGCATTTTGCATGGAAATCCAATCCTGCGATATATTAGCATGTTTGTTCCCAAATTAAAATCTCTCAGGAAGTTTGATGGATGCTGGGCGTAAACGAGCAGTGCAGCTATTGGCTTTGATGTCGGGATCTGCATGGGATGGTATAAGAGTACAGAGCAGCCCTCTAGACTAAATGGGGCAATGTCTTCCGCAAGGGTTTGCATGCAGATTGCAGCACATCCCTATGAAAGCGGCCACAGAATGGGACGCATCTATGCAAGCTGAGATTCCAGCATTTCGGGGTTGGACTAGATGACCCTTGGTGTCCCTTCCAAACTTACAATTCTATGATTCTAAGTCAAACGATCACAGTGTGCTGAATAGGCAGACCACAGGCATTTACCTGCTGGGAGCAAAACGCCTGTACAGAGGATGAAGCCTGTCTTATTTGCAGTGCACATTGCACTGCAAGATCAAGGAGCATAGGCTCTGCTGTCTAGCGTCAAGGAATGAAGGGGTGGTGCTGGGAAGCCTGCTCATCTGAGAGCCAAGTGCAGCCCTGGGTTTCCCCCTCCATGAATGACGAATGAGCCTGCATTCACTTATTTGGGAAACAGTAAGAGGGTGTGCCTCTGGATGGGTCTCAACCTGGCAGCCCCAGACCCTAAGAAACAAGCTCGCTGCCTGAGTCTTGAATCACTCCATTTGGTGGTTATTTTTGCATTTGTGCTGGCCCTTGGGAAGCGGCATCTATCTGTGAACTAGTCCCTGTTGTTGTGGTTTGCTTTGGCTGGCCATGCAGCAGCAGCAGCTGGTGTTTCTTTGTGGTTGCTGAAGGTGAGGAAAAGGCATGAGGTCCATAAGTTCACCAGACTGCTGCTGTCGGGTAAGAGTAAAACAGTGTTGAGTCTGTCTGCAGAAAAACAGACATGTTCATGGCAGCGCTTGCCCCGTGCAGAGGCCTGGTGAGGCCGCCCAGCTGTAGTTCTTACAGCGGGGGCAGATGCAGCCTGGGGTTGCAGTGGCTAAAGAGTAAAGTCTGTCCCAATATCCCAGTATCTTGGGTATCGGGAGACCTCTCAGGAGCTAGAGGAAATACATCACTGAGCACAGGTATTGTTGCCTATCTGCCGTACTGCACTCCATTCTGGCTTTCACAGGAGAAAAGACTGCATCATCAAACAATAATCCCTCTGTGTCACAGAGAAACTGTCTTTTATGTCAGTTGTGATTTGCAAAAGCCCATCTTCTTTCCCCTAGAAGTTTGTTTGTGGCCAGGTGAAGTACCATGTCACCCTCTTGTCCTATATGTCTGCCTTTATTATTTCTCCTCTCTGATTCCTGATTTGCAAGGCCTGGTTGCTATTTTTCATTAATAAAGGAGAACTCTTCTTGTGCAACCCAATCCTGTCCTGTCCTGCTTAGTTTCCCCAGAAGCAAGCTGGGCAGGGAGGCTAGTTTGCACCAGGGGGAAGAGGTTTTTCCCACCTCGTCATGATTAAGAGAACTGATTGGGTGGAAAGGAAAAAGGACACAACTAATGGTTAATTCCTGGAAGTAATAATGCTGGGCCTAAATCTGCCTGACCTCAGATTTCACAGTGTTTGCAAAATATTGTGGCTCAACTACAGAACTAGTACCCCTGCTCTTTGGTGCTTAGGTATCAAAGCAGGTCAAGGCATTGCTCATTCTTGAAACGTAAAAATGGCTTTGTCTTGCCAATTTGCTGTTGTAAACTGTCTGTGTTCCTGTTTTAACCACACCTTACTCTTTGTCCTCTGCGCTACTCCCTCTGCAAACATTCTGCAGCAGATAGAGATGGATAAGTGTGTTTCTCAGAGCAGGGGTCGGTAAGAAGGTTGACCAAAGTATTCTGGTAGGCTAATTTCCGGTGAACGGCTTAGTATCTGCTGGTTGCTGGGGTTCTTGCCAAGAATGCTGGATTATGCAGACCTTGGCCTAAGCAACAAGGTGCCTTCATTCTTACGCAAGAGTTTGTGCTTGTGATCATGTAAATCAAAATGATGTGCATGCTGTCTTACTCTGTAAGCTTTTAAAGCACATTGGTGATTCTAGTAACAAAACAAGAAATTGACCATGCAAGACTGAAGTCTCTGCTTTAGAAGTTCTGAAATTGATGTTCATGAGATCCTGATAGTCTCTTGTCACAAAGGATTTGTGGATGGGCCATGTTTGGCTTCAACTCTGGAACTAGGAATAGGATTTCTGGAGTGGGCTATGGGATTGCGTATACTCGTGTGCTGCGTCTACTTGGATTTGACACTGTGTGTGTTTACTCTGGTTAAGGCGAAACCAGCAGTGTTCCTGAAGCGACTGAACCTGCTAACTTAGCACTGTTCACTTGTAGCGCCAGATAGAGGGAGATGAGAGGTCGGTGCCCAACTACATACCCTTCATATGTACAACATTTCAGATTCAATAGGTAACATCTTTGGTTAATAAATGGCAGTAGCACGGATAAGTACGAGAGAACATGCTCCAAGCTCTAGACATGAATGCAGAAAACCGCATGTTCTAAATAATCCTACACATTATTTGCTTCCTCTTTATGGCACACTACTTGCAATCATGTACTTTGCCCTCCTGTACTGCAGGAAGTTACTGTTTATGAATTCGGTTCATTTAATAAAAAAACACCCTTGATCATAAAATCTCTTCTTTTGTATGATCAGGGATGAAAATAAATTAAACACTCTTAGCACTCTTGGCCATACATGGGATGACATTTTGAAAATAGCTGAATAAAGCATTTTATTGGAAGCAAAGCTGAATAAAGCATTTTATTGTAGTTTTGAAGTGAACATCTAGGCAGTTATCTAACAAGCAGCAGCAAAAGCGTACTCTTTTGAAACATGCAATTGATATATATGCCACTAATATTGCTGACTAGTTATACTGAACAATTGGGACAAATCGGTCACCTCCAACAGTTTTTTTTAAAGCTCAGATTGTACATTATCACTTGCAGGTGTAAACTAAGGGCAGTTTACGGAGCAATCATGTGAAGCAAATCTTCTCTTTGGTTAAATACAGTAGTTAGTAATACATGACTGCAAACTAAGCTTCTGTGCAGATGAGGACTGCATAGTTAGATAAAAGTATGTTTATTTTATACTTTTATGTGTTTGTTTACTTGACATACAGATCTTGTGCATTCCTTGCGGAGTAGTGAAAGTATTCAGAATATTGGCCTACAGAAATGACAGGCAGATTTAGAAAGCACTGTCTGTCAAATCATAGGTCATTACCCTGAACCTCAATTTTGAACAGAAACTTTGTCAGAACATTTTCTGCTGAACACACGGTACTTTTACGTGTGTAGCTAGACATCATGCCAACATTATCATACAGAAATAAAATTTGGGAAAGAAACACGGTGTTTTCAGTAGAGCTGATGCACTGTAAATAACAGGTAGCTAGTTGTTCTGCTGTGCAGTTGTTCTTCAGGCAATATCCAGTGAAGGTCAGTGGCCTTCAAAAGTAACAGCACCTCCACTGGAAATATGGCTAGTCCACATGGAGTTGCTGTTACACTTGACAGCCCTGCTTGGAGCATTTCTTTTCTGTCCATCGTTGGGTCTGTAAATGTTCTTATTGCATCTCGTCTAAAATAGGTGTCTGGGAAATGTTCCCCTGAACCTCAAGATAAGCAGAACAAATGTTTTGCGTAGCCCATAGAACATTTACTAGAGTGATTTTTTTTAAATGTCCATTTCTGACATACCTGTTACATGTGAAAAATCAAGAGTTTGCTGTCTCTTGCCCCACCCAGTCCCCCATTTATATCCAATGCCATGTGGGGAATCTGGTACATCCCTGGTGCCCCACAAGTATAGTACAGAACTGGATTATGCTGCAGCCGGTACCACGATCCATCAAAGAATCTTTAAAGAAGAAGAAGAAGAAAAGTTTAAAAATGGTATTTGAATGCAGATAAAATCCTTTCTGGAGAAGCATTTCTCTGCTTTGAGAAATGTTGAGATTAGAGGCACATGAATTTATGTTAAAAGAAATACAACCAGCTTTCAATTTCCCACAACAGATAAATGAAAGTTATTCATCAATATAGCTTTGAAATTGAATTACTAGGTAAGGACTTGTGTGTCCTTAAGAAAACTGTTTCTTAAACTATGAAGCAGATTAACAGTCTTCTCTCTATGAAGTGGAAGGACTGAACCTAAACGTTTTCCCACTTACAGAAGAAACAGTGGCCTCTGGAACTTAATTTAATTTAAAACTTACAAAATCCTGAACTATGCAGTGTGAGAACACTGAGCAGAAATGGAAAGAGTTAATTACAAATTTGTGAAAGCATTTGCAGCTTGTTGTACACTAGATACTTTATTCAAATAAGGGGAAAGCTTCCGCATTGACAATCCAGATTAGTTGGAATGACTTAGATTTAAAATAAATCTAAATCAGCTGCTTTCCAAGTACTCAAGTTTAACTACTTGAATATCTGTCCATGTGAGAGCTAAATGTCCCATCACCTAGATTTCACTAGTAGCTGGATGTGGTTATCCTCATTTAATTAAGAAAATTACTAAATTACTAAATCACCTGGTTGAGCTAATCCTTCCACATCGTAGCTCTTAAATCTTAATTTCTGATCCAAAATCTGCATTAATTTCTGTAAATTTATAAGGTCCTACCTAAGTAGCTTAAAAGGTAAGTGCAAGAGAGCTTACCTGGCACTCCTCGCTGTTGTACAAAAAGGTTGGAGCAGCAACCACCAGTGCCTGTTTCTTTCCTCGCCCCAAAAACGTCTCAGTGCTGCTTAATTTCCCACTAAATAAGCATTTGGTGTAATCAATATCAGACTTCAAAATGATTGGTTGGCGTCATGGTAGCGTGAATTGCCCTGTGGATTTTCATGCTAGAAACCTAGAGAGTGACACGTAATGCAACTTCTGCCCAATACGGCGTATAAATCCAGGGCAAAGTTTTACAGCCAAGCTTCTTTTGCTTACATTGTGAATTATGGTTCTCAAACTGAAACTTGCCCTTCGTAGAGTGATAAGTAGATATTTGAGGAAGGTGTTTAATGTACACTGCAGAGAGAACTTTTGCCTTGAGTTTTTTTCCAAGGTATGTACTGTACAGATGAGAACAGGAAACATACGCTTGTTTTTTTGGGGGGGGAAACAACCCACGAGAGTGGAGATGTATTCCAGGATTTGGAAAGGTTTTATGGCTATCAAATACAGTGGTACCTTGGGTTAAGTACTTAATTCGTTCCGGAGGTCTGTTCTTAACCTGAAACTGTTCTTAACCTGAAGCACCACTTTAGCTAATGGGGCCTCCCACTGCTGCCACGCCGCCGGAGCACGATTTCTGTTCTCATCCTGAAGCAAAGTTCTTAACCCAAGGTACTGTCTCTGGGTTAGCGGAGTCTGTAACCTGAAGCGTATGTAAGCTGAAGCGTATGTAACCCGAAGTACCACTGTACGGTGCTTTTGGAGGCCAATGAGATTGTGAAAAACTATAGCTAGTAGTTCTTTTTTAAAAAAAAATTGTGAGAACAGTAAGTTGCTGATCATTCTGGTTAATTAGAAATCTGTAGGATCATATTTTGTTTTTACCTTCTTAAGAAAAGGAGTATCCTGATGTTTTTGTGCGTAATTTTACGTTCTGTTTTAGATTAGCAGGTAACACTCATTGAATATATAGAGTATAAATTCTTCCAGGAATGTTACTGCTTTTAAAGCTAGGTTCTCGTCTGTACAACAGCAAACTCTGAAAATTTGTTTGCAAAACTGCTTAAGGGCTTGAAGGAAATAGAGAGAGAGCCTGAGATTCTGAAGAATGGTTCTATTTTCACAAATGACACCTGCCCACCTACACATGTTTATCATTTGTCATGTCTATATCATTGATATCATTCATTTATCCCTTGTGAAGGTTTCGTGCCTTGTTGCCTGGAGGCAATTATTATTTTCCCCAGACAAGTGGCTGTTTTCAAGCCTGTTACATTCAGATTATTAATTATATCTAACCATCTTCACTATCAACTGCTTGTCATGTTGCAGAGTGAAGTACATCCTATAGCCACCTAATTTTGTGAGTGCCTGTCGTTTTGTAGCCAAAATGGCACCAGCCACAGTTAAGAGGGTGGTCAATCTGCAAGCTTAGGGGAATGCAGTGGACTATCTTGAAAGTAGGTATGGCTGGAACCCTGATAGAAATGCTGCACACTGCACCATTTTGTTGCAGGTCTCACTTGCAGTAATCTAATCTCATCAAAGTATGTTCAATTGCTATTGCCCTTTTGTTTTCTCAGGGAATGTAACGTGGCTTTGTTATCGCCTTTTATATGCTTTGCTAAAGTCCAGTATGTGTTGAATCAAGATATTATCTTATAAAAAGTTAGATAGGTTCACGATCATTGAAGGCAAAATATGACAACAGAAATGGCTACTCTCCATGGTAAGAAGCCTGAGGCTTCAAACAGATGGATCATTTTAAATTCATTGTAGTTAAATTATGGAACTCGCTCCCACTGGAGGCAGTCGTAGCCGCCAACTTGGATGGCTTTAAAAGAGGATTAGACAGATTCATTGAGAGGAAAAGGCCATTCACAGCTGCTAGCCACGTGCCATAATGTCCATGTTACAGGTGGGCAGAGTGCTCTTGTGCTTCCCTCAGGCCACTGTGAGAACAGGATGATGGGCTAGATGAACCACTGGCCTGATCCGGCAGACTCTTATGTCACAGTGTTCTGAAATAAAGCTTGCCTCTTTAAAAGTTTTACTTTTTTATACAGCTCATGTCTCAGAACTGGAAGTTCCAATGCAATGGTCACCAACCTTTTGGGGCCCAGGGACAGATTTGGAATTCTGAGGGAATGTTGTAGGCACCAGTCACAAAATGGCCGTCACAAGGGGGCATTGCTTGACACAAAATGGCTGTCAAGTGGGTATGGCTCGACACAAAATTGGGACTACTGGTATTTCTACATAATAATAAAGCAGCAACTGATTGGTTGACCTGGGAAACCAGGTTTCAAATTCCCTACTTGGTCATGAAGTTCACTGGGCGATTTTGGGCCAGTCACTGTCTCTCAGCCTAAGGTACCTCACACTATGGTTGCGAGGATATAATGGTAAGGGGGAAAACTATGCTTGCCAGCATGAGTTGCCTAGAGGATATTATTGTAATAAAAATTTAAAAACCTCATCCTTCAGGGCAAGAAAAAAGTAATGAGACAAGCTTCAAGGCAAGTGGGGAAGAAACCCCCTTTTCACTCTGTCCGCCACTCAGAATTAAAATGCAAGAAACAACAAGAAGGGCTGCTCATCATCTCTTAACCCCTCCCCTCTGGGGCGAAATGCCCTCTGGAACAAGAAAACAGGGGAGAGACCTTCTTATCACCTCTCCCTTTCCAAAATAAAAATGCTTTATGATACTAGAAAAAGTGGGAATGCAAACCATGAGGTGAGCAGGAAGGTAGAAGAGGGAGGAAATGGCTGCCCAACCAGTTTGAGTGAAAGCGGCTGGGAACTTCCAGCTTTGGGAGCTGCTCTGCAGGATAAAGCAATATGAAGTACCTGCACAGTTTGCTACATAACTTTTTGTCTAGGAAGGCTGGAGACTTACTCTTTTTTTTAAGGGAATGCTCAGAGTTGGGAGCTCCTTCCTGGGGGTGCTAACGAAGGCCTTCACAGGCGCCAGATTAGCAACCTCTGTTCTGCTGGTTCTCAGTTTGCTTCAATGTCTTGTGCTATTTTGAAGAATATATTAGCAGTAGTCTCCTGATCCATTGTCTCTGCTTTGCTCCCCCCCCCCACTCCCCGTACAGAAAAAGCATTGAGAATGTTATTAAGATAGTGGAGCAGCATGGCAGTGATGCCTGGTGGACCCTTCCTATTGAGCAGCTTCTTCCCAGTGAAGCTTTGGCACAGGTAAGTCATTGTCAGTGGAAGTTCTCTCTGAAGGTCTGGTCCGTGTAGGTAATGGCTACTCCTGCCAAGGAGCAGGAACCAGGAGGCTGGTGGTCTGGCAGGCCAGGGGTTAATTCTGATCCCATATACCGTGGTAGACTGGGATAAAGGGAGCAAGCAGCAAAGGCCGAGCACTTCCCAGTAATGTCCCATGTTCCAAAGAATATCCTGGAGCTGGGTCAAGACAGTAACTAGAACTGTTAATAGGTTGTATGAATACGCCCACAATATATATACTCAAAAAGAAAACTATAGCTTAAACCTTAAAATGCCAACAAATTTTATTATAGCATAATGTTTTATTGGACTTGCTGCCCCACTTGCTTCTGCTGCCCCACATGCATGAAGAGTTTTCTCTTCAGTTGACACTGACATATGTCGCCTCTTTCAATGAGGATATAATAAAAGGTTATACTGTGGCTGGTCCTTTGTGAATTTTTGCAATATAGAATTCAAGGGTGTAGAAATGGAAGAAAAACTGATCTGTCTGAGAGTTGTGGAATCCTTAATTTCTTTATTTCTTTATTTCTGGAACAGGCTGGCGATGTCCAGGATTACGTACAAGGTCAGGATGTCCTAGACATCTGGTTTGATAGTGGAACATCTTGGGCTCATGTTTTGGAAGGTAAGGGGTGGTTTTAAATTCAGTTACTATCAAGAATTGTGCAGTTGGGCAATAGACATCCACCCTTAATGTCCACAGGGAGATGGGAAACTGTGCCCCCCCCAGATATTGTTGGGTTATAGCTCCCACCATCTCTGACAATTTACCAAAATACACACACGTTTTCGCTGGCTTTTGACACCTGAGATGCAAATTTTTAGGACTTGCCTTATTTTTGTGGTTGTAAATTGTTGTTTTAAACTGTTTTCAATGATGTGGTTTCATTGTTGTAACCTGCCCTGGGAGCTTAGGGTGAAGGGCAGGTAATAAATGATGGTGTTGATTATGATGAACTTGGAGGACAATGTCTGAAAGTCTTCAGGTTCCCCAACCCTAGTTTAAGCAGTTGCGAAGTGTAAGTCTGCTTTTTCCCCCCATGTAACACAATGTTGAAAACCTGTTGAAGGTTTAAGTGTGTATGGATGTCATTGCATTTCATTTCCTAAGTGTAAGAGCTAGGTTTTGTGCGCTGCAGTATGTTAATCTTGCTTCAGGCAAATAGTGGCTTTTCAGGGTGCTTGTGGATGTGTCAGTAGCCAGTCCTCTGAATATTTGCAGAGGTGACATATATACAACAGAGGGGGGGGGGGCAGGGAAGACCTATGTCTTCACCTTTATATGCTCCCCAGTATAATGGCAGAAAGGTGCAGCCTGGGATGCTGCTTTGAGTCGGAATCTGGTACAGGGCATCAATGCTTTTGAACTTTACACCCGGAGTACACAAATGTCTGATAACTATCTTGTTGAACTGTAAAACATGTTGGCCCAGGGTTGTGGTGGTGGTGTTTTTAATTTCCCAGCAACCCAGGGAAGCAATAGAACCATCAGCAAACAGTGCATTTATTGAAGGGCTCTTTGCCCCTTGTCTTGAAACCATTCAGTTAGATAATAGTGAATTTTGTACAGCTCCCTTACAGTTGCAAAACCCTGACAGTATTCTTCAAGAAACTGAAAGAGATGGACAAAGATGGTTTTATAACCAGGATCAACACATTACATTGTGCATTAGCAGTGCATTCTTCCTTTCTTGTGCATATTTTGGTCAGGTGAATTCTGATGGCCAGAAGCCAAGTTTATAGCTGCTTGGAAGCTCTGCCCAATGATACCTACAAACTCTTGAGATAAGGTGTCTATCTCCAACATTCAATGTCAACTGTGCAGTGGTCTGCTGGGCTGTGTTGGAATTGAAGACAATGAACCAGCTGACTGGGACAGCAGCTCAAATTGCCATTAAGCATTCAGGATCTTGTTTATGACTTGACGACTTAATATAATTACAGCTACTGAATACATTTTTATTTAAGAAGGCTTTCCCTGAAGTATGACCAGACACTTATGGAATACTGTATTAATTGTACAAATTTAAGACACAGTTTTATTGTTTTTATAGTCGGTATCTTTTATATTTTATCTTACTGTACACTGCCCCAGTAGCTTCTGGTTCTGAAACAGTTTATAAATCTGTAAAATACTAGTATTTTACGTCAAGCAGTTTATCTATTCTTAAAATAAGGAATATTTGGAACTAAATTACTTGTACCTTTTCAAAAGCTGCAGAGAAAGCCATAACAAACAATATAACACCTTGAGTTAAAACCATTCCTTTTCACCCAGTGCATGCCTACAAAACTGCAAGGAGGAAGTTGTCCTGGTTCAACTAAAAATGGACATAGCAGGAACTGGAGAGGAGAATCTTGCTGTATTCTTCTCACTGCAATACATTGTTTAGTCGTGGACACACCCTGCTTGGCAGGGGGTTGGACTCGATGGCCCTTGTGGTCTCTTCCAACTCTGTGATTCTATGATTCTAATGTCATGGTTGAAATGTACTCTAGTATTTGGGAGAACCCTGCAGCACAACTCTGAACTACTTGCAGAGCCATCATTCATCGAAACACACACATGCAATACTGTGTTTTAGTTCTGGTTCGAGTATTCTGTATCTAGAAACACTGAATTAGGTTGTGTTCCTCATGCAGAAGGATCTGCTTGCTTAAGCCAAGTTTAAAGATGCCAGAGAAATGGAGCATCAGATAAAAACAGCACTGAAATCCGTCTGTCGTCTTTGTGCTAGCTCTCACCACACTAATGTTTAACTAAACGAATGGGATTGTTTTATAACAAGACTATCTGGTTAGAGCTTTTGTGCTGACAGTGGTAGTTTAAGGGAAAGGTCTGGGTAATTGTACTTAATCTATGGGTTAAAGTCTCCTATAATCAAAGATATAGAATACTATATTCCAGCAAAAAAAGGATTATTAAGAACCTATGTTCCCTAACTGTAAAGAATAACCCTAATTAAAAGCCTTCTATCCCATTTTTTTCATGTTGTAAACTGTAAGGGGGGGAAGGCAGATATCTACATAGAGATATGTGAGCAGTTAAGAATGAATTATTTTTTGTTTGCACAAACTTGGGCCAATTTCAGTCTCAAGTCAGAAGTGTGTTTGAAAACATATATTTTTCTTCTTTATTTTTCTTTGAACTATTTATAAGCCACTTTTTCTGAATACAACTCATTCAAGGCAGCTCACATTTAAAAAGTCCAACATAAAATCCATAATACAAAACACGGTTTAATTTTGGGCAGAGCAGTTATAAAACAGTATGTCAGTGCGTGTATTAATAACAAGAACACACACATATTGATAGACAGTTGACGCTGAATCTGTTTGAATGGAAGGTTTCTCTTAGGAGCACACATAGCAAGATTACATTTGCCCCCACCCCAAGGTGTTGTCTGCTTTTCACATTTTGTGAATATGTTTTCCCCTTTCTTTACTTTCCCGTTTTTCTCTGTAAGGGACTTTACAGTGCTTTGTAGAGGCCCATGGAATATAGTTCTTTGGCAACAAAAATTCCCCCATAATGCACATACTTGCATGATACACTTTTACAGTGCAGTGCTATGCATTTGGACTTGATTTCCCGCCTTTCACTCCCCTTAAGGAGTCTCAAAGCCGCTAACAATCTCCTTTCCCTTCCTCCCCAACAACAAGGTGAGTGAGGCTGAGAGACTTCAGAGAAGTGAGACTAGCCCAAGGTCACCCAGCAGCTGCATGTAGAGGAGCGGGGAAGCGAACCTGGTTCCCCAGATTACGAGTCCACCGCTCTTAACCACCACACCACACTGGCATTTGTTTTGCGGGCATCCCACTTCTTTCAATGGGGGATTAATCCAAGTGACTTTTTACAGGAATGCAGCTTTGTCGAGCTGAAGTCTTTCCCCCCCATTTTTTAAATTGAAAGCTTGAGGTTTTCATCTTAACCATCTCCAAATAAAATCTCTGCAGGACGTTTCCTGTGCCCTCTGGACTGCCAGAGTAGTGCCATGTTTGCAGTGGGTGTGTAATCAGAGCAACAACATCCTGCCATTAAACCTTACGCATGTTGGGAGCCTTGTGTGCATTGCATTTCACTGGATTATAGTGTGTGCGCCTTTGTGTGTGTGTGTATGTATGTATGTGTGTGTGTGTGTGTGTGTTTATTAAATTTGTATCCTTCCCTTCCTCCCAAAGGAGCCCAGGGCAGGTTACCCTATTGTGACTTTAAAAAATGAAATGAAAAATAAAATCAAAACATAACATCTAAAAACAATAAAACGTCTAAAACAAATATAAGAACATATGTAACCAAATCATGTCTCTGGATGGGCCCCAGACAGACCATTGGGTCATCATCTTGGGGACCCTTAGCCAATCATACCAGGGAGGAGAACTGGCCAATTAGGAGAGAGTGAGGATGTTAAAGAAACAGCTAGTTAGGCAGGATAAACCTGTTTAATTTCCTTAGGTGGCTGAAAAGGATTTAGGAAGAGGCTAGAGGTGCTTTTATGTGAAAAGGAAAAGTGGATAGCCATTCTAGAAGGAGATAGTTTTAATAGAAACTCTTCTGTTGCGGAGAATTATAAGTAAAGTTCTTGTTCAAATGTGAAACAGTGTTTCTGACAGAAAATAAGTACAGTGGTACCTCGGGTTACATACGCTTGAGGTTACATATGCTTCAGGTTACAGACTCCGCTAACCCAGAAATAGTACCTTGGGTTAAGAACTTTGCTTCAGGATGAGAACAGAAATCGTGCTCCGGCAGCGCGGCAGTAGCAGGAGGCCCATGAGCTAAAGTGGTGCTTCAGGTTAAGAACAGTTTCAGGTTAAGAACAGACCTCAAGAACAAATTAAGTTCTTAACCCGAGGTACCACTGTATTGTGTCTTTAATAGTGAACTGCCAAGCTTTATCCTCCTTTCAGGTTTAGTCAAGAAAAATACAGTTTTCGTTTCCATCATGCCTCAGCTTTAATTGATACCTACTTCAGGGAATGAGTTGTCACAGGAACCCCCGATATCAAGAGTTCCTGTTTTAGGTTTATATGATGTATTGAATTCTTTGTTGTTTGAGGAGGGGAGTGACCAAGGTCAAATCACTCCAGACTTTGCTCCCATCTTCACTGAAGGAGTGTGTCACAAGGCCCGCTGAAAGAAGAAAAGCTTTTGGCAGGTGCCAACCTAATGTCAATAGGCAGGGAGTTCCAAAGTACAGTTGCTGCCACACTTAAGGCATGACTTTAGTGTATAGGTGTGTTGCATAGTAAATCACTTCTCTGTGACCTTTGTCACGTTGTGCTTGTTACAGCAGAATTTAAATATCAAAATTCCTTAAACAAACAGCAGAAGGCTGTAAAAATGGTGTGACAAAGGAATCTCTGAAAGGAGTAACTGAATACTGCTGTGGAGGGAAAAAATGAAATGTTCAAAGTTCCCATTGCAAGGCAAATTAGATTTTTTTCAAAAATCTGCTCCCTCATTTTCATAGGTTTAATATGGGACAGAGGCCTTTTGCTAGGGGAGGAAATGCAAGTGAATGAGGTGTCTTCTTGCATAAGACTTCAGGGATGTGAAAAGATGCACTGGCCAAAATTCTACCTTTCCCACTCCTATTCAGGTCGCAGGAGGTGTGTCTTTTATTGAATCAAACAACTGGATTCACCCTTTTATTTGGGAGTAAGAAGCTTAACAGTACCTGCACTCTGAAGTCTTTTAAGTGTCTTTAAAAATGGTTAGATTTAGTATTTTATTTATGAGGCATGTTCAGATTGTGTGATGGTGTTGTGTGTGTGTTTTTAAAGGGCTTTGTGTAAACTTTGCTGTAAAGCTGTCTTATGGGTTACATTGGTATAACGCGGTATTAAAGCAAAAGCTCCACAGCAGCTAAATTCCTGCTTTAAAATGCCACTTTTTTCTTGACTTTATTCAGATGCAGGTGAAAGGGCTGATCTATACTTGGAAGGGAAAGACCAGCTGGGAGGCTGGTTTCAGTCTTCTCTCTTGACCAGCGTGGCAACACGAAAAAAGGCACCGTTTAAGTAAGTTGATGCTTGGAAAGTAGTACATCGTAACTATCTGTTGAACCTCTGGATGGAAATGACAGCATCAGGGTCTTTCTTCTAGGGCGGTTATGGTTCATGGATTCACTCTTGGTGAAAAAGGAGAAAAGATGTCTAAATCGATTGGCAACGTTGTCGATCCAGATGTAGTCATCAATGGCGGCAACGTGAGTAATTGCATCGTTACGTTCCCAAATCACAAAAATCAGTCTATTAGTTTCTCAGAGAAGCAATGGTAAGCACCTAATAGTTCAGCTAGGTCCGATTATTTACTGCCTGAAATAATTTGCTTTGCGTTAAATCCATCCCCAGCTCAGCAGTGAGAGAAGAATTACTAAGAGGGTGGCGAGTAAGACAAGTTCTTAGGGTATCACAGCAGCAGAGTACCCATTGTGCGGAAGGATAAAGTAGCAAATGATGGGCAAGTCCACTGCTTGAGACTTTGGAGAGCCACTGGGCTACAGGAATCAAAAGGCAGCTTTCTATGTTCTGGAGTTGAAAGGTTTAGCTGAGAGCATAGCATGCAGGCTGAGTGGGTAGGTTAACCAGGATCAGGCTGGAAGGGAGGTAAAGGCAGATGCATTGGTGAAAGAGCTCATAGGCATAATAAACACTGACTTATCATTATGAGAACAAGTCTTAGGTGCTCCCACCTCCCCTCCTCTCTTGTGACTGCGAAGAGGAAGTTGGAAGCTGTCACTTCCACTTCAGATTAACCACAGTTTAAGAGTTATGTTCAAAGTGATAAAATTGCACTTAGGTTAACTGTGGTTGCTTGAAACGTGAATTACAAAGCTGGTTTTCTCCCCCAACTAACTATAGTTAGAATTAACTAGTATAGGATTTGGATGCAGCATTAAACTGATTTAATTGAAATCTGAAGCGAAAGCCTCCAACCTCATATTTCACTAGAGGAGGGGAGGTGTGGAGGAGCACGAGTCCTAGGTTTGCTCATGTCACAATAAACCATGGTTCAATTGCCATATTCACACCAGGTCTATATGTCCCTCAAATGTTGTATTCTAAGCTCACCTTCCACGTGAATTACTTGTGCCACATTAACGTAAAGCGGTCTCAAGGACATGGTTTTGTTACGTTTCAACTGTGTCAGCAAGATACTTTTGAGTACCCAAGCAACGCTCTTGTCTTTTGTATAGAAATTTGGTGCACTGGGTGCATCCAGCAGTCTCTTCGGCTTAGGTATTTTCAAGATCATGCATGTTGCTTTTATTCTAGAATTTCCTGTTCAGCAGGTTCTGTAGAAGAGTACTCGGAAGTTGTTCTGTGCCTAGTCCGGTTATACTGAAACTCCATTAAAACCTCAGTCTGCTTCTGATGGCTTTAGAGGGAAGGGGAAATGTGGCACGAAGGTAACACTTCGCTCCAGTTGTTGAAAAGAGCAGATTTTTATTGCTGCTGATGGAAAAGCTTCCTAAAGTGTCTTTCTGAAGCTGAGCTTCCTTGTGTATCCTTAAACAGTCGTTGAAATACAGCCCTTGGCAGCCTCGCTTGCATATATCAATCATCATAAAAACAGACCAGTTTTATTGCTGCTTTACCTTGCTTATCAGTGCCTGTTCTGCGGGGGTGGGAATGGTTTTCATGCCTGGTGGCTTGAGGCTCAACTTGTGCTTGACATTAACATTTTGATCAACTGTTTAGCTTGTGTATTGATGTTCACTGCCCAGCTCCTAGCTGGTCCTTTGGCTGCTCTGGCTAGATTTGATAGACCCCGAATTTCTACTTTGCCAGAGCTCTTGGATCTGGGAATGTGGAGCAATCCCCAGTGAATTAATAAGGGTTCAGCTACTTGATGCCATACCATGTGTCAATGGAGACCAGGACATAAACATCTTTAAATGGGAATCAGTCGCTAGACCCTCTACTCAAGCAACCCTCTTGTCTTATATGGGAACATTTTGGGTCTGGTTCTTTGACCTTTATCAAACAGGTCTGTTCTAATGTATGCTTCACATGTTGGCTGAGTTGTTCTGTGCCACCATATCATTTGAAATTTAGAAGTTCTGATATCAGGATTTGAAGATAATCCTGATATTTGTTCTGATTTTAATGTGTATGAAGGAAATATTAGCGTGCAGGTTGGTTTGTGGATGTATTTTCCTGAAGTTCAGTGCATGCTACAATTGTTACTCCAGTACTCTTCCTCTTGACCATGCTTAGTTTTTCTTTTTTGCTACTTATTATAGTGCAGTTCAGATGGCAGATGACAGTAATGAGTTAGAGGAAAATAGAAAAAGGAGGGGAGGTGAGCAGTTGGGGAGGGGAGAGAGAGAAAGAGAGACGAGAGTTGTATAAATTGTTTCACTACATACTTGTAACTGAGTTGCTTATTCTGCTAGGGCTGCCCCATTCCTTGTTCAGTAAGGGGGATTCATCTTTTGGAGCAGACCTCCCAAAGTAAACAAGCACAATTCTAAACAGGAGGAGAGAAATTGGCTGCAGCTTTTGCTAAACCAGGCTTAAAAAATTTAATGGCTGGGGCGAGGGGAATTGTTAGCATGCTTGAGGCTGGCAGAGGAGGGGCATATCCGTCCACAGCATTCTACTGCATTTCTGTGCCAGGGGAAGAAATGGGGAACAGACCATCTCCTGCCTTACACTGAGTCAGACCAGCGGTCCACCCAGCTCAATGGCAACTCTCCAGGTTTTCAGACCAGGAGTCCTTCTCAATGATTGAACCTGGAGCCTACTGCCCCTAACCTATGGTACTTCCCCTTTCTCTCTAGGCAAGAACATCAGCAGTAGTTGCTGTGTAGTAGTTTTTACAGCAGCAAGGAACTTCCCTGCTCTCCCTGCCCCATGTCTGTGACTTGAAAGATTTTCAAGTAAAAAGTAATGCTGATCCTTTGATGTAGCTTGTCCTGCCACTCTCCTTGATGGCTCCAAGTTGACAGCAAGTGTGGTTTGACTTTTCTCTCCCTTCCCTCCCCCGCCCAAAGCTTTGCACTAGGTAGCATGACACAGGTGTGTGTGTGTGTGTGTGTGTGTGTGTGTTGTGCTCTGCAGAGCGATAAGGAACAGCAGCTATGCTGCTAATTCTCATTTGAGAATCTCTGGTCCAGTTGAATTGTGGGGTGGCTGCATGTCAAGATTTCATTGCTGTGTTGCCAGAAATCTGTAAGCAGTTGGTGCTTTATGTTCTCCAGGAAAATGTGTGTTGTCAACGAAACATGCTAGGTAGACTTCCAACGTAACGCTAAAGAGTTTGTTCCATTTCTGCTTGCCTGATAGAACAGTCCTTCTCCCCACCCCACCCCGGTTCTGGGGGTTCACCTGACCTGAGCGGATTTGGGAGAGGAGGAGAAGAGAGGAAAGTCCTGTTGCACTAGCAGGAGTTGTTGTGCTGGCTTCCAGTAGCAGAATGGAGCTGTTGGCTCTCACCCACTGTGTAAATTCAGCAGGTTTGCAGAGCTAGCCTCTCTCTTTTAATCTCTCCCCCTACCCGCCCAATCTTTACACTCACAGGACCACAGTACAGACCCTCCATATGGCGCCGATATTCTACGCTGGTGGGTGGCAGAGTCGAATGTCTTTGCGGAAGTTCTTATTGGGCCAGCTGTGCTTAACTCTGCACGAGATGACATCAACAAGGTAGGAAGCCAAGAGAATAATAACAACAGTAAGAAGAAAAACAGAGTGTCTCCTCTTCAGTAGGAGCCATTTCAGATTTAAAACTGTCAGTTTGTTTTGTAGAATGCATAACCAGGAAATAATGTTTGAGATCTTCTCTTTAGTTTCTGTTTCAGCTACCACTTGCTGCAGCCCAGCCTCAGATAACTTGACAGGAAAGGGCAACAAAATCACTTGCAGTGTGATTGCATTCAGCTGTTTGTTTGCTTCCTATTCTTATGGTAGAACTAGATGTGTTTGTCATGGAATTCTCCTCAATACTGATCCAGAGCAGAACTCCAATGTATAGTTAGCAGAGTAAAAACTTAAAACACATTGCAGGATTCCCAAAAAATAGACCAGAGGCAATTGTATTTCATCCAGCAGAGCTACTGAAGACAAATGAGCATAATGGTCACAAATCTAATACATTCAGGATTGGCACTGTCCATAAGAAATCCAGTTGCAGCAGACAACTTAAACTTACAATAACTTACAATAAGACTAAACTTTAGTGCTAAGTATACTATGTGCAGAACACCACACCAGAAGGAAGAGAGAGAGAAAGAGAAAGTGAAACCCAGACTCCTTCTGGCCTTTTTTTAGTCAGCATGACCTTGACTGAAGAGATAACAGAACCAGTTTAAGCCAGCTGTACTCAGCTTCTCTGAAGGAATAACCGAAACATCATGAACCTTCTGCTTGTTTCTTTCACACAGAGAAGCTTCCTCTTGAATTAATTAGAATATGAAGGATCTCTACACATCAGATCAATACTTTCTGCACTAAGGGATGCAAACTGACAGTGTTGCAGCCAACTCAAGGCTGTTGTCAAAGCCCAGTGTCTCCTACTCTTCCCACTTGACAGGCCATTCAGCTGGAATTTTGGAAAACTGATGTTGCATCATGTGACGCGTGTGCCTAGGCAGTAAAGTCCAGCTACCTTGTGTTTGCCATAACTTTCCTTTCCAGCCCTAGGGCCTTGGCACTGATAACAATTGGGCAGTCCTCTGATCTGGTATTCCTCCATTGTATATTGCAAGCCACATAGAGCTTTGGAAAGGAGAGGAAGGGAAGAGCTGAAAGCATTTGGAGATCATGTGACTTCCTGACATGTTTTCAAACTCCTTTAGGATCAGGGAGGATCACCTTGAGGTGATTTCCAGGCAACTATAAACAGTCTCCTTTCTTTCCACCCCAAATTGTGAAACAAAGCTTGTATTGGAAAAGTGACCAGATAGGAGTCTCCAGCATTCTCAAGGAATTAGAAAAGCCTCTGAAATGTTAATGGCACTATTGGTAGCAAAAACTGTTTTAAATTATTACTGCTGTATCATTCTGGATTTTGTGGAGTTATCCTGATTAATGCATGTTGCTGACTGGTTTGTTGATAGCTTCGGAACACGCTCCGTTTCTTGCTCGGCAACCTGGCCGGCTTCAACCCGGAGACGGACACAGTCCCCACATCAGAGATGTATGTAATAGACCAGTATATGCTCCACCTGCTGCAGGGCTATGCAAACAAGGTAAGCAGGGAAGGAGGGGGACTAGGAGTTATAAGTGCTTACAGCAGAAGGATGTGAGCCTTTGAGCAGTCAGCTGTGTGAATTACTTAGAAGAGAGGTTGGATTGAATCATATTTAAGCTAAGGTCCTAGTAGTTAGACAGTGTTTTGTCATGAATGCCAATCTGGAGCATAAGAGAGACCCTCCTTATGATTACAACAGGCTTGCAGATGTTTTTAATGATTGACATTTTATTATGTTTTTATATTTTGCTGGAATTCGCCCAGAGTGGCTGGGGAAACCTAGCCAGATGGGTGGAGTGTAAATAATAAAATTATTATTATTATTATTATTATTAAATAGCATTTTATACTCAAAGCATAGAGAATTTTAAATATGAACTGGGGGGACCCCTAGTGGTCATAATTCAGCCAAGGCATTATTTAGTTTTTATTTAGTACATTTGTTAACCGCTTCACAAATCCAAGCAGTGTAAAGGTAAAGGGACCCCTGACCATTAGGTCCAGTCGTGGCCGACTCTGGGGTTGCGGCGCTCCTCTCGCTTTATTGGCCGAGAGAGCCGGCGTACAGCTTCCAGGTCATGTGGCCAGCATGACTAAGCCACTTCTGGCGAACCAGAGCAGTGCACGGAAACGCCGTTTACCTTCCCACCGGAGCAGTACCTATTTATCTACTTGCACTTTGACATGCTTTCGAACTGCTAGGTTGGCAGGAGCAGGGACCGAGCAACGGGCGCTCACCCTGTCGCGGGGATTCGAACCGCCGACCTTCTGATCGACAAGTCCTAGGCTCTGTGGTTTAACCCACAGCGCCACCCGCGTCCCATGTTGTGTACAATGGGACAAATTTAAGATAAAATGCAAATTCAAAATGCAAATTCGAAAAACCATTAAAACCATTCCTACAAACTCTGATTAAACAATAAAGCTACCTCTACCTTTCATAAATGACTCCCAGAAAACCTTTAGCAAAAACCTATTCAGTGGGCACCTACACGTCATGATTCTAAGTGCCTGCCTAATTTCAGCAGGTAACTGATACCAGAGGGCTGGAGCTGCAGTGCTAAAAACCTATGTACATATAAGCAAATCAGGACTTTTTGGGCATTCCCCCCCCCCTCCAGTAGTACTCCTGTCTTTAAATCTTGGAGGCATCTGATTGGCCACTTTGAGAACAAAATGCTGGAGCAGATGGGCTATTGGCCTGATCCAACAGGCTCTCTTATATAAATACTGAGCATGGAGGTGTGAATGGAGAAAGGCTCTTTCTCTTACTGTGCTTTCTGAATCTTCAGTACTTGCTTCTTAATTTAGCTGTCTGTTTTTGTATTTAATTTTTTCAGGTTACAACAGCATATAAGGAATATGACTATGGGAAAGTCATACGATTACTGCAAGCCTTCCATACTAGAGAGCTGTCTAGTTTTTACTTTAGCATAATCAAGGACAGGTATGTATAACAGTGTACCCTTACTAATGCGAGTCTCCCTTTTCACTACACCTTGGTTCCCGCTTAAGAAAGCTTGTTTTTAGGAAACCTCAATGCACACGCAGAGATGCACAAGCAATACATGAATTTGTTGTTACTAGCTTGCAAAAGTTTCCATCCTATGTGCGAGTAGAATCTTAAACCTGAAATTTATTTAATTTTTGATTCTGTGTGTGCTTCACCCCCCACACATCTAAATAAAACAGTGTGAAAAAATTCTAGCCATCAGTACCAAAACCACTGGGTTCAGTGCTATTTGTGTGTTGATACACACACACACACACACGTATTAATTTGCCAAATGCGAAAGTATATTAGTTGTTTGACATATAGAAGGGCAAATACTTGGACATTCCCAGTTTAAAATGGCATCATTCCGGCTTTTAATTTCTACCAGTATCTAAAAGTTCAATTCCCGCCCCCCCCCCCCCATTTCAGACTTTATTGTGAAGAAGAAAAAGATCCCAAGCGCCGCTCATGCCAAACAGCCTTAGCTGCAATTTTCGACACGGTGGTTCGTTCTTTTGCACCAATCCTTCCTCATTTGGCTGAAGAGGTATTCCAGTACCTTCCGTATCAGAAAGGTAAGGCAGCTGGAGCTATCAGGCGCTTCTTCACACAGGGCTCTTGTATGTTACAGCCTTAGCAGTGTGTTTGAGAATCCCTGGGAATTCCTTTATCTAAACATTTGAAGAACTGTCTGTGCATTGGCTGGCACGGTGGAGCGGCCTGCAGGGCCCCCAAGAGTGTTAAACTAATCATTTTAGAAAAAGATGGGAGTCTTTAAAATCTTGTAATATTGATGACCTGGAGCTAAAATATTAAGAGTGCACCAATAGGTGAAATTTTAACTGACAGCCTTAGCTTCGCAGGGGTGTTCCAGGGTTGACTGTATGAACAGCTGCTTTGGGTATTAACCTTTTTCTTTCTTTCAAAGAGTCAGATAGCGTGTTTCGTTCTGGCTGGATGAACACAAGTCCCGTATGGAAGAAACCCGGCCTTGAAGAAGCAGTGGAGGGAGCATGTGCAATGAGAGATGCTTTCCTGGGTTCGATCCCTGGCAAAAATGCTTTGGAATATCAGGTGGTACTTGTGATTGAGCCTGGACTGCTCTTTGAATTAATGGAGGTAAGCAGGAAAATCAATACCATTTGTTCAAACTTCAATTAGTACAGAGCTTGGCTTCCAGAGTTCTGACAAGTGCACTCATTTTTGCAGCAATTTTAAAGGAATTTCATTGACTTCAGGGCCTTAAGCAAGGTGCTGGTGTTTACTAGCACTGTGTTTTCAACTTTGTGATATATCACCAGCTAATCATCCCAATATACAGATATACAGATATATCGCAGTGTCTGAAATAAAGAAGGAGCCGTGTAGACGCATTGGCTGGCTTCATGGTTTTCCCCACATTGTGATTTTTGCATAGCGCACACAATATATTGCTAGGTCAAAAATTATGAAACCGGTATCATGATATGGACTTCAAACTGGTTTTGGATGATATATCACACAGCCCTAGTGTTTACCTTTAAAGCCCTATGCAGCTTGGGACCAAAATACCAGAGGAGCACTTCTTCCTATGCCAGCCTAACCATGTCTTGAAGCTTTTCTGCTAACTGTTCTCTTGTGGCCTTGTCTATCAGACATAAATCCTTCAGCCACAAAGGAAGAAGCCTTTTGAATGATTTTCCTAAAGAGGCTTGCCTGTTGCAGTCTTTTCCACTCCTGGCTGAAACATCCATTTTTGGTTTTTTTTACACAGGCATCTTAAATTAGCTTTACTCTGAATAATGGTTCTCATATACTCATTGTATAAATTTGTACACACTTCTGAAATTCAGAGTAGCTGAAGTTGGTATGTAAAAAGATTAAAATAAACAGCTGGGGCAGGGGAAAATAGTGCTATTCTCCAGCACTCTGTTAGATTCTGGATCACAACTAGGATTGTCCACAGTATTGCTTGATACTTCTGCTGTCTTTTTGTAAAGATATCTATCCATATTCTGCAAATTAAAAAAGATATTTTGATACTGTACTGCACTGAAATATTTAAATGTTTCTTTGATTATCCTTGAATCTTTTTGCCACACTTGACATCCTCTCCTGCCACACTGTTTGAGAACCACTGTTGCAAAGGGATCAGTAGGGCTGGTAGGCTTTATGGCTGGACCTGCTTAACTTCAGCCGCAGCCTTCTCTAAATGCAATCATTCACATCCAGGTGCTGCAACATGAGGAGTGTTCCAGTACATCCCAGCTAAACGAAATAATGATGGCATCACAAACGACGCTGCTTAGTGAAGTCCCGAGAGACATAAGCACAGATGATATGATTAAAGGGACATTTCTGATCAACTTAGAAGGTAAGTGCAGAAGGAAATAACTTCCAGCTTGGCATCTGTTTGGACTAGTTGTACCTTCCCTTGTTTCTTGGGGTGGGTGAGCAAGAGACAGAGAGGTCTACCTAAACGTTGAGTCTGTTTCTTTCAATAGGTGGTGATATCCGGGAAGAATCTGCCTATAAAGTCATAGTCCTACCGGCTGCCAAATCAAAATGCCTGCGCTGTCGAAAATACACTGCGGATTCAGCAGACACGCTCTGTGCACGATGCAGGGAAACACTTGGTGGGAAATAGCAACCACGTCTCCATGTTCTCTCAAAAGCAACCTGATATTTTGCTGACTTATTTCTAAGAAATGTGTGTCATGAGAAAACACACACTACTACTGAGGGGAGAGATGTCGGAATGTTTATTTGAAAACTGGTTTGGTGTATATACGTAAGCTTGTACATTAATAAACTGCTTGTGAGAGATGCCAGATGGTCTTTGGTGTTCTTAAGGGTATAAGATTTCTTACTAACAAGTGGGTCCCCCTTTCTTGCTGGTCAAGGATTTCATGCTAACCTGCTGTCAATCCACCATTGTTGTTGTTGTTTAGTCGTGTCCGACTCTTCGTGACCCCCTGGACCAGAGCACGCCAGGCACTCCTGTCTTCCACTGCCTCCCGCAGTTTGGTCAAGCTCATGCTGGTAGCTTTGAGAACACTGTCCAACCATCTCGTCCTCTGTCGTCCCCTTCTCCTTGTGCCCTCCATCTTTCCCAGCATCAGGGTCTTTTCCAGGGAGTCTTCTCTTCTCATGAGGTGGCCAAAGTATTGGAGCCTCAGCTTCAGGATCTGTCCTTCCAGTGAGCACTCAGGGCTGATTTCCTTAAGAATGGGTAGGTTTGATCTTCTTGCAGTCCATGGGACTCTCAAGAGTCTCCTCCAGCACCATAACTCAAAAGCATCAATTCTTCGGCACAACCCACCATTAACAGCAGACAAACATACATGCCAGCAAGATAACTAGGTAATCTCAACCTGCACTCATTTTTCAATTATAGTTAAGAAGTGATCATGTTATATCCTTAGATCTATAGACTGCTGCCCACAAACCCTGCTGCAAATTGAACAGCAACTACATTCCCTCCTTTACAGGTTGATTTCTGCCTTCTGCCCTACAAGATCCAAACTATTCCTATTGCATCCACTGGAAATCTGTGATTCAAAGACCCAGATATGTGTTCGTACCTCATAAGACCAATGCACACCAGAGAAGAATGACTAGTTTATTTTTAATACTTCATATATTGGACAGCTGTGTACAGAAAGCTGAAATTTCAACACAGGGAACCTAGGGGCTAGACAATTTACAATATTTTTACAATAAACTGTACAACAATCAATGTTACAAAAAGACTAATGCTTCTACAGAACCTGATTGGCTTAAATTAGATTCCTAATTTTATTTCTGAGACTTTATCAGAACATCCAAGAGGCAGCTTCTGTTTCAAGATTTTGAAATTAACTTGTGCACTCTGCCCTCCCAATGGAACAATCTTTTTAAGAATGAGCTGCCCCTTGCCCAGTTGTCCAAGCATGATGATTGTATGAAGTAATTATTTAATGCTGTAAGCCTCCACCCAGCTAGCTCCTTGCTAAAAGCAGCCAAGAGACTACTCTGAAAACCAGAAGCAACATACACGTAGGAGCTCCTGCTTTCTCAGCTTCTAATTAAATTCCTCTCAATTTAACATTTAAAATGCAGCAGTTGATTTTCTAGCACATGAAAAACTCTAATATGTTAATCTGGACGACAAAGCTGTTATTAAACCTGAACTACTACGCAAGTGCTTCAAGTTAGAAATAAATATTTAAGGTTATATAGACAAATATACAAAGATGATAGGTTACTGGTGTTACCCACCACAGTAAGGTAGAACTTCACATGGGTAGCATCTCCTAAAAGCCTTAAAAGGGTTAGTTTACAAAAGTCACTTGAAACCATTTCCCACTAGGTGGTTCTTCATCTTTACATACAAGAGCCATGCACTGGACTTGTACATAAGAACGGTTCAAAACTAGCAGCAGAAATTGTGACCTTGCCATCATGACATTGCTTCCACTGCCTCAATTAGATTCAAGGCAACACTATACTGCCCGTGGTTTTCCGGTAAGTGTTCTATCACTTTGTCTACTAGCTTTGCGGTTGTGGTGATTGGCACATCTACATTTTGAAGATCCTGTGGGTCCTGTAGAGAAAGGGGAGGGGAAACACAAGTCGTCAGGCATTCGCCTATAAAAGCAATTTTCAAGCTACAGCACCAGGCAACGGAAATGCAGGATTTTCACTTAAATGCTTATTAGGCACCTTCCAATTTTGTGGGTTATTTTCTCCAGAAACACATAATTGTATTCTAAAGCAATGAGCCTGGTCCTTGCCTATTTGCATACTCCACAAAAGCAACACTGGTGTCTGGATGCAAGGGGTGCAGCCACAAGTCCCTACTTAGCTGCCGTAAGGAAACCTCAGTGTTTGTGAAGATCACTGTAACACAGACTACTCCGTGGCAGAAGGGAAACCATGACCCTCTTGTGGTCAGGTGGTGGACAGTGCTGATGATGTCTGTGGCTGCCAGTGAGAAAGAGAATACATATAGGGAACAGAGCTCTGAACCTCTGCCTCCAGTGCCCCTCTTACCCACTGGCAAACCTGTTGCTTTAATCCACCATTAGCTAAGAACATCAATGGCCATGGCTTCAGCAGCAACTTTGATTCATGGCTGATTTGTTACATCTGGCATTGCACAACCAGCTGGCTGATCTTCAACCGCTACAACCAGAAGAGCAGAGCTGCCTGGTTGTTCTGGTGGGCCACAAAGAGGTCATCACCTAGAAGCTGGACAAGGGCACCCCCTTTCCTCCTTCTTTCTGAGATTTTGACCAGGGGGCAGGATTGTTTTCTTTTGTTATTATGACGTGCATTTTTGTGTTTTTATATTGTGATCCTCGGATGAAGGACTCTATATAAATTTTATAATTAATGAAAGTAATAATAATGTATGTACTTGGTTTAGTCACAAATAGGATTAAGTTCACTCTTTGCATACCCAGGGCGAGTGGTGGTTATTGGGTAGCGTTCAAGTAAGAGGTACTTGGAGTAGATCCATAGAAATTAATGAACACAAGTAAGTTAGGTCCACCTATATCCAAGAAGGGACAGAGGGAGTGCAGCCCTGTTATTCTTCCTTGATCTTTCAACAGCTTTTGATACCTGGCCTGACTGATCTGGCTGAGCAGCAGAGGCACTGTATTACAGTGGTTTTGTTCCTACCTGCACAGCTGAGTCAGGAGAGTGGCATACAAAAGCCCTGTTGTAGTACATCTGTATACTGAAATACTAACATCAAATAAGGTAGTGTGCTCCTGCTCTAAGGCCATTCTTGTTTGTTCAAATGGCTGCTAATCCTAGAGAGATACAACCACCTTATGCCCAGGGTTGGTCCTACTTACTATGCTTTGTGAGCAAATTCCGTTATTTAGACTGCAATTATAAGGAGCCCTGCTGAACCAGGCAGGCATTAACTTCCAAGTTAAAATTTACTGTGTTTTGTTTTTAAGAAGGGGAGGAGGGCAGTGACAGCAAAGACTTCCTGGAGTCATCTGATCCCCACTACATGAGGTACAATGCCAGGCATGTCTTTGTAGCCAGATCTGCAGTAGAGTCCAGATTCCATGCCACATGGCACACTCTGGCTAAAGATTAACAGTCATATAAGACACAGGAGTCACCTCAAGTACGAATCTTAGTCAGAAATTATTCATGCATATTAACCCACTGCTTAGAGCAGAGACTGCCTCACTTTGGAAACTTTCAGATGTGAAATGCTTCTCTAGACATTTATATTTTTTTATACCAAGTGTATGAAGCACTAAGGGGCAAATGAGGCTTGTCAACCTGGGAAGGTAGCCCTAAAAGAAGGAAAACTCTGATCGTAAACCACTGCCTTGCAGGGTATCTTCAAGAGAAGAAAAGGCTAAGGAGTAAACCCTACACAAATCCAGAATGGAGTCCCCAAGATAGTTGGATGGTGCCTTGTATGCCTCCTTTCAGCAACTCCTGCAGCCAATCTGGTGCCAAATGTATTGCTCTGCTTTCCTTTGGACCACATCAATGAGGCCAAGGGGCATCTTGTCATCTGAGCAGCCAAAGACCTCCATACACACTGCCCAGGCTTGTGCTCCAGACAGATCACTTCAGTGCTGCTAACACGGTTTGACTTCACCCCCTTAGGTGCACTCATTGTCCCTCGAGACAGACAGATGCCAACAACATAGTATGAAGCACTTAATAAACTTATGGGCTTGGTCAAATCTTAAAGGCTCTTCCTTCTTGTGCTATTTGAGGTAAAAATATGCTTTTAGTCAAAGGACATTACCATAGCTTTAAGCCATGTGCAGAGTGTTGGAGGCAGCCTGGCCAGTAGCTCCATGCCTTCCTTGGTCTGGGTATGCAGTAAGGCGTAGGCAAGCCTCTGTCCGGTCAGCACCAACAGCTGAGATGCAAGGACTTCTTTGTCGTGTACTTGAAGAATAGCCTGAATATTACAGGACATGTTAACACAATCATATAAAAAGAAGAGCAGCACTGGTATATTAAGAGCAGAACTTCAGTGTTCAGGAACTTCAGGAAATGACTGTCCTCAAAACAAGATTGGCAATGATTAAAGTCCAGGCATGTCCAAAGTTCATTTTGGGGCCTAATCTGGCCGCTGGTCAGTATAATCTGGCCCCTGTGGCAGTTTGTTTCCTGGTCCTGGGGTGAAATCCTAAAAAAAACCTCAACAACTTCAACCTTAAAGAAAGGTTAACAACTTTGCTCGGCCCTCACGGCCCTTCACTTCATCAAATCTGGCCCTCTTTGAAAAAAGTTTGGACACCACTGGATTAAACCAATTTAGAAGGGTCTGATCACAGAATTGTAGAGTTGGAAGAGGCCACAAGTATCTAGTCATTTGAACAAAGCAGTGCAGGAATCTTTCACCCAACATGGGGCTTGAACCCACAACCCTGGAATTAAGAGTCTCATGCTATCCAGCCTCTGTTGGACTTGCCTGAAGGGTGTTTCTGTGTGATGCCATACCGGGCCCAGGTGGGTTTAGCTCCACCTATTGCTTTTGAGCAGTAACCTAGTTGCCTTTCAGGAAACTTTCAACCAGCCAAGTTTTGCCAAGCTGAGGTGTAAGCAAATACAGGATGCACAAACAAAAAATGAAACACACCTGCAATGCAGACAACAACAGATCCTAGGAATTTCAAAAACAGACTACCCATTAAACTTGAGATCTTAAGACGGACAGCCAAAAGCATCCACATAGGATGTGGTCCTGGCCCAGTCTTTCATCGTGTAGAAACACCCTTCAGGTAAGTCCAAAGGACCCTTCTCCCCTGATGGCATATTTGACCAAGGTGGGATGTAGGGTGGATAAAGGCTGCCTAAGAGGGAGGAACAACATTTTTTAAGACTCGCTTCCCAAATGCCAATTCAACAGAAGGAAATAACATTATGTCACAAGCTTAACCCATAGCCACAGCATGAGGATCAGTCAGGAGACCTAGCTAAGTACCGTATTTTTCCGTCTATAATATTCCCCCATGTATAAGATGCCCCCTATTTTGGGGGACTCCGATTTAAGAAAATGAGGAAAGATCTATCTGTGTATGACGCCCCCAAATTTTGGACATTACTTTTTTCGGGGGGGAAACAGAGTCTTATACACGGAAAAATACGGTACTTGTGAGGAATGGTTGCCCTCTGACACAGGCTACACATTAACTTCCTTTTTTACCTCTTCTCCAAGGTGATCAAGGCCATAGTTGTACAGCTCACACACATAGTGCCGCCTAATTATATCCTCCGCGACCTGAAGGTGCTGAGCCAAATCCAAAGCCAAGGCTGGCCAATCTCTGTCTTTCACAGACACGGCGACTAACTCTTCGGGGCTGTCTTTTGTTTTCTGAGATGAAGACTGGGCTTGTGCCACGGCACTCACCAGTTTGGTTAAGAACTGCAAAGGAAACAAGACGGCCACATCAGTAGCAGTTCAGTTTGACAAAACATACAACTGTCACTCATTTCCCCCAAGGTTTTAACTAACTTGATGACGTATAGACAGCAGAGCTGGATCCACATCACCGCTGGGCAACAACTGGATTGAAGTAAGGTCTTTGAAAAAGGCATTTTTACCCTGCACAGAGGGAAAAAACAATATCCTTTTAAAATCATGGAGGAATTTGGAAAGAAAAGCATCAGTTAATAACAAATTATAGTTATTGTCTCAGAGAAAGATGGTGTTCAAAGTCCAAGGAACTGACATCAAGAGGGAAAACATTTGTGAGTTATAGTAAAGTTGCACAATGATATAGCCATCTGCAGCTTCCTAACACATGTACGTTAAGGGGGGGCACTCATTTGGCCAGTTCACATACATAATTCACAGATAGGTTGAGTATTACCGTGTTTTTGCTCTATAAGACGCACCAGACCATAAGACGCACCTAGTTTTTGGAAGAGGAAAACAAGAAAAAAAATATTCTGAATCCCAGAAGCCAGGACAGCCAGCAGGATCGCTGCACAGTGATCCCGTTGGCTGTCCTGGCTTATGGGATAGCCACACGCAGCCTCTCCCGAGCAAGGGGAGCCTTCATCCCCTGACTGGGAGAGGCTGCCCACGGCAAAGCCAGAAGCCAGGACAGCCAGCGGGATCGCAGCGCAGCGATCCTTACTTTTTAGGAGGGGAAAGGTGCGTCTTATAGAGCGAAAAATGTAGTAATTGCTATTTGGAATTTTCCAATGTGATGTGGCCCTGAATGCAGTGTTGGTTGATGGTACAAAATACAGGAGACAGGACTAAAAGAAGCCAATGGGTTGCATAAAACGAAATCATCCCATTTGCGCAAGCACTTCCACTTGTGGAACAGACTCCCCCCCACAAAAAAAAATATGTTCGGGGGGGGGAGGGAGAAGAAGTTCCATTGTGAAAGCAGACATCCTTGAATGAGCTCAATGACTTCACTGGATACAACCCCATGTGGTTCCAAAAATCCAAATTTGAGCCAAATTAAATGCCACTAGAGATACTGGATCTGGAGCAACTTTTCAGGGGGGAATGAGTGGCTGCCATCTGGATTTGAACTCTAGTCTTCCAAACTGCTCACTCCTGCCCTAAATATGTAAAATATACATTTTTTTCAGCAACTTGTCTGATTTCGACTCATCAGCAACTCTTTTATAATGTACGTACCTTGCTGTCAAACAGCGAGAGAGGCTTCACACTCTTCAGCGAAAACTTCATGATTGCATACAAGATACTACAGAGCACAGACTGGTGCTCCACGAGGGGGTAATGGATGTGCTTCTGCTCAAGGGCTAGTTCCACAAGGGAGGTCTGCCCTTCCACTGACACCCAGGCGTCTTCTGTGTCCAGCACAGGAAGCTGCATTTCATCACTCCCTATATCAGCCTGCAGAAAAGCAGGGGAAAGCATTGGCACCTGAAATGTCACTGTAATTTCATCCTCAATGAGATGTTTTCAACACTAGTAGGTGGGGAGGGGGTCGCGGCTGAAGGTGCAAAAAGAAGAAATCTGCGCAGCAAAACCAGTGTTGCAAAGGGATAATGTCAAAATGAGTACACATTCACTCAAAGCTACTGTACTTTCTGGCTTGAAATCTGTTGTGTTACATGGACACCAAAGTCTTTAAGGACTTGCTCATTAACATTTCCTACAAAAAGATAACATGGGGTGGAATTCAACATCTCGGTCATCTGGTCATTCCATCTGCATAAGCATTGCAGCTTCCTGGATGGAATGACCCCCCCACCTCTCCTCCCTCCCTGGGCTGCTATGATGATGATGATGAAGAAGAAGAAACATTGATAGAGTTAAAACTAAACACACACACACACACACCAATAGATAGATAGATAGACAGACAGACAGATGTTTGATAGATAAAGGTAAAGGGACCCCTGACCATTAGGTCCAGTCGCGGCCGACTCTGGGGTTGCGGTCCTCATCTCGCTTTATTGGCTGAGGGAGCCGGCGTACAGCTTCTGGGTCATGTGGGCAGCATGACTAAGCCGCTTCTGGCAAACCAGAGCAGCGCACGGAAATGCCGTTTACCTTCCCACCGGAGCGGTACCTATTTATCTACTTGCATTTTGACATGCTTTTGAACTGCTAGGTTTGCAGGAGCAGGGACCAAGCAATGGGAGCTCACCCCGTCGCAGTGATTCAAACCGCCGACCTTCTGATCGGCGAGTCCTAGGCTCTGTGGTTTAACCCACAGCGCCACCCGCATCCCTAGATAGATAGATAGATGATAGATAGATATAAAAATATAAAACCAGTAAAACCAGAGGGGTTCTCTCAACTTTCCCAAGCCAATTTCGGGGGGTGGGGAGCCCTTGCACAGAGCTTCCGCTGACGAGACTCATTAGTTCAGTCCTACCCAGAGGGTTTGTGGGTGAATGGTTCCCAGGTTTGGGAACAGGTTGCCTGACCTGGATGGGGTCACGTTCTCCTAAAGGACTAGGTGAATCCCACCCAAGGACTCTTTGTTGTAGAGAAGCTTTCATTCCTCTCTATTGCACAGAAACAGAGTTGCAACATGCCACTTTATTAATCTATTACAAACAAGGTTTGGGGGTGGGTGTTACCTCCATTAGTGTCTGCAGAAGATCTGAGCAAGACCCAAGAAAAGATGTCATTGCCATGTCACTCATCCCCACATCCTATTTGAGAAAACAACATTAGCCTGTGCAATGTGCTCTTTCCGGCACACATTTAAAAACAGTTCTGGTTTTCTGGAACAGAGGAGACTGAGTTATAGCAAAAATAAAATCTTAACTCTTGTGCTAAACAGGACGCTGAAGGAAAAGAAAAACCAGCAATAATAAAACACTTTTTAAAAAAATTCAAAATGTTCATGACATTTCCCACTCAAGTAATAACTAATATTTAAAAGAGCTCTTCCCATTGAAGATTTTTATGTAAAACAATGATAAAGACCAACAAGTGCCTTAGAATATAATTCCCCTTATTTTTCATCAATACTTTTGTTTACATTGCTGCTTAAATCAAGGTTAAATTCAAATAAAAGTACTCAATATTAATCTGATCCCAATCACTTTCAGTGGATTTGTCCCTGGCTAGGCTAAAATTTTAATTAAAAGACCGCTCAAATAGATACAATGTTGAAAGCAGACTGCACTAAAATTATAAGGAGATAAAGACATTGTTATGGAGAAAAATATTCAGAACATAGTATCACTCTTGCCTAATGCTGGTAAAAGCAGAGCCCTTATTCTGCAGAAACATCATGAATATGGAAGTGCAAAACTGTTCAAAGTTACCTTGGTTTCAAAAAAAACCTTACATTTCATAGAATCAGAGTTGGAAGAGACCCTGAGGGTCATCTAGTTCAACCTCCTGCAATCCAGAATTCTCAACTAGATCATACATGAAAGATGGTCACCCAACCTCTGCTTAAAAGCCTCCACAGAAGGAGAGTCTACAACCTCCAAAGGGACACCCTTCCACTGCCAAACAGCTCTTACAGTCAGAAAGTACTTTCTGATGTTTAGTCAGAAGCTCCTTTCTTGTAACTTGAATCTTATTGGTTTGGGTCCCAGCCTCAGGAGCAACAACGGGCCCAGGACAGAACCCTACAGCTCCCCACTTTTTCCAGGATGATGAGGAACCATTAGTGAGTACTCTTTGTGTCAACCAACTACAAATCCACCTTGTCCAGTCCACATTTTACAAGCTTTTCCCAGGCATGTGGTTAGGATTAAACCACATGCTTAGGCAAGGTAAAACCACTAAGATCACCTGATGGAGGCCACAACTAAAAGTCTGAACCAGCAGGAAACCCACATTCAGGTTAACACAAGTTCTGTCAGATATGCCATTTTTATACATGCCTTCAATCAGAAATGGTAACAACAACAACAAAATTACTTGCCCGTCTGCATAATCTGTCTTTTGGTGCTTTTCCAACCTATTAAAGAAATGGTTTCTTGTTAAGTGTCAGAATCCATTTAGTAAAAGCAAAGAACTCAATACATTGGGTTTGCTCCCATCAGTCAATGTAGAGATCCTCTCCCTCTCATTATTCCCTGCAGGCAAAGGAGAGGAGGTAGCCCAGGAGTTTTAAAAAATTAAGCTTCCTTTCTGTCTGATCAACACACACACAAAAATGGTTCCCTTCCATCTGGGACAAATTCTGTTTTGTGAACTGCTGTGCAATCACAAGGCACCTGGCCTCACCCAAAATCCCAGAGTTGGGCCAGCAGGAAAATCAGTCGGTACACAACAAAAGCAACTGACACCTGAAATACTAAATCCCTGGCAAATTTTATCATAAAACCAAGCAAAACAAAATTGGTTAACTTTTTTTTTTTTAAGCAAGAAATGTATTTAAAATGCAGCTGCAACATTTATCCAGTTAGTCTCATAAAACTTTTTGATTTAAAAGGTGCACCTACTTATTGGAAAAACAGGGGGTTTTTAAGGTAAGTACTTGCAAAATTACAGATAGCATATGCCTTCTGAAAAAGTAATCTTCTCTCAGCTTATGGGAGAGTGAAAAGTGAGAACGTCCCTTCTAAGACAACAACAAGCACTACTCAGAAGGGGGGACGTTCTTCAGAACTGTTTAAATCTACATATGTTTTTATGTGATCATTAAATTAGCCCACCAAACCCATATCATTAGCGGACTATGATGTATTTAACTGAGTGCCCTAGTTTAAAACTGATTTCCGTAATGTTGCCCCCACTTCATAGAAAAAGAAAAGGGGAAAGTATAATTCAGTATTTACCTTGTCCATTAAATAGGTAGCAGCAGAAAGTCTTTTCACGATGAATGTGTTCCACATCATCAGAGCAATTCCTAAAACAGTTACAGTAGAAGGCTATGTCAAAAATATTTTTTGTCAGGCAAGATTCATAGGGTGAAATCCAACATTGCATGAGCAGACGACTTCTTGCTGTTGTTCCCTAGTGCCCCACACAAACACACCCATGCCCCCCAATCCTCTGAAACAGATTTGAGGGGTTCTCACGAAGCACTAAGCTAAAAGGAGGAGAGGACGAGAAAGTCCTGTTGTACAAGCAAAGTCCGTTCTAATCACAGATCGCCACAACTGAATATCATTGCACAGGATGCAACGTCTTTGAAAAGTGTTGATGTGAATGCTTCAGTGAAATAAAGAAGATTGCTTTGGTGGAAAAGAGCTTCCTCTATTTATACTGCTTTGAAGGTGGAAAGATTTTTCCAGTGGTGTTTAAGTGGGAAAGTCATTAAATGCTGTACTGATTCAGTAAGCAAACTCTAAGAAGGATTTGGGGGGACTGTGACACTGCCTGAACGTTTTCTTTCTTTTACCGAAGTTCTGACCTCTTAAACCAGACCAACACACTTCTCTCAAGATTTGTTCGTCTAGATAGAATATACTAGTTTTTAACAACAGCTTCTCTCAGTCAAAGTTTGCAGGGAGAAACCTCCATAGATCAGTTTGATTGAACAGTAAATACCACTTCCGCCAATGTCTCCCGAGAATTACATAAGCTGATCCTTCCATAGTAGCTGCCACAAAGAACATTATAGCTGTGAAATCCTAACCACACATTCCACGCATACAATTTTGAATCCATCATCTCTACTCCACCTCTACAGATTGACAGCATGCAGAATCTTGTGCTATTCAAGTATTAAATAGTTCTTTCATGCTTACCATACTGAACATGAGCATTATTGATGCATCTGAGATGTTCTATAGACCTGATGAGAAAACGTGCTTCCTTGTATTAAAGAGAGAGAAACAGAGCGTTAAAATTGGTCAATGCAATTGTCAGGGAACTGACATCAGAGCCTGAGGCAGAGGGAAGGCTCTCAAATGATGCTGGAGAAGGGCCAAGCAGGGAGAGAGGCAGTTCAGCAGAGGGGGAAGCAAATCAACGTTACACCAGGGATAAAGGGAGGCAGATGGGGGAATCGGCGAGAGGGCTCCAGGACTCTTCACTGGACACCAGCAGGGAGAGCACGGGTCCTCCGCTACCCACGCCCTCCCTGCGCAGAAGACTTCCACGCAGGGAGAGTAGGAGGAGACTGGGCGTCAAACAACTTTTATGTTGGAAGAGGTTTAAGAAACGCCCACTGACGGATTCTGCTAGCGACTGAGGCAGCCACGAATTGAAGGGCTGTCCAGACAGAAAGGTTTAACAAGGCAACATAGCCAGGAGAGGCGGCAACTTACGCACGAGCAACCCCATACTCATTATAGCAATGAAGTAAATAAGCTGAAAGTTGGTGCCTCTTAAGCTACTTGTTGCAAAATTTGTAGCCTTGACCTAACATTTCAAACTTGTTTTTTCAATGACATTAGCTTTGCAGGCTGAAACTCAAGTACACACACAGAGGAGCATTTCACTTTTTCTTTCAAACAAGAAAGCTGAGAGTAGGTTTCCCCCCCAAAAAAGCTTTGTTCTGGAAAGATTATTCAGATAGAAATAATAATAGCTAACTGGCAGTCACTGCAGGGTTTAAGAGAGCAGTTATAACAACATTAAAGCAGCTGATGCTGTGCATAAGAATGTGGGAGAGAGATAAGAAGACTGAAAATAACTTTTTTAAAAATATTGTGAACCACAGTAACAGTGAACTTGTCTCTTCGGGCTCATTCGGACTTCCTTTTGCACTGTGTTTTCTAGGCCAAGGTCTGAGTGTTTGTATTTGTGTGTGTGTGTGTGTGTGTGTGTGTGTGCACGCATGTGTGTTTTCCTGGTGCTTTCCCTGGGAAAATCAACATTTTACTCCTGAATCAGAGCAAACAGCAGTCTGCGGAAAACTTGATTGCTGTTTGCTCCAATTCAGCGATAAAATGTGGGTTTTCCCAGGGAAACAACAACACTCTGACACACAGCATTAAAGCCCAAACCTGTGCCCAGAAACATGGCACAAAAGGAAGTCTCAGTGTGCCCTGATGCACAAGAGTATCTGGGGTGCTGCTGCTTTTTTCAATCATCCTACACTGGGAAAACTCCTCTGACTGGCTGAATTCAGTCTAGCGTGGGAGAGAGGGTCAATAAGGATCCACCAGATGATCTCTGAGTGATTTACAGTAGACAAGGCAAAACTTTGATTCCCAATCATTTAACAATAGTAACAAAAGCAGGCAGCTACATTAGGCTGGTGAAGTTAAGGAGAGGAGTTTTGTCTGAACGGGCAGAGCGCTCATTTCAGTTCCGGTACTCAAAACAAATCCTAAACTCAGGATGTGCTGAGAGACGCCCTGTTCTTTCATTCTGCATCTGGCTCTGATTGTTTCTTTTACTAGCACTCCCAAGATCTACCAAAACAGATGAAAAAAGTATGAAGTTTACCAGCCCCTGATCTAATGCAACAGCCTTATCTTCCAAGAAGCCAGCTTTATACTCTGTATTGCTATGTGCCCTAATTTGCTTTAGTCTGCAAAACACACAGACACATAGTTCAGTCTAGCATTGTAGAAGCTGATAATGTGAAAACAGCTAACAAATTATGACAGCTGAGCTGAGCATTACAAACACAGTGCAAATTTTGTCCTTCTTGCAAAATAAGTGGTAAAGTCGCTTTCTAACTTGAAACTGGCCCGAGCAGCTTTTTCTTTCTTCAATGAGTCAGTCTTGCGCGCGCGCACACACACACACACAAACATATATATATATATAATGCTAGTTTACATTATTTACATCACACAGCAACAGCACCTGTAAGGTAGGAAAGAGGCACTGAAATGCCCCATTACCTCTGGGTCCTTGTTCCACTGCACAACATACTCCCAACAGCAATGTGCATGCAGCACATCCGCCTCCAGGCTACAAGGAAACTCCTGATATGCGAGATGCAGTAATTCTAGAAATAAAAGTTACAGGAGATTGTTCTTTAGTAATTTGCTGTTTGCCAGTTAGAAACAATTCAGTCATTTCTGTTTGCTCCTGAAGTAACTTTACATTCAAAGATTTGCTTTGCATTTTTACCTAATATGGTTTCCAAGCCTTTCTGGTCTTCTGCGGCCTCTTCTAGAAAACTGCTGTCTGCGTGTGGCATTTCCTCTTTGCTTTCTGATTCTTCTCTCTGCCTCCCCAGCCTAAGTAATGGCAGACTGAGGTCCTGCTTGAAAACCCATTTTGCTACGCTGTCAGCAATGCCTCCTAAGACAAAGTAAAAGACTCAGTTTTATGTTTTGCTTTGAAAACAAGCCTAGGCCCAGTTCACACATAACACCCCGTCCCCTATCAAATAGTACCATCTTCCTCAGGGGAAACCAATGTGGTACCTTCCAGATAGTTGGATTTCAATTCCTATCACCCCTAACTATTGCGCATGCTGGCTGGGGCTGATGGGAGTTTGGAGGTCCATCCCCGTCCTGGATGATAACGTTTCAGGTTGCAGATAGCTAAGAATGCAAGAGTCCTGCTGGGTCCGTCCAAAGGCCCATCTATTGTAGCATCATGTTCTCACAGTGACTAACAAAAATGTCTGTGGAAATGTCCACAAGCAGGACATGAGTACAATAATACAAAATCATGCTGGGATGCTCTTACATGGAAAAACTCTTCCCCATATATAGAAAAAGAGCATATCAGTGAAAAACGTTAGACCAGGCATGGCCAAACTTGGCCCTCCAGATGTTTTCGGACTGCAACTCCCATCATCCCTAGCTAACAAGACCAGTGGTCAGGGATGATGGGAATTGTAGTCCCAAAACATCTGGAGGGCCAAGTCTGGCCATGCCTGGGTTAGACAGAGCCTTTTACCTCAGAATGCTAGTTTTCAACATTCAAATGTGAAACAATGCATGTGCAACCTAGCAAAGCAAGCACCATCTGTGTAATGAATGGCTTGGAAGGCCACATTCCCTTGGGGGTCTTCTTTTGGGGACTGTACACCAGCACAAAGCCACCCCACCCTGCCATTTTCACCCATCCTCCCTCCCTCCCCTCCTCTCTCGCTCACACACCACCTAGTCTCTCTCTTACACATCCCACCAAAATTAACAACCATCCCCGATTGCACCAGCATTGCCTTTCTAAGAAACTTCCAGGTTTGCTCCCCCCTCCCCCACTGCATTTTATGCTTTTGCAGAAACAGGTGTTGGGGGATAGGGAGAAAGGAAAAGCAAACAGGCAGTTCCCCACCCACAAGATAAAGGTTGATTCTGTTGAATGTATGGGCAGGCCCAATGTTTCATATCCAATATGAAATTTCTTCAATAAATTTAGAAGGGCCGAATTCATCAAGTATCTAGAGAGAGAGAGACCGCATGGCTCCCATGCATTGCAACCCTGTAATTGCTCCTAATTTTTTTCTATTGGATTCTCCAGAATGCTCAGAAAACTCAAACCTGCTGGAACCTTTATACCGATTATTTAATGCTGTGTATCTTATGTATTTTTACTGCTGTATGTTGCATTTTAAGGTATTTTATTGGATTGAGATTTTAAACTGTTTTAAGATGCCCCAAGTGGTAATGGGCAGTAGACGAGCATGATAGAAATGTTTACACACACACACACTCTTAATATATAACATATAATCTTCCTACTTCAGGCTGAGCTCTCTCACCCAGGGGTAACTTTGCTTGCGGTTGTCATAATGCAAAGAGGAAGGCGAACTTTACCATAGTGGGCGCATACGTCATCTATATGCAATCCTGGCCTATGATCTAAATTAGTCTAAGCATTGAGAAAAAGATAATTGTGGAGAGCTTAAAAAAAAAAAGGGCTGATCGGAGCAAAGGCAGGAAACAAACTGAAGCCCCTGTAAGAGACATATCCTGATACTTCCTCTTAAGTTTAGCTTTTTCTGCCTTCAATCACTAGGGGGAACCAAACCCACAGAAGAACCTTTGTCATGGGAGAAGACAACATTCAAAGCTATAAATTCAGATGGCACTATCATTGCTTAAATCAAAGCAATTGCTTAAGCTTCCCCCTATGCGGTTTTAAAAACCATCTTTTATTAAGATAGCTTACCATCTTAATGTCTCGCTTGAGGTCAATGTCAACATGCACCCAGTCAATCCTTTGTTTCACCAGCCCTTTTCTCTGCTGGGACATGAGCACTGGTGCAGGCCACATAAACTACTACTGACACTAATCCCATTATCAGATTCTACCACAGTGAACCTGAAATTGTCCTGTAAAGACTAACAGAATGCCTGATCCTTTGCTCGAAAACGCTGTTTTTTACATTCATAACTGCACATCTTCCTTCAGGCTTCTTCCACACCTCTGGGATTTGTTTTATCTCTCTCTTACACACACACACAGTTCAGATAGTACAACAACTGCGGCTCCTTACTGACTCTAACCCAACCCTGCTGGGGCAAGTTCTTCAGCATGAAACCACAGATCAGCAGTGGGGGAATTCTGGACCACAGGCCCAATTAGGCCTGGTAAGGAGCCACCTGCCCCACACCTGATGCCATACGTGATATCAGGTGTGGGGCAGAGAAAGAGGTACATGGCTCCCAAGAAACCACTGGGAGTCTTGAAGTGCACTCCCCATTGTTCCTTAGTAAGCAAGAAAGGGACAGCAAGCTAGAGGCTTCTGATAGCCATGGTGACTGCTAGGACACGAGGCAGGGAGGCGAATACGAGGCAGAGGCAGAAATCCAGTAGAGGCACTTGCTCACAGAAGATGGGGAAGACCTTTGATTTCCCCTGCAACCTCCTGTGTCACCTCCTAGGGATCGTAAACTCTCTGGAACAGATTTTCAAGGGGCATGGGGGCTGCAGGGGAATGGGCAGAAACTGCCCACCTCCCCACTTCTGCAAATGAACCCCCCCCCCACTCATGGGTCTTTGGATCTAAGCCAATGTTTTTCAGCACATTCACCTTTTCCTCCTTCCAGCAGCTTCTTCACGGAGAGTCTGCCAAGAGGCTCGGTCTGCAGAGCTGAGACTTGGCTTGTCTTCTTGTTCACTTTACTGTGAAGGAGTGTCTGGAGAATCAGGCAATCCTCTAACTGCTTTAGCAGAAGTTTCCAGTATTCGGTATCGAGGGAGAGCGCTTCCCAAGGGTCCGTATCGGCACCTACTGTGATATGGGAAAACTAACAGAAAAGATGGTTTTGTCCAAGAAGGCAAAGTAAGAGTGAAGTTAGCAATATTTTGCACCTTACACAATGCAAAACCCAGCTAGGAAAGCTATAGCAAAACCACAGCTGCCTGATGAGTGTAACTATGTGATGAAAGCGTGCATGTGAAATGTAGCCCTTGGAGAAGGAAAAATAGGAAGAGAGAAAGCAAATCTCAGTAAACACAGCGGAAAACAAAAGATGTAACCATCACTACTTCTACTGACCTATTTCATAGGGTTATGAAGATAAAACACACTTCATGCAGGCAACTCTCCAACCATTGACGGAAGGGCACAATAAAAAATGTGAATGAATACATAGCCATCATCTGCACACTAAAAGCTGGAAGTTTGTTGTACCAAAGCTGATCTTCCTAGGACTGTAAGAGCTCAGCAAGAGCAAAAACAAAGCACATTTAACTGTTAACGCTCAGCTGGTGAGAAGGAACACAACTACAAACAGCCCAGGAAGCACATAATGCATTAAGTAAAAGATGGCACTCCAATTTATCCTGCTAAGTTTACTAAGCTGTTAGCATGATCCATCTTAACAAACCACGGTCCTGACGCCTGGATATCTCATGTGCCTAGAACAACAACTTTCACCATACCTTTTCCAAATGGTGGCGAGATTAAAATCAGCAGATCACAGAGGGGCTTTATAGCTTTCTTTCGGGAAAGCAGCAGCTGCTATTTGGTGGGGAGGAATACAGCTAAGTTACTTACTTTCTTCTCCGCTATGCTATCTGTTATCTGTGCTGTTACACAATGCCCGACATGAGCAGATAGCAAAGCGGCTCCGTTGTTCTCAGATTGAATACACGCCGTGCGCATCTGCTGCCACCAGGGGGAAACGGACTGGGAATCCCAAGTCTCATCTATAGCGACTGAAACAGAAAATGGGAAACTCCGGTGTGCAATTAGGTCAGCTAAAATCAGCAGAACAAGAAATAAAGCAGAAGGAGAGGAAACCACACTTTTAGCAAAGTCAGCTCTATAAATACAGCATTGATCTGTAAGGGTCGGATCCAGACACCTTCTCCCATGAATTCAACAGCTACTGTACTTCTGTTCATGGAAGAGATCCCAATCCAGTAGCGGCTCCTGCCGGTGGGAAGCTTTTCAAAAACGGCGCATGCTACAAGATATGCACACACTATCGGTCATATCCAACACCTGCTGGAGCCATTTTTTAGAAAGGGAAAGGAGGGCTGTGTCTTTTTATAAAGCACCTGTCATTTGCTGATGATGCAGAGCCTGGCGCTGGTGCTGTCACAAGGGTTTCACGGGTCCCATGCAAAGGAGACTTCTACCATAAACTCTGCTCCATTTGGCACATGCAAGTTTAAAGCTGACCATTAGAAAAGTTGAACAAGGGCTCTGGAAGGCCCTGCAAGGCTCCTGAGAAAGTCAGCCCACAGACTTTGGATAGGAAGGGATGGCCACTCAGGGTGGTAGTGATTGAAGGTCTTCCTGACTTTATGTGATTTTACATTTGCGCGCAGACTTCCGAAACATAACCCACACATACATTTCAGGCCTACTGTACTGCAGGAGTCCTCGCTATGTCCCTGTTTCTTAAGAAGGGAGCAGAAAATATTTCCAGAGGGGTTATCTGCCCAAGAAGACCCCAGAAAAAGCCAGCAAGGAAGTCAACGAAAGCCCTCACTGTGGTCCAGTGAAACAAGGTTAGGCCTGGGGGTGGGACCAAGTCACATCTCATCTAATGATTCAATTGTCCAGCTCTGGGCTTGTAAGACCGTCAGTTTTCCCTTCTGTAAAATGGGGCTCTGCTTCACTGGGATGAAAAGCAAAGCAAAGAAGCTGGGAAGACCCTGAGCAAACCAAAAACACTATGTGAAGTACATAAAGTGTTGACAATATAGAAGTGACCCTTAATGTGCAAGAGAGATAGAACCTCAGATTTCTGTGCCCACATTTGAGTACAAACACCAGGCTGAGAACAGGAAATTTCCAGCCAGCGCAACCGGACGAGGAGATATTTTGAAAGGTCTGTTGCACCTGAGCGTGCAAAAGTTCAGGTCTCCTAGGCACCATAATGAGAACATTGGTGCAGCCACAGATGGCCCTTAAACAAACTTCTCAATTATTCATCGGTTCATTTATTCTGAAATACATTCACATGCAACATTAGGTTTGGCTTTATTCACGGTTCTACTTATTGCTTGCAGAGTCAGGTAAAGGGCCCGTTTTTCAAGAAGTAAGCATTTGCCCATTTCCATTCTGCGAACTCATCTCACCTGTCATTTTGCTCAGGAGGGAGAGTGCAGCATGAAGGCAGCAAATTGATTGCGTTCTATGAAGAATATCCTTTTCCTTAGAAAGCCACACACTGAGAAGCAGGGACTGGGGAAGGTGAGAGAGGAGAAAGAGATTTAGGATATTTCTCTTAAATAAGAATAGAGTCAGGTGATTACAAAAAGCCACTGATGGGCTAAAACACTCTTAGTTCTAAAGAAGATTTAAAATTACCATTAAGGCATTTCAGACTTAATTATTGGTGTTTATTGGGTTAATCGGCCGCAGTTTATTTACTGCATTGTGATTTCACTATTTTACTGTTTATTGTTTTAATCTGCATGCTGCCTTGAGATTGCAGTAGGCGGTTTGGAAAGTTGTTTCTACGCTATGCATCCGGAGACGTCTTCAGATATCATAACCAACTTTTTGACTATAAAGAACAAAACGGGAAAGCTAATAATAGGACTCACCAATAATAGTTGGGGGCTAAATCCTGCAGTCTCTAGTGTCTGGCACATTTCTTCTGTGGAACTTTCTCCATGTAAACACTTCCAGAAAAAAAAGCTTCCTGCACACACACACAAAACACACCACACATGGTTTCCCCAATCAATTAAAAATGAAAGCTTAGCCCACTGAATGGATACTTTCTGCTTGCGAACAAAGCAACCTTTCAGACAGTAATGCATGCAGATTTGGCCAATTCACATCAGCAGTAAAGACTAGTGGGAACTTGCACACAGCTTTCCTCTTCTCCTTTCTGCATGAGGCCCACTAGGTACTACTGCAGGTCTTTCAGCCTGCTATCGCAGGGCTACCTTGACCCAGAGCCCTCCGTTCAATCCCAATGTCAATCCCTGGAGCTCTTTCCCCAATTCATTACTTCAGTAGATGAGACAGCTCTAAAGGTAAAGGGACCCCTGACCATTAGGTCCAGTCTTGGCTGACTCTGGGGTTGCAGCACTCATCTCGCTTTATTGGCCGAGGGAGCCGGTGTACAGCTTCCGAGTCATGTGGCCAGCATGACTAAGCTGCTACTGGCGAACCAGAGCAGCATATGGAAACGCCGTTTACCTTCCCACCGGAGCGGTACCTATTTATCTACTTGCACTTCGTGCTTTCAAACTGCTAGGTTGGCAGGAGCAGGGACCGAGCAACAGGAGCTCACCCCGTCATGGGGAATCGAACTGCCGACCTTCTGATCGGCAACTCCTAGGCTCTGTGGTTTAATCCACAGCGCCACCCGCGTCCCGTAAGAGACAGCTCTAGCCAGACACAAATGGGGGAAGCCCTCAGAAACAGAGGAGCTTAACGCGTATATTGGAAACACCACAAAATGTTCATACCTAAAGCCACATATTCTCTCTCGTCCAGCTTCTTCACATTAATCACATCCTTTTCATAATCCATATACTCCAAGAAGGTTTTCACGGGCAACACGCCATCTTTGTCGTCCGCAAAATGAACCGAAGGTTGAGTGTTCTGCTGCTTGTAGTTCTCCAGTAACATCTGCAGCCTAGTAAACTCTTGTTCATCTAATCGGAGTAATTTAGCCAAGTCCTTAAAAACAGTAAGTCAAATATGCAACAGTGAGTTTTATATGTAATCTTGGCAGCATGACTAACGATTGCAACTCAATGGAAAACAGCCCAAAATCTTACACTGGATGCTTAGTATCAATCACTGGAATATAGCTATAATGGAGAGAAACCCACAAAATTGGATATTTTGACAAGGACTAGAACTGCCAGACACATTTTATATGATTTGGCATTCTTTTATGACATATACAGCAGAACCATCATATCCATGTCTGGCAAATTTAGAACTATAGTTGATGATCAGATAAAGATGATAGTCTTTACTTAGACTTTGTTATTTTAACTCATGTGCAACTACACATCCTTCATGCCTATTTTATGGTTTTAATTTCCGTATTTTAATTCTATTATTATTATTTATTGAATTTATATATCACCCTATAGCTGGGGGTCTCAGGACAGTATATAGAATAAAATCAAGATATAAAACCACAAAATACATAATAAAAATAAAAACAACAATCCAATAGTCCCCCCCCCAAAAAAAACCCCCACATTTTAAAAGGGCATAGGATGTAAATCAGATCAACCAAAGGCCTGGTTAAAAAGGAATGTTTTTGCCTGGCGCCTAAAGATGTATAATGAAGGGGCCAGGCGAATTTCCCTGGGGAGAGCATTCCGCAGATGGGGAGCCACTGCAGAGAAGGCCTGTTCTTGTGTTGCCACCCTCTGGACCTCTCAAGGAGGAGGCACATGAAGGAGGGCCTCAGAAGATGATCTCAGGGTCCAGGCAGGTTCATATGCAAAGAGGCAGTCCTTGAGGTATTGCAGTCCTGTGCCATTTAAGGCTTTATAGGTCAAAACCAGCACTTTGAATTTTTGTCTGTTGTTACAACTTCTGTCTATGTTATATGCAGTATAAAATGAAATAACAATAATAAATTTACCCCAAAAAATGCAACCGTGAAGATGACATCCATTCTGGAAATATTAATAGCAGTTGTAGGAGATGCAGGAAACACAGCTCTCACATTGCCATTCTCTCAGAGCAGATACTGTTTTATTAATGCTTCTAAAAAATGATGACCTATATTGCACAAGCAGTTGGGAGTAGCCCTGATTTTTAACATGCAAGTGACAATTACTTAAAAGGTAAATACTATTGAGAAGCCACCTTTAAAATACATTTTTTCTCTCTTGTAATGCTCATTTCCTGCATATACTGCACGAAGCAAGTTCTTTTAAAGGTCTAGGCACAAGTACCTTGATCAAACAGCTAAGTACCAAGAAAGGCACTAATTAAACTGTGTTTAAGTTACAGGATCATATAGGATGGTAAAAAAAAAAAAAAAATCCTTCACGCACCATTTTAATCTCTGTGTACCAAGTCAGATCACTGGGTCTATCTAACTCAGTATCCCCTACACTGACTGGCAGCAGCATTCCAGGGTTTCAGGAAGGAGGTCCTTCCAAGCCCTAAAAGGAGATACCAGGGGCTCAGCCTGCCTACAAAGTTATGGTGAGCTGCTGAGAGCAACGGCCTTTAAAACATTTTATTTTAAGAAGGATTAGTACTTTATTAGAAAGCAATGTTTTCGTCCGTATATTTTTCTTTCGATCATAACGCACTCCAAGGATTCTTAAATTTCTGTCTTTCTCAAAACCACCACCCCCCAGCAAAAAAAAATGTTCACACTACTCACGTTATTAGACGGCACAATCTCACACGGCACAGTCAGAGAATTTAGCTTGCTGACTGACTCATGAAGGTGCATTAGTTTCAGTTTGTTTGCACAGAACTGTAACAGCCCTTCATCGATACACTCCATCTCTGCCGGGGGGGGGGGGGGAGAACACACACGTATTAGTCTTAATGAATGTGCAATGGAGCTGCAAGATCGCTCTGCAGCTTCATTAAACTCCCCGTTAAGCAATATTTCCAGAGCGCAGCTGCTTGCATGAGAATTCTGTTTTATCAGGTTAAAGTCTGGGTGAGTTTTGCCTACAGGCAAAGGAAGTGTCAGCTTCTCTTTGAAAGCAGAATCTTGAGCAGGACGCTTATCAACAACATGAAAATCAAAAGTCTCAACACACAAAGAACGTCTCTTCACAGAAGGCAGGCAGAAAATGAATTCCCTACACTGGCTAACAGTTCATCACACACATTTTGACATTTGTCACACGTCGCTTACATATAGGGCGCAAACCATTTAGTTTTGAAGTCACCCAGGTTGTTTTTTTTTACTTCTGGAAGGTTTCAATATCTACATTGTGACTTCTGCTTACTGAAGCAGCTCAAGACTTCATTAACAAGAAGAATGGGGTTGTCTCAATATGCAACTGAAGCAAACGAGACGGGCCATAACATTTGATTTTACACTGATCAGAGTACAGGTAGTTGGGGTGTGGGGAAAAATATGCTTATGTCACATACAAAGGATCAGAAAAATGCTGCAATAGCAAATCTGCTTCTCGTAAGTTCAGAGTTACACTGTGTAATAATTAATTTGCCTCATATTAAAAAGCTACCCTAAAGATTTCCCTGTTCAGAGACTCACCTTGCAACTAAGGGATCACCCACCAAATAATGAGTTTATAAGTTAACTGTCCGCATGCAGGCTCTGAGAATGCCAAATGTAAGGAAGGATCTCTGTTGAGGTTGAGATTCCCTATCCTTGCAGAAAGAGAGCAGGGGGGTGAGACAAACCCTACCCCACAGCACTGTAGACAAGGGGTGTATATGTGTGCTTCCCTTAAACTTCCTGGAATCTCTTAAAGCAGAAGCATGCGCCCTCACCCCTTTGGGAAAGAAAGCGATCACAGGGTTCAACTTAGGGGGACCAAAAAAGGGACAGGATCCCTTCGTCACCAAAGCAGTAGCGGGGGAACTGTGCTCAGGGAACAGCCCAATTCTCTTTCTCCAACAACTGCATCAGGAATGAAGTTCAACCAAAAGTGACTGTGGGAATGGCAGGGGCTAGATTCTGCAAATTAGGGGCGAGTTCTCTCCAAGCATGCACTTCTCCCTGTAACTGATCAGCCGTGGGGAGAAGACAGAATCTAAAAATCAGACCTCCCTCAGGGTCCCACTTGCTTCTTTCATATGAAATTCAGTCACCATTTTGATCACAGCCGAAAAGATATTTCGCCAAACTGCTTTGAGGTTTTTTTCTTACAGTCCAGCAGTATATGAATTTCATGAAATATATAAATAGAACAAATGATGACTGTGAAAGTTTCAAGAGTCGAAGTATTCTGTCTCCATTTTTACTGTCTCTATGGGCATTTGGTTCGATCCAGTAGGACTCTACTTACGTTTTTACATGGTTACAGAAGACATTTTCACTCACCCTGACTTTTTAAGGTATCCATTAACGTTTGCGCTATGCTTGTCAAAGAAGACAGTGGCAATCGCTCGTTTGCAAGAATGCTTTCCAGTGCCTGTCAGTAAAATAAACCACACACGAGTCAAATTTGCTCCATCATTTCATGCTGTTAAAACAAAAGCCATGCAGGTGCTTCCTATAAGCAGCCATCAGCACAATTCCAAATAATCTCTCTTGGGCTGGAATGCTTTGCTGGGCCTATGGTGCATGTGCTGAGGGACAAGGGCTGTCAAGGTGGGGTGGAAATGCCTACGAAATTAATCCTGCATTTATAGTCTGATCTCCCAAACCAGTTCTGTAAATCTAATTTGTAAGTTACCTAAAGCAACATTGTTCAAAGTGTCAGGGTGGACTCCTTAGAGAAACAAAGGCAGTTGCCAGAAACCAGCAAGCACAACCAACACTACCCCACAATATGAATGCACTGATTGGCCCAGGAAAGAGAGGGAGGGAGGGAGCCACCACCAAGCAGGGGGCTATAATCTCTGCATGTTGGTGGAAAATGCAGCAACCCTTCACTCTTACAGTTCGCCTCCCCATTTAAAGAACTAAAATGTCTGCACATAGAAACAAGAGTTGTTAGGCATGCATAAAACAGTAACAAACCGTTTGCCTAATTTGGATCAAAAGGCAATAATGAATGCAAAATGAAGCCCTTCCTAGCTCATTACCTGTTTTTTAGTAGCGGGATATTTAATATCAAGAATTAATCCCTTCACTTCAGCCTCAACCACGTCTGGAAAGAAAGAAAATAAGAAGAATAAAAAATAAATGCACATTACAAAAGAGGTTTAAGAAAACTAAAGGGTGCCCACTTTAGCTATTGGGGGCTCCTGCAGTCAAGAGAGCAACAAGTGAGAAGGCGCAGAATGCCTGCATCATACCACTTAGGGGCAGTGCACTACAGCCAGCCATTTCCAACCAGAATGATCTGGCTCTGTTGCAGTGACACAGCACATCAGGGAGAATTCAGCATCTTTGGACAGGAGCCAATGCAAGACAAACTTCACTCTAATTATCAAATTAAAGCCTAAAAGTAGAGTACAGTCTAAAAGTAAAACTGCCTATCATGTCACCCTCTTGTTTCAGTTGTGGGATGTTTGTTTTCCTGCCTTGCAGCCCTGGGGGCTTCTCAACTATTGTCACAAGTAGCTCAAAGTCTAGCACTGCAAAGTGGAGCAAATGGGAGACGCTTTAGGCAGAGCTTCATTAATAGCTGCTGGGTATGATACTAGGATGTTTCAAACAGCAGAAGGAACTACACAAATCACAGCTATGCAATAGTGCCTTTAGCAGAATGCTGAGACATGTAGGAAACGCATATGCCTCCATGCAATCCAACCCAAATTCCTTACCCCCCAAAAAAAAATTCTAATTAAAGTTATGACATGTTTTCCACCCTTCCTGATTATCTCTGTTACATCCTCCTCCAAACACATCCCTTGACCCCTTTCTGCCCCACTACAGTGGCGGTCTGTACTAAGATTTGCAAGTTAAGGAGAATCATATGGCTTTTAAAAACACACACACAAAAAACCCCACCATTTTTCAATTGCTGAAGCTAATGGCAAAATTAAGTCAACAGACTGTTCACTTTTCCAGGAGCAGTGCATCTGCAGAGCCAACTGTGGCGTCATTTGCACCAGGCATCAAGCAGCTAGGCCCTAGATTTTTTAACCTGTCACTGGGAATTCAATTTGTCTCTGCTGTTGCACAACTTGTTTACTTACAACAAAAAGCAGCATCTCTCAGGTCATAAATGAATAGCAGAGAGGACTAAGTTGAAAGGAAAGCTAGAGATGTGAAGCAAAGGAAAGGGGTGTCAAGCCTGCATCCTGGGATGTGAACAGTCCCTGGGGCTTTCAAGGGTGGAGTGGAATAGATGTATCTCTCTCTGCTCCTTGCCAGATCTATACATTCTGCACAGGCTGGCAGCCTGAACTGTTTGCTCTGTTTTGTTTTGTTTTTTAGGGGATGTCAGCGTGTATTATGCTCATGGTGCGACCTCTACTTGGGGTTTAACCTGACAGCTCAAATTCACTTGGTTAAAAATAACATGGAAAAGCACTGAAACGAAGTTGATACTGTACAAGGTGAAAGGCACTTCCACTAGAAATGCCAAGTCTCTAGTTAAGCCTTTATGCCGCTTTATATGTGGAAAGACCATATATGCAAGGGGTAAATTAAATACAACATAGTCCCACTCCAAAATAATGCATTGCTTTACGCAAGATGCAGCTTAAGTTAAGCGACTTCTGCAGAATGTGAAGTGCAATGCTGTTGTGCTAGGAAGTTATAATATATTTTAACCTGCCCCATGACTGAATCACATTTAATCATTATATATTTAATGTAACACGACATTAAACTAAGTGTAGTTTAACGTAATATTACCCCCATGAGTACAAAAAATGCATGGCTACTGGCAGCATGAAGAGTTGATACTCTTTTTTCTTACATAATTCATGGTCTCTCTTTAGGAATCTAAATTCACTGTATACATTTTTAGGGAAGGTAATTTAACAACTAAATTAGAGTTCTTTATGAACTGCCCCCAAATCGTGAGAGAAGAGAGAGGCATCTCTTAAGACAATTCAACTATTCTACAAGTGATCATAGGCTTCCCAAATTTATTATCCAAGCAAATTAGCCAAGTATTTCTCCATGACAATTTAAGTGCTCATTTCCTTAGACCATGGAAGCTCTGCACAGAGGTTAGATGATCAGAAGTAGCAATAAGTCAGAATCAAATTAAGAATGGGTGTCACACCTTTCCAAACTACATCTTCATAAACCACGTTTATGAACTCAACAGCAGTTATGCAATATTGCCAATTCCCATCAATTTCAAAAGACTGTTCACAGGGGGGGGGGAATCCAAAGGGATTGGGAGACTACTAAAATATGTTTGAATTTCATCTTGTTTGGACCAACTGCATGGAGAGTTTGCACTTTGGCAGCTTCTACACGGGTGGCACAATATTTCAATCAGATATTATACAGGTGTTGTAGTGCAGAATATTAGTGATACTAATGAATTTTGTACACAACAACAAATTGCTTAAATGTAACAGAAAGCCTATCCCTCTGTGATGTAGGTGAACCTCAAAAGGTACCTAAGTAAGTTAAGGAGAGGCTGCTGGATCAGACCAGTGGCCCTTCTAACCCAGAATCCTGTTCTCACAGTGGCCAACTAGATACCTTGTGAAACCCTCATGCACGACCCAAGCAAAACAACCTTCTCCCCTCCTGCAGCTTCCGGCGACTGGTATTCAGAAGCATACAGTACTGCCTCTTATCATGTTACATCATACTATGACCCCATAAAAAAAGAACCTACCCAGATTTAATGTTTTAGCTTTCAGCAAGGCAGTCAACTTCTTCACTAGATGCATATCCTTTGCTCGCTCACTCTTCTTATCACTAGAAGGTATTTGTAAGGGTAAACACATGAAATTGTTTGAATATCAGCAGTACATACCAATTAATGTAAGAGATGGTAGCACACAGCCTCCAAACAACTAATGAAGACGTAAAGGTCCATAATATTAAAGCAATTGGGACGGGAGGGGATAAAAGGTTCTGTTTTTCAACCGTAGCAAGGCAGACGCCTCTGCAAGTTCACAAGGGGTGGAAGTCGTACAGTTTCCTCTCATGTCTGTCCTCAGCATGACTTGGAGGTCTGACGCCTCTCAGGATCAACACACTAATGGTCACTGATGGTAAACATTCAAAGAACTACGTGAACACTTCCAACAGGGGAGTGTTCAGCCTCCATCGTTACAAAGTCATGTATTAAATATTTACCAAGCACACACACCACCACTGGGCGCGGAAATTGTGTCGCTTTCCACGGGTGATGTCAAATACACTAACTGACAGCTGCACTCCAAAAACTATTGAGAGCAGCAGTGGCTGCACTAGCTGGGGGTGGTAGAACTGAATTTTTCCACAATGAACTATCACCATTAGAGCAATGCAAAAATGCAATATCTCTGCAAGAGCAGCACTGTTTCAAGAAAAGTTGTCTGGGTTCCCCAAAACAAGTGAAAAATAACTGTGTGTTGGTAGCATACACAAACACAGAGGTCTGGTTCATACACGAGGCTAAGCCAAATATTAGTTTAGTGCAGACCCATGGGTTCTGGGTTCAAAGCTTACCATTTGTCTGAAGGAGACAACCCTTGAGTTTGGACAATATGCTTAGCTAAAGCATAGCATAGCCTAGCTCATAGCAGTGCAGCAGCAGGACCAGAGAAGGAGCAAAGTGGCTGCATTCTCCTCTTCAGGAGCCTGCACACTTTTTGCATTCATGCTAAGCCAAGGTGACATGCAAACTGAGCCACAGTCGCCTAGAAAGATGCCTACTATTTCTCTGAAACAGAAGCAGAGCATGCTGGGTTATCCAATAGCACAACAGTGTTAGTGATTTACCATGAATGCACAGTTCACTCCTATTTCACATCTCACACAAGTGGGAGCAACAAATCACAATTCTTTTGCTGAGGGTTGCATCTGAACTGGGGATCATTCCCCCTGCCCCAAGCAAGCCAAGGTTTGTTTTTGGCTGACTAATTATGGTTTGCTTGAGCAAAGCAAACCATAATCCCTGGTTCATTCATAGCACTACACCTAGGAACATGCTTTACTGCTCCCACTTGCTAGAAGGAAGGAGAAAAGTAGGAACAATCTGTGCATTCATGGTAAGCCGTGGACTATGGCTTGCTGCAACATGTGAACACAATCAGCGTGAAGCTCATCAAGACTTACCTCAGAGCTAAATGAAAAGGGACATGAACAGTTTTTACTGTTCCTGACATTGGATCAACAAGACAGATCTGGTAAGTCTGAGGCTGCCAACCCTGACTTGTTACATTGTTCAGGCCCATTATTTTATAACCAGGATACAGCAACCTAAACAGGCGTTTGACAAATACAGAAAAAAGCAGAACCATCAACATACACTTTTTGCATAGGGGAGAAGTAATATCTGGAAGGTTTAAGTACAATAAGTTGGAAAACACACACGTACACAAGCACACACCACATTGTGAACACTCAAATTTTGTGGCACATAGAGGTGGATATACCAATATTCTGTTTCCTATTAACAGCAATTTCTATGGAGTCCAAGAAAACAACATAATGATCATTCTTCAGCAGCATTCACACACATGTATTCAAGGCAAATACAAATCAATTAAGAGAAAGAACTAAGGCACTTTCTTGAGCCATCTGAGCATGCTCAATCCTGCTTCCTGCTTGTGGAAGGCTTTGGGAAAAAGCAGGTGATGAAAAACATTTGGGATATGGGTTACAGGTGTGTAGACTTCCACTTGTACAATGGGACTTCTCCTTCCTCTTCCCTCCCCAGCAGTGTCCCCCCTCCTCAAATCTGCTCTGGGAAGTTTCTCAATCCTTTGGAACAGTTTTGGAAGGGCTTGGGGTGGGGGAGAGGGGAAGTCCTGTTGCATGAACAGAAGTAAATTTCATTTCATGACAGACACAATTGAATGACACCCATTATCATAAGTGCTTTCATTTCTTACCTGCAGTGTTTTCCTACATTGAAGGCTCCAACCCGTGGACCTTGTTGTGTGCTCCACACTTCCAAAATGCCTCTCCTGGGAGCATAAATCACAAGGAACTGAGCAACTCTGCTTGGCCCCTGAGGCGTGCCAAAAGGAGAAAAATCCATCTTTTCAGCTTCTCTTTCATGTAGGTCTTCCACAATCTGAATCCATCCAATCTGTGCATCACGGTAGCCTGCAAGCAAAAGTGAAGGAAGTCATTATTAAATACAGTGGTGCCCCACAAGACGAATGCCTCGCAAGACGGAAAACCCGCTAGACGAAAGGGTTTTCCGTTTTTGAGTTGCTTCGCAGGACGAATTTCCCTATGGGCTTGCTTCGTAAGACGAAAATGTCTTGCAAGTCTTGAGATTTTTTTTTCGCTTTTCGCCCCCTTTAATCTGCTAAGCCTTTAATAGCCTTTAATAGCCTTTTAGCAGCTAATCCGCTAAGCCTTTAAGCCTTTAATAGCCGCTAAACCGCTAATAGCGCTAATCCGTTAAGCCGCTAATAGGGTTGCTTCGCAAGACGAAAAAACCGCTAGACGAAGACTCTCGCGGAACAGATTAATTTCGTCTTGCGAGGCACCACTGTAGGTTGCACACACAGTTTCTCCCTGTTGACACTTGAAACTGCAACACTGCACTCAATTGGATCTGCTAAGCTAAACTTCGTATGATAAAACACCAGCCTTGCCAACAACTTTGGTGCATGTGATGCTTGATTCACTCTAAAAATTCTTCCTCCTGTTATCCCTATCTCATTGGCACCCTTTTATGACAGCTGCCACCTGTCCCTCTTTCTGCTCCTATCCCTAGTGCTGCTGCTTTCCCTATTTCCAGCCAACAGTAGTTGCTATTGTGCATGCATGTTAAGACAGGCATTCACACATCTATGTAATAATGCGTGTGAGTATCTTCAGGGAAGCTCTGATTGGAAGACGTATGTCAAGGAGTTCACACTCGAGACTTTTAAGAGGTACACAGAGAAGCAAGGCAAAAGCTACTTTATCGTCCCAAAAGATATGTCAGTATGTTGTACCTTTCCACATACGAACAGCAAGCCCTCTTGCGACATCCAAAAGAAGAACCCTTCCAAAATCATCAGTTACTGCTGCCAAAGAGTTACAAGGAGACAGACATATCCTTTCTCCATGGCGACGAGAATCTGGAATTCCAAACCTAAGACCAAATAAAACAAAGCATGTAAAACAATCACAAAATATGGCACCCTTGATACAACAGCATATTCAAAGCCAGTAAATAATGGTCCAGGTCACAAGTCGTGGTATGCTGATGAATGCGCTGAATTGCTCCCATTTCACACCACTTTCCCTGAGTTGAGAACAAACCTTGGTTTACTGTGACAAGAAAATTAGAACTTGTGGTCCGTTTCTCCCAAACAAATCACTAGTAAGCCAGGAAGAGAAACAAACTAATAGTGTATGCCATGGTTAGATTAGGTCATTGTTTGCTGCTCCCAGCTCAAGAAAGGGTGGAGCAAACAGGAGTGATTCAGCAGCGTTGTACTATTACACTGCTCATTCAGAGAAAGCCATGGTTTATGGCTTATCATGACATGTGAATGCAGTTATCCCCATGCCTTGCCTTAATTTCTTAATATTAGATAACAGTAAACCAAATCAATTCAACAAAATACAATGAATACTTTGATTTTTGGAAGATCCTCTCAATGTACAGCAACTTCAGGAATACAGTCTTACAGGCATCCAGAGGGGCAAGCCATGTTAGCTTATTGTAGCAAAATTGTCACAGTCTTAATAGCTTATTTTAAAATTTGTTTAAGTATAGGATTGCCCAGTCCAGCAAACTGCAGTGAACACTTGCTGGGCAAACCAGGATCAAAACTGAGCGGCAAGCACAAAGTTTGCAGGTTCAGACAAAATGTTTGCTCTTACCAGAATCACAATAAGGGAAGTGAACCACCTGAAAGGAGCAGAGTGAGGAAGTCCTCCCCACTCATGCACATAATGCTCCACTATGCTTTGGCATGATTTCTGAACCACCCCTGCATGCTTGTGTGACTTCAACCGGGGCACGAGCCTGCCAGAAGTCCTGCACACTCTCATAGAGGCCAGTACCAAGTATGAACTAGGCAACAGTCAGCCTATGGCAAGGTGGGAGGGATGGACAACATGTTAGGGAGTTGTGGCAGGAGAAAAGGAGAGGCAGCCTTCCCAACCTGGTACACTCAAGACGTTTTGAACTGCAACCCTGGAAATTGGCCATGCCAGCTGCGGCTGATAGGAATTGAATTTCAAAGCTCCTGGAAAGCCCTAGTTTGGAGAAGGGTGCATTAAAGTGTACTGGGATTGGAACTTTGGGCCTTGCATGAATTTTGCACATACATGGACAACAGTTATGCATTTTCTCTTTTTTTAAAAAAAAAACCTCAGTTCTATAAACACTTGCCTTACAGCTAAAGGAGTTGCAGGCTCAACCTTGGGTTTCTGCTTCTGCGCAGGCTCTTCTTCCTGCTTATGTTTCCACCCAAGCCAACCACTTGAAATCAGGGGGAAAATAAATATAAAAATTATCTCAATTTAGAGAAAACACATGCCAAAGACACAATTTTCAATCTATTGTTCATTGTAGTGTTGTTTTGACTTTCATTACCTGGCAGCATTAAATAATGCAGATGTCAGCTTACTCGCAACTGCTAAAGCAACATGAGACAACAGCGGCTGTGAACTACCCTAGAGGAAAGGTAAAACATATTTTATATAAGAGTCCATTACTCCTTAGAAACTTTCCTTTTCAGGACATCATATTTACAGACAGAAAACTGATCTTAATGAAGACATATCACCTTGAAATGTCTACTATAAGTTATTATTGGTGGGAGGGGGATTAAATATGAAAAATACACCCAAAACAGATGTAACTTCTCCATGGGCCTGTCTAAAAAAAAAACGTTTTAAGCAGCCCAGCAAAGGCGCCTGCATGGTGTCAACAGGCAGGGAGTTCCAAAGTGAAAGGGCTGCCAGATGAAAAGACTGATTTCTTACAACTGCGGATCAAGTATTTAGTGGCACCTGTTAACAGTGCCGGTTGCACAGATCAAAGCAGTCAAGTGGACATACATGGGGCACGGTGATCCTGCAAGTAAACTGGTCACAAGCTGTTAAGTACATTAGCATACAGTATGCCAACAGCAGCACCTTGAACTTGGCCCTGCAGGAAATTAGGAACCATTGCACATCTCTGAGCAGAGGTGCAGTATGCTGACAGAGTTGTGTCACTCCTTGCCAGCAGCCATGCTGCAGCATTCTGCACTAACTGCAGCTTCCAGATAAAATAGAAGGGAATCTCCATATAAGAGTGCACTGCAGGAATCAAACCTTGACGTCCCCAATGTCTGAACTACATACAGGTCCCTGTATCTGCACGCTCACTATCCAAAAATTCACTTATCCGCACTCAAAGAATTATGCCCAACCTCACTATACTCCGCAAAGTCACTTATCCAAGCATCTGGCTTCCTTACTTCCTCGTGGGATTTTTTTTGTGCTGGTCAGTGGCAACAATTTCCAGGCAGAGCTCATGGAGAGGGGAACAGGGTAGCCAGAACAGACAAATCAGGGAGAAGGAGAGGTTGGGCAAATCAGTTTTTTACTTTGTCTCTTTTTTGCTGATTGGCTGCAGCCATTTCAGGGAGGAAAAATATAGAGAGATGCAGGAAAGAGAGCAGGCATTAGAAGTGCTCCCATAGAAAATAATGGAAATCACAGGCTCGCTATGAAAATGCTCGCCTAATGAATTATTTCCTTGGATCTTCAGAAAGTGGGACCTGTGTTTATTGTGACCAAGCTCTCCCAGTTCAGAACAGTCAAAAGTTGTTGTACCTGTCACAGCTGGCAAAAGGTGCTTCTAGGCACTGAGGCCATTTTCTGGCCATTTTCTTGGAAAGCAGAACCACTCACTCAGAGCATCACTGCAGCTGGTAGCTACAAACTGTAACTCTAAACCATGGTTTGATTATACACACAGTGAGGAAGGAACATCTGGCTCATACCCTTCCCATTTTTGCTCCCCCATAGCTGGCAGGATCTTTGCAGCATCCAGCTCTGCTTATTAACAAGCCAGTATGGCTTGAAGTTGGCTTGCTTCGAAATTGACCATTGTTTGTTATAAACCACAGTTTGGTGGTTGGAGGAAGCAAGGAATGCAACTGGAGCACTGGTCCGGCTGGTCACAACATCTCCCTCACGCAGATGGTGGCCCTATCTCCAACTGATGCACACAGGCTGAAGACTGAGAAGATTCTGGTAGGGATTTCAGGGCTCTTCCCCTTCAACCTCTCATCAGGTGCAAAGACAAGGCATTTCAGCTCAAGTTTTAAAGCATTCTGATCTCCAGTTTTGCTCCCCACATGCGTCTTTCCCCCCAACCGACCCCCCCCCCCCCAAGAATATCAGCAAAAGCAGACAATGAAAATATGCACAGCAGGGAACAGGAATGTCCCATCTCCCAGGCAGCACACTGCACTTCACAATGACTGATTCATAATACACTTACCTCAAGCGCATAAAAGAAACCCGTGAAAGGATTTGACCCTACAGTGATGTACTGAGACATAGCAGGAGGGTTATTCTTTATGGCTGCATTAAATCCACCAATATTGGAGGCAGTCTTCATTTGGTCAAAAGGCGAAAGAGTCATGATACCTATTTTGTTGTGTGTTTTTTTAAAAAAAAGAAAACCAATTTTAGAAATACATGTCTCCAAATTTCTAAAAGCCCTACATGAACTTGGGCCCAAATATTATAAGAAGTTTAGAAAAACAAGTCTGTCGTTTCCTGAAAGCTCCAAGAAGATTTAACAACAGACGCTCTATTAAAAATATGCGGGCCTGAGGCATTTTGAGTGCTCCATACTGAGGCAGAGGTTTTATTGGCAATAAACTTAATACGGCGCACAAAAAGAAATCTAACGATCTTGAATATTTTCATTATTCATGAATATTCCATGAGCTCTGGGACTGCAGGAATAACCCTTCATGGTTGAGTGTGAAGACTTGTCAGTTACCTTACCCTTTAATACCCAAGTGTAGACAGGGAGAATACAATGACAGTGGCTGCCTCCCGAGATGGGGTTGGGGCCAGGAAGAAAGTAGCAGCTGCGTCCTTCTGCTGACGCTGGGATCCAAAAACTTGAGCTACTGATATAGTAAACTAAACTAAAAAACTGAAGACAACCAGAAATGATACTGTCCTATTTGGGTAATGTATGAACTAAGAAACCAAAGAGAAGCGCAAATAATATAGACCCATTTATTTCACATAATTTATGCACTGCTTGATAGTGTAAAAAAAGGACCCTCTAAGCAGTTTACCAAAAAATAAAGGAATTCAAACTCAGTTTTCTAAGCATCCAGGTAGGCTTGTCTGAATAAGAATTTTTTCAGTAGGTGATGGAAAAGGGTACAGTGAAGGCAGCTGCCTGGCGTCAATAGGCAGGGAGTTCCACAGTGTAGTTGCTGCCACACCAGAAGATTTAAGTTCTTACAAATGCAGAATGTGTATTACGTGGCACTGGTTTTCATGTAGTATATTAACTATGAAACCAAAGAGAACTAGAAAAAATGGTAAGGGTTACCAAAGCAGCTTACATGAGGTGTTTTTAAATCCTCTACAGTGTTCCTATATACATGCTTTTTATTATTAACTGTATAAGCTGCAGCATCCATTCAGTGACAGGTCTATTCATTTAATAGAGTGAGCCAATGTAATACTTACCAACACTAACATGATCAACTATAGTATCCACATCCTGCAGACCCCATTTCTTATAGGCCAAAGGTGGTGGCTGAACATTCTCATTGCCTGACGCTGCAGCTGTCCATTTTTTATCAGACAGAGAGAAAGAGAGAGAGAGCAGAAAACTATTGGCTAGAATAAAGTTATGGTACATTGACCAGCACAAAGTAATGATAAATGTACGTGCTGCTGAACTGAACTGACAGTTTAAAAGGCTCAGTCACATTTAATTATTCCTTTATTTAATGTAAAGCAAAACTTAATGTAGAAATTGTACTGTGCATCATATTGCCAAGTCTAAGTTTAATTGAAAGACTGATATCAAAACTGCAATTTTATATGCACTTACATGAGTGTAAGTCATGCTTATTTCAGGTTAGATATGCATGGGATTGTGTCATAAGTTATTACTTACAGCCAGTACAGTACAGGACATTTGGAAGTTAGGGATCTATATTCAATTCGCTAATCAACCAGTAAACTAGGTAGCATTTAGCAAGCCACAGTTTTTTTGCAAGAACATATACCAAGTCCTTGGATTGGGGGAAGGGGGCTAAATAAAATTAGAGTGATTAAAGCTTCTTCCTTTTTACACAATACAACATTCAAAAGGCAAGCAGTTCACTTTGGCACATGAGGTAAAAGTAAATGTACCAAACCTATACCAAGTTCTCAATGAAACAAGAATATGTGTTGCCAGCAATAACAGGCTCCCATCTGATACAAACTATACCAGTCATTAGAGATCCAAAATTCAGAGAGTACTCAAAGTTACAAGTAGCCAGCAGGACAATAAAATTATGAAGGTATCTAACCTTTTACTAAAGTGGGACTCCTCTGGAGCCTGGGTGCTGTCAGATTTCCAGAAAGGAAAATTTTCCAAATTATTTTGGAAATAAATATATTTCCAAAATGCAATGGGTGATATCCAGTATTAGTCATATGCAGAACAGAGCCACGGAAATAAATTGAGTTCATTGATTTCAGTTGTCTACTCTGAGGATGGCTAATGCTGGATATCGCCCAATGCTTTGTAACATCCCTGTATGTATTGCCAAATAATAAAAAGTTTAATACACTTTTGCCACTGGAAGGCACGCCAGAATGGGTCAAATTCTCCCACATGCCTGGACCTACCTCTTGCTACTTGGTTTCGACAAGCACGGAGGGACTGAAATAGGCTGAAACCATCAATTGTCACAACTGCTGCAGGATACAGGATGCTCAGTTCCTCGTTCTGAAGAAAAAGAAGATCATTGCCTTGTTGTAGCAAAATGAATTAGTGTGCTATCCTGTTTGGCTTATTTCACTTTTAAACAAGCACCAGTGTTCATTCAAACTACAGCACCAGGATCTGAACCCAGCAGTGGAGCAGAAAAGAAGTGCGGAAAAGAAGACTCAACTGCTGCAGGCTCATTGCTCAGCACTTTATAAAGACAAATGGGGAAGTCTAGGTTGTCACTTAGGGATGTGGGTGGCGCTGTGGGTTAAACCACAGAGCCTAGGACTTGCCGATCAGAAGGTTGGCGGTTCGAATCCCCGCAATGGGGTGAGCTCCCGTTGTTCGGTCCCAGCTCCTGCCAACCTAGCAGTTTGAAAGCACGTCAAAGTGCAAGTAGATAAATAGGTATCGCTCCGGCGGGAAGGTAAACGGCGTTTCCGTGTGCTGCTCTGGTTTGCCAGAAGCGGCTTAGTCATGCTGGCCACATGACCCAGAAGCTGTACGCCGGCTCCTTCAGCCAATAGTGAGATGAGCGCCGCAACCCCAGAGTCGGCCATGACTGGACCTAACGGTCAGGGGTCCCTTTACCTTTACCTAGGTTGTCACTTAGTGCAGTTTGGCACAGCTCCACGTCACCAGCCTTGAAACCTCTACAACAAGTGTAACAGTATAAGATCAACATCTGCAGGAAAAACTAATAACCTAGCATTTGTAACTAGATTCAAAACATGATCTCAAACCCTGGGTTGAAAGCACATCATGGTTAGCCTAAACTAGGGGTGGGTAACTTTTTTGAGAGCTCCAGTGGCTGCACAAAAAAGTGGGTGTAAATGTTTTATTTTTAAAAAATGGCATGTGGTGGGCACAAGATCCTTTTGACATCCTGGTGTTACGGAAAACCAAGGGAACAGTTTTTGTTTATAATGATAAATTTTTGAGGACATACGTGGTTCAAGGGCTGCAGTTTCGTCAACCCTGTCCTAAACTATGATTAATAGTGCAAAATGCAGTGATGAGCCATGACGAGGCAAAGTAGGGAGGGCAAATCTACACAATAAGAAAGGGGCAGCAGCAAGGACCCACTCAAGCCAGCAAGCCCAATTCAAATCCTTTAACCGGTTAGGGATTGTTACCTACATAGCCCCAATAAATTTAATTCCCGCAACTCATTCAAAAAAAAGATTCAGCTCTGAAAGATTAAGAGTTGAAAACCGTATCATGCTCTGTAATGATTTCACTTTCTTATATATCTGCCATCATACCTGCTCTGTAACTCCAGGGTGTCGTGGAATCTCGTAAGTTCGGCATTTAAGCTGCATGACAGGATCTTCGTTCAAAAGCTGTGCCAGCAGAAGTACTCCATTCTAAAAAGTGAGAACAACGAAGCTGAAAGAGTATTCACTCTATTACTGGTGAGATGGGGCTGCAAGTCACAAAACCTCAAAGGTCACATCACACATTACATGTTTTTCCAGCACTACAGTCGTACCTCTGCTTACGTATCCCTCTACTTGTGTAAACTTCGGGATACGTAAGCGGCAAACCCGGAAATATATTTCCAGGTTTTTGCCACGCGCACATGCGCAGAAGTGGTCCCTCTGGTTGCAGAAACCTCAGGATCTGACCGGAGCTCCAGAACAGATCCCGTCCACAACCGGAGGTACCACTGTATAGGAATTTTAATCTAGTTTTGAAGCATGGTGCCAGTTATGTTGGAGGTTTGTCATAAATACACTTGAATAAGCAAGCAGCTAAGTAACGGCTGTCTTCTTGGGGCATTCATATAAAAAATATCATACGCGCCGTACTTCAGCATCGTTAATTCTACACAAGAAAACCATGGTACATGAAACAGCCCTCAGCAGGCAGGCAAATCATGGTGACAAGTGACAAACCTCTGTGTAGAAGCGAACGTAGCCAGAGGTGAAGCCCACTACAATACAGGTCCAGTCAGGTCGTCCTGTTGAGCTCCTGTCTCAAAGAAAATGAAAGGCATTCTGTCAAGTCTTACTCTGAATTGATGAAATTACCATAGGTGTCTCTAAAGGCAGCACCAGGCTTTGTAAAGGAGGTCTAGCTGTGTGTGTGTTTTTAAAGGCATTTTCTTACCTCTTTTGACTTGCCAGTGGGATGCACAATACACTGCTCACACATTCACTAGAGGAAAAACACAGCAGTATTAAGCACTCTGCCACGAAGAGAACTGTCAGCATTAATAACATTACAAAACAGAGTGGGATTCATCTAACAAACCCTGTCAACAGAAGCCCTGAGCAACAGAGCTTCCTCCCCATACGTCCGCTGCAGTTGGTCAACAGAGCAGAGGGAATGTTCAATACAGGCCCTCTTCCACACAAACCAGTATACACCACATAACTGCACACCTAGTAAAGATGGATTTATGGCACAAGCCATTTGTTTGCATATTCTGTGCTCATGTTTTCCTCCAGCTACGCAGTCTAGATTCGTTTAGGCTTTTTCCTGCCCGTGCCTAACAAGGCCATGGACATTTCATGTTAATTAGCCCAGAATAAGAGAACGTGAACCACTGCACATCATCACGGGAATGCCACGTCTAAATCCAGCATCTCTGTAGCACCACCACTACCCCCCTCCTTTTCCTACTTCCACTTCACAACACCACTCAGTGTCTAACTGGAATAGAGAGCTTCACAGATTCATCTAGAGAAGCTACACCTAAAACCGTGAAGAGGAGACGAAGCCTACAGTCTAAGAACCCCCCAAAATATTGCAAGCAATTAAATCAAACAGGGAAATTTTAAATTCAAAAGAATGTTTTAATCACTTATCAATTAACTGATTAAGGTCTGCTGTTCTAATTAATGGTAATTTAATAGCATCCTTGTGCCTGTCTAAAAAACAAAGGTGCTGCCCTTTAAAGCTTTTGGCAGTTTATGATGCATAGCAATTTGCCGTTTTCTTCTTCTAGGTATCTTATTTGCTATACGGAATCATTGTGCTCAACCAGTAGCTCTCTTCCTCCACATACTTTCCCATTCTCATACATGAATAGAAGGAATTTTCTCCACTGGAGAGAATGAGAACAAGACGTGTGTGGATGCTTCCTGGAGAGGGCTGGATCTCAGTGGTAGAGTCCCCTTCCTGCCGTGCATGCATAGTCCTGGGTTCAACCCTGGGTAGGGCTGGGAAAGAATCCTGTCTGAAACCCTGGAGAGTTGCTGCCAGGTAGCGCAGGCCAGCCTTCCCCAACCTGGTGCCCTCCAGGTGTTTTGAGTAACTCCCAACTGGCCAGCTTCAGCAATGAGCAGGCACGATGAGAGTTCTAGTTCAAATCACCTGAAGGGCACCAGGCTGGGGGGGACTGGCTTAGACGTAATGAACTACATGGACCAATGATCTGACTCAACACAAGGGAGACTTGTATGTGCATTCCTTTGGATCATGTCTTACATATAAGTTTTGACAGAGCAGTAAAAAAAATAATCAGTGGTGTTCTCATTCACAACATAGTCTAGATCCCATGCCTACCCTTCTTCAACATTCAAAGAGCCACTCCAGCCAACAGCAAACTGCATTTCTTCTTTCCCTTTTTCACTGTGCTTCCATTTTGCTGGGAAGCAGAGGAGAGAAAAGTGGATAAAGTGTTATACTTTAAGGTAACACAGTTAAATTAAAAGGTGATGTTTTTCTTGTGTATCACCCATAAAAATAAAGGTTTCAGCTTCCAGGCATTTAACCATTTTTCTTTTATTCTGCACTACAAAGATTTTGCCTTGTAAAATCTATTTCTCTGGACTTCCTTCCATAATAATTCTATATGCACTTACTTGGGAACAGCTCTAATACTTATTTTAATGCATAAGCCAAAATGGGAAGATACATTCTTTAGCAACCACCTGATTCTTATTGCATCTAAAGTCAGATCATAGCTTTGTTGGAAACTACACTGGTACCTCGGTTTAAGAACAGCCCTGTTTATGAACTATTCGGTTTACGAACTCCACAAAACCGGAAGTAGTGTCTCGGTTTGTGAACTTTACCTTGGTCTAAGAACGGAATCTGAACGGTGGAAGGGCACCAGCGGCAGGAGGCCTCATTAGGGAAAGCGCGCTTTGGTTTAAGAATGGTTTCGGCTTAAGAACGGACTTCCGGAACAGATTAAGTTCGTAAACCAAGGAACCACTGTATAGCAAACGGAAGAGGTTGTTCCATTCATACAAGGAACTCAAAACCAGGGGTGACTTTCATTGGAAGAAGGGGTGGGAGGCTAATTCTCCCTGTGCCCTACATGCCACCTCCCCCACCAATCCAGATAGTTCCCTCAATCCTCCTTTTTTGGTGGCACAGGAACCTACAAGGAGACGCAAGAATAAGATAAAATTGCCTCTTCTCCTTCATGCAATCAAAGTATCCCTTGAGTGAAGTTCCACTTAAAATTCAGGTTTATCAAACTGTATCAATAAAAGGTGGGGAAGAATGTGAAGAATAAGTATTCCTAATATGTGCTTTTGCAGAAGCAATGTTATTTGCTGCAATTGTCCTGTAGTCACCCCCTTAGTGACAGGACCACAGCAATTGTAGAACAGTATCTTGCTCCTATAGCTTTCTTGTTGAATAAGGAAAATCTGGTGACTACCATCCATTGTGCTTAGTCAAGCCCATGGTTCTGCTTTATTATCTGCTGCACTTTGTAATGAAAAACAAGTTTCCTTTCTACCTCCTCCCTCCCAAACCCATTTTCTTTTAGTGCCATGTCTTTTAGATTGGAAGCCTGGGGACAGGGGTTGCCATATTACTGATCTTTGCAAGCTGCTGCAGGAGCCTTTTTTAGCTGAAGAGTGGGGTAAATACACTTTAAATAAACAAACAGAACTCCAGTGGAAATGGGAACAAATTAAAAGTCTGTGATATACTTACGCACAAAAAACACAGCTTTCTGCTCACGAGCTATTGCCATGAGATCATTTGTTGGCGACAAGGATAAGACACAGTCCTGAAGCCAGGAATTTGCCTGAGTCTTAGAAGTTGATTCTTCCTCCTCCTCCTGTGTACAGTGATTTTTAAAGCTATTAATTTTCTGGGCAACATATATACTGTTTTAAAGAAACATATATGTCCACACTCACACAAAAGAGAGCAGCATTTAGGGAAAATGTAAATAAGCCTATTTCCATGTAATTGCAAATTTCGTAGGACGGTGAGAGAACTTGATTTTTCCGCTGTGCAATGGCTCTCAAAGCAAAAGCTATTTTCATTTTGATGATTGTAGTTAAATTTCTTAGCAACTTTAAGGTGTCGTTTGTGCAAAGACATGTTACAAATATTTGAATAAAATAAGGTAGGATGTACTCATAACAGGAAGAAACACTGTATGACCATCAACCTGTAAGGTGGATGGGTGAACTGAACCTTAAAAGTTTAATTACTGAAAACAGTTAACAGAATTACTCAATGGATTATTCATATTATTCCAAGAAACAAAGAGTGCACAGCTACAGAAGGCATAATTAGTAATGAAATCAAACAGAGAGGCTTACAGGTCCTTGTGTTTCTTGTTCATCCCATGCTCCCCAACCATCTTCTTCCCAGTTTGCTGGTTTACCTAATATTGAAAAATTTTAGCTTAGTTTCAAAATCATAACCATGGTCCATATATCGCTTTTAGATGCCTAGAAAAGCATTTGATTAACTATTAATTTTAAATATAGAAATAATCGTAAGGGGGTTTATAAAGCAATACCCATAATAGCCTTTGAAGGAAAAAGACTACATGCAAAGCCACCTCTGCAGACAACTCAGAGGCAGAAGGTGCAGAGTCTAAATACCTGACCAGGGAGAGAAGTCTGAGCCAGCAATCACTGGGCACACAGACCTGCACAACTTGCCTCACATCAAATCAAATGTAGCTTGAGTAGTATTTGTCAATCAACTGTTTTGTAGAAACAGGCAGGCAACAAAAACAGGATATCAATCAAACCACTTCTTCATCGAACATGTCTGGTGAGATGCCTTCAACTTGCTCGTTCCCGGGTTTGGCAAGTCCGCTCCAGAATCCATGCTGCCTTCCGTATAAGCTCTGCTATAAGCACTATATGTCACAACCTATTTCCTCTTTCTATAAAGCATGTTGATCATCTTACAGAAGCAGTGTAAGATCTTTGGTCTAGCATAGCTCACTAAAACAGGTCCTGTATTTTGATACACCTGTCTAGGAACAGGAGCACTTTGCTGTGGTCCCTGACATCACCATGAAAATGAAACGACACAGACGAAATAGACGTTCCTTGGTAGTTTCTGTCACATACTGAAGAAGCTGGGTGTTTCACAACTTAAACTGAAAAGCAACTGGCTTTCTCAGTTTCCCTTTTCTCCTCTTTAGGCAGTTAACACAGTATGCCAAAAGGGACTATAAAGCCATAGAATCTACTGCTTTTGGCCACCAATTGACTAGGCAATACTAGAACAAAACACTTCAGTTTTCAATATTTGCCGAGTTCATTGCATATTTTTCTTTCTGCCAATTTTGTTCAGGATAGCTGTTAGGGCTACAAAGAGCATCAAAATCAAGCCAGCTAGACTACAGCAAAACTACTCTGCCCCATTTCCAAGTATTATGATCAGGTACATAGATTCCACTCAGGGAAAGATGGCATTAGAATACCCAAGCCAAAATGTCTAAGCAGGACTGCTTTTAATTAGAAGTTTATTACTGCCAGCACTGATGTACACCATTTTGGAAGTAACCACTGCTGCTAAAGCCATTACCCACACATAGCTATTTATAAAAACTCCCACGGAAAAGCAATTTATTGAACTGAAAAGGTCTCCACATAGTCTGAAGAAGTGAGTCACTCGACCTTTGTGCATAACAACCAGAATAAATCATTTCCACCTCCGACTCAAATTTAGCAAAGCTAGAAATCCCTATGGCAGACATATTTCACTTTCTCATAGGGAGAAACTGAATGAAAAGCACAGAAGGGCATCGCAAGGAGCTCATCCTATGCCAAGTTAAGCCAGTAACTGTTAGAAAGCAACTGTGAAATACCGTATTTTTTGCTCTATAAGATTCACTTTTTCTCTCCTAAAAAGTAAGGGGAAATGTGTGTGCGTCTTATGGAGCGAATGCAGGCTGCGCAGCTATCCCAGAAGCCAGAACAGAAAGAGGGATCGCTGCTTTCACTGTGCAGTGATCCCTCTTGCTGTTCTGGCTTCTGAGATTCAGAATATTTTTTTTCTTGTTTTCCTCCTCCAAAAACTAGGTGCGTCTTGTGGTCTGGTGCGTCTTATACAGCGAAAAATACGGCACTCTGTTCTATACATTCTGAAGCTTTCTAGAAGAGGCATGTTCACCATTACATCTGGAAAATGAAAATGCTGTTAATTTTGTAATGTTCCTAAAGGGTTTTATATATTGCTGCACCCTGCCCTAATGTTTTGCGAGAGGGAAGTACATAAATACTTGAATGAAGTAATAAATAAATAATCATAGTATTGCTATTAAAAAGAAACAATTGCCAAAAAGCCACAAGTGATCCAGGGGGGGTATTACTTTGTTTTGTTCTTGTTTTTATTATGAATTGTGTGTTTTTAACTTACATTTTTATGCTGTGAACCGCCCAGAGACCTTCAGATGAATAAATAAAATAGATCAGTGTTCAAGCCTGCCAAACCCACATTTAACCCAAACAAGCACTTGGAAACTCCTTTCTTAGTTTTGACCCTATATCTGTATAGTGGAAGTTCTGTCACTGCGGTATAACCCAGTAGAGCAGGGGTCAGCAAACTATAGCCTGCGGGCCAGATATGGCTCGAGGGGGTCATTAAACTGGCCCCCGGCCCTTGCCGCCCACACGGTCAATTCCCGCGCTGGTTAAGCTCCACGCAGAGACTAACTTCCGGGACGCAGCCGGCAGAAAAGTTTGCCGACCCCTGCAGTAGAGGGTAACAACCTACCAGTTGAAGACCAATGTACGAGATGATCTTTATGGGTAAATCCCTTTGGTGCCCTTGTGCTCAGCTCAGGGAAGGTCTTTTAATCCAGTGGATGCTTCCACAGATGGAAGAGGGGAGGACATGTCTGCCAATTCCCCTTTCCTTCCTGCTCCAGCACCAAAGAGTGGCTCCAGAGAGTTGAGGAACCCTCTGAAACAGAGCAGATGTCAAGGGGCCAGGGCCGCCGGGAGAAGGATGAACAAGAACAAACTCTTTCCTCCTCTTATCTTAATAATAATAATAATAATAATAATAATTTATTATTTATACCCCGCCCATCTGGCTGAGTCTCCCCAGCCACTCTGGGCAGCTCCCAATCAAGTGTTAAAAACAATACAGCATTAAATATTAAAAACTTCCCTAAACAGGGATGTCTTCAGATGTCTTTTAAAGATAGGTTAGCTGCTTATTTCCTTCACATCTGAAGGATGCGGGCACCACTACCGAGAAGGCCCTCTGTCTGGTTCACTGCAACCTCACTTATCACAATGAGGGAACCGACAGAAGGCCCTCGGCGCCGGATCTCAGTGTCCGGCCTGAACGATGAGGGTGGAAACGCTCCTTCAGGTATACAGGACCGAGGCCGTTTAGGGCTTTAAAGGTCAACACCAATACTTTGAATTGTGCTCGGAAACGTACTGGGAGAAGTGTCTTCTTAACAGAAGTGTCTTCAGAATCAGAAATACTTTCCATAAATGCAAGGCACCAACTGGATTCCACCCTATGATTTTATTTTAAATCAATACACATTCAATAAATCCACCATTAATTAACTCATTGTGATAGCCAATTGGGTCACCTAAACTCCACCAAAACGAAGAGAATAACAACGGAAGTTAAATTTAAACAAGCCCTTATTCTTAAGCACTGCTTTTTTAAAATGCAGTACGTATTTGGAAAAATCCAATTACACAAATTATCCCGGGTATAATCTTAACTGGGGTGATTTTCTGTGGCATCATGACACTAATAGCCTCTTAGCGATACAGCCAAGTTTTTATTAAAATTAGCATGGAGTCTGCTGCACAATGAGAAATATTAAACAGTTAATTTAATAGCTTGGTTGCTTTTATTATGTTGGTGTCTCTTTATTACAGCTCTAAATCTTATGACAGGTCAAACTGAAAATTTTAAGCACATGCTGACATCGTAAGCTATTCCTGACAACTCTCTTCCCCAGTAAAAACCTTCCCCAAACCATTCCAATCTCTGCACATCTGAACTTCCTCTGCCAGTTAAGTCCACCATAACTCCTCACTTGGAAATAGTTACCTACTTGTCCATGGCAAGAAACAATTACCTTTACTTGACCAGGCAAGAAAGTCTTCAAAACACTTCTTGTTCTATTTTCCTTCTAGGCTATAGGTGATTTACACAAATATGCAGGTTTATTGGAGCTTTTCAAATCAAGGCTCATGCTTGTTGCAAATGCAAGAAAATGCAAAAAATTAATCCCTGGGTACAAGACACTACTCAGACAGCATAGTCACATCAAAAAGCAGGAGAATCCTATGCATGGAACTATGGTTGTGTTTAGCATTGAAGATTATCTGTGCTATCCTAAGCATGAAAGTCACACTCCCAGGTGAGATTTGTTTGGGATTGCATTGTCAGTCGTATTAGCAATTATCTACAGCTCAAGGTACATAAATTTCATTTTTAATAGTTCAGAATGCATCGGTGGGGGCAGGGTAGTTATTCAATTTATATACCGCCCTAAACCCACAGGTTTCAGGGCGGTTCACAGGATAAAATCACAATATAAAAACACTAAATACATAATCAAAATAGAAACAAAACCAACCCAATAACCCCCACAACACATTTTTAAAGGGCATGTATACGCTTCCCTCTGTCAAAGCCCACGAAAGATCAGTAATAACCCTAAATAATATTTTTTAAAATTATTATTATTGATTAGATTTAAACACTACCCTTCATCAAAAGATCTCAGGGAGGTTCACAAGATAAATGCGGAGTAAATAATCTGAAGTAACCACAGATCAGGTTCCAAAGCTCTTCTTATTTATAAGCTCTTTATAACATTTCACAGGCATCATATTTTTTAAATGTACAAAGTTAACGAATTATGAAGGATAATGTAGATTAAGCACAACATTGTCAGGAAATCTTAATTATCCTGTCTTGCCAACACCCCAAAATTTAGGGACATTCTTGCAGAACTCTTCTGGCACAAGGAAGCCACACTTAAAAAGCTAATGAAAACTCTTCCGGGGCTTTGATTTCCTGCATAGCAGGGGGTTGGACTAGATGACCCTCGTGCTCCCTTCCAACTCTACAATTCAATGGTTCTGATTCTGTGACATACAAATAATATGAAAAATTAATTGTGGTTCTGTTGTTCACAATCATTTCTCTGGGCCAAAGCTGTTCCTCATTATAGAGAAGCATTACTTTATTTCTATTGCACAAGGTACCAAATTCAAAACATACCCTGTAAATTACATCTATGGCTCACTTTAATAAGACAAATAGTTTATGCAACGCAGTTAATGGAACACACGAAAATACTGTGACACCTGTTGTCTTATTCCAAAAAGGTGTGACAGGTAAGAATATAATTTTCAGGCTACATTTCTAACACAGATGGCATACTGTTTAGTGAAAACTTTTCCATGCTGTGTAGACTCAGGAGATGCTATGTAAGGTCATTTTTGCTCAGGAGCTACCTTAAAGAATGGCACTTCCAGGTCTCCTCTGAAAGCCACAAGAAATAAGGACAGAGTGGGTCTGCTGAGTTCTCAATATCGGGGGGGGGGGGGGGTGGACAGCAGCAATGAGAATATATTTTGCCTACTCTGTACGTCCATGAAAATCCTCATGCCTATAGGACAGATATTTTTATTCCATAAAGCACATAGCTGAATCAATTCAATCAAAAGGCTATTACACTGATAGCGAATACAAGTGACAAGAGGAGAAAGGGACTATTTTGGATAGTAAACGCCACTGAGCCCAAACTTCAGTGACAGACTCAGTAATTTTGAGTTTTTGTTGTAAAACAATTTATCTTTTTTACAAGCCATGATGAAAGGCAAAGTGTCTTTCAAGAAAAGTCAATTGCCACAACAAGAGTTAACAAAATGCTTAGTAAATCACTTAAAGGTTCTATTTACAAACAAGCAGTACAGTGTATTAATTTTGATAAACAAACAGAATTACATCAGATTTTGCTAAAACTTCACCCCTTCTTTTAAGAAAAGAACAATTACCTTACTATGGTATGTTTTTATAAAGGCAACAGACATTTACAGTTAACTTCAGATTGTAAATGGGTGCACATGATTAAATGCTCATCCCACAAAAATCCCCAGCATTCAGAGAAATAATACTGGTATGTCAAAAAGAAGCTAGGAGGAGCACCCTTCCCCCAACATCTAGTTTTCTATGTACAGTAAAGCTACAATCCTAAAACACACATATGCAAGAAACAGCCTCACTGAATTCAGCAGAACTTTCCTCCAAGTAAGCGTGCATGGATTGTACCATTTTGTTTTGTTATTGCAAAAGTAAGATTGTGTCTTGTGAGCCCTCTGAATCTGAAACGGACACATTTTGCTAGATCTTCTGCTGTTTGTACCAATATAACTGCTTTGCTGCACTAATATTCTGCACTTTAAAAAAACAAAACAAAACAAAACCTCATGAAAGGGATATTAAAACATAAGGTCCAAGTTAGGTATGTGGAATATAATGCAAGAACACATAACATATCCGTTTAGCATTTGGCCTTCACAGGATAAGCAGACATCATCATCTTTGACAATCACAAATGAAGGCAAGTTACTCCTGGGCTAGTTTATTCACAAAACTTGACTTATGACATTGTTAGCAGAATCCAGCAGGAATCCCCAAATCATTCAGAAGTTACATGGAGAAACCACTCTGCCATAACTTTTACTTTGGTTCAGAGTGATGACCCACCACCACCACACCCAAAAAGTCAATCCAACTAGTGAATCGTCAGTCCACAGCCCATGGACTTCAAGTCAGTAAGACCACAGAGCAAAGGATCCCACCTAGTCCCCTCTGTAGAAATAGAGTACAGGTAACACACACACGTTACTTACAGCACTCACAGGTGCCACAAGTCAGCCTTGTAAATAAGTTGGTTTAAAAAAAAAAATTTACTTGCCTGCAAAGTAATATTACTTGTGTACCAGCGGCTGGCACAAGAAGAGAAATAACTCCTCTCCTACAGCAGCCTGCTGTATTTCTATGCTAGGAACAGTGGAGAGACAAGAGCATGCCATCACTCCTTCCCTGAACTACTCCACTCGCCTCCGGCTACAAGGCTAGTGTGTAAAGGCAAGGCTGCCATAAACAGCCCATCTGTCATTCCCTTCTCACGGACACACACAGAGCAGAGAAACATGAAGCTGTACCAGGATCTGCAAGCAGAAGGCTTTCAATTAGCATCGGAAGGAGCTCTACTTAAAGGGATCTACTTCTAAGTAAACGTCACAGAAGGATCTGGGTCCCTGGGCCTTGCCCACGGGAGGAAGAAAAAAACCCAAAAAAACCAGAGTGGTGAAAGGTGCCTTGGGCATGGGGCGACGACCCCTCGCCCCGCCATCCTCTGCCTTTTGGTGTCCCGTCGTCCAATAAGGGAAAAGTTGAGCGATGACTGACAGGAGGACAGCAGGCAGCTGCAGCACCGGTAGAGCTGCTGAAGTGCATTCTTTCCAGCACCCTCTCGGTCCCCTCACTCACCTCCGCCGCTTTCCTTGGCGCCCCCCGCTACACCACCGCCACCGCCGACGCCCCCCTGGCGAAGGTGCGAACACAGGAAATCCCGCGCCGACTCCAGGTCCTGGAAGCTGCAGAAAGGCACGAGCGCGCAGGCCATGTTGGCGCCAAGCGGGCTCTCTCCCCTCGGCCCACGACCACCCTTTTCTCTAAAAGCGACAGCCGCCCCCGCCCCCCTGCGCCCGGCCTGAGCTGGCTCGCGAGCTCGGCAGCCAACACAACCCGGAAGCCGTCGGCGCCTCAGCCTGCAGTTCCGCGCACGCGCACGAGGGAAGGCAAGGAAAGGGAGGAGAGCTGAACCTTGAATGACGGCTCTGGGGTCACGTGGCTCTCAGAGGAGGAGGCGGCGACGGGGCGGAGAATCCCGGCCTCACGTCAGGCGACGCTTCGCTAGTCACGTGGGAGAAAGAAGCAGGTGGAGGGCAAGCGGAGTACTTTAATAGAGCGGGTTAGGCGGGAGAGAGGATCTGGAACTCAGGACGACTCAGCCTCAAAAAAAGATTTAGTGAGACCAGGCGCGGGTTTACTATGGAACTAATGAGGCTTACAGTTTAAAAACTAGAAGGCATAGGAAATTTGTATTTACACGTGGTGAATTTTTGTATCCCGCTTTGACATGGGAGATAATCCAGTACAGCAAAACCTGAGATGTGATGGTTTGTTGTTGTTTAGTCGTTTAGTCGTGTCCGATTCTTCGTGACCCCCTGGACCAGAGCACGCCAGGCACTTCTGTCTTCCACTGCCTCCCGCAGTTTGGTCAAACTCACGTTGATAGCTTCAAGAACACTGTCCAACCATCTCGTCCTCTGTCGTCACCCCTTCTCCTTGTGCCCTCCATCTTTCCCAGCATCAGGGTCTTTTCCAGGGAGTCTTCTCTTCTCATGAGGTGGCCAAAGCATTGGAGTCTCAGCTTCAGGATCTGTCCTTCCAGTGAGCACTCAGGGCTGATTTCCTTAAGAATGGATAGGTTTGATCTTCTTGCAGTCCATGGGACTCTCAAGAGTCTCCTCCAGCACCATAATTCAAAAGCATCAATTCTTTGGCGATCAGCCAGCTCTCACTTCCATACATCACTACTGGGAAAACCATAGCTTTAACTATACGGACCTTTATTTAAAAAAAAAAAAAAATGGTGATCAATGTGGCAGAACAACCCCATTGAAGATAACGGTGGTGACCCAAACATTGTTGCTGCCTCACAAAGCTGGGACCTGGGGAGGCTGGCACAAGCACACATCAGTTATGCACCCCTGGATCCCAGCCTCCCATTTGCTGGTGAGGCTGGGGTTGAAGGGCGCATGGCCACCGTGCCACCCTCCCCAAGCGGCCTTGCAAAGCGGTGCAGGGCTGGCTAGGGGAGGGCGTCAGGAGCCACGTAGCCCCCAGAAAAAGCGCTGGTGGCGATTGTCCCAGCAGCCCCACCCCACCCTCCTGTTCCACAGCACTGCCCTTGGTTATACTGTTCATATGGGAATTCTCTGTAAAGGATCAACACCACTACTGTACCTGGTTTGGGGTGGGCTTGTGTGCAGTAAGATTGACAAATTAAAAATGCAACAGCTCCCCAGGTCTAGCTGGTACACCTAAAATAGTTTTTAAAAAAATAAAAACACGTCCTGAATTGTTTTGTTTTCTAACACAAATATGCAATTTTTCACTAAAATTTGCTTCTTTGCCAGAGCGTTTGAAAGTAGCCAATGTAACATCAGCTTATAAAGACAAAACCAGAAAAATACAGATCAGTGAACTTAAAATCTGCTTTGGGCATGTTTGTGGAAAGCATCAACCTCAAATGATTAAACATATAGAAGAACAAGCCTTGCTGAAGAAGATCTTCAGCAAGGCTGCAGTAAAAGGGAAACTCCCCCCCACACACACACAATCTGCACATTCCTAAGCATATTTCAGCCCTTGCTGAAAACATCATTGTTGAAACAAGCCCAGATGCATAGTAAGTTGAGGTAATTTTAATCTGATTTAGTATTTTAACTTGTGTATGTTTTAATGTGGATTTTTCTTGATTTTATTGTTCAAATGTTTTTTTCTAAACCACTTCAAGGTTTTTTACACTTAAGCGCTCTATAAATTTTATGTAATAAATAAAATAAATAATATTAGTAGGAGGTAAGTCCCATTGTGTTCAGCTGGCTCATACCCAAGAAAGTGTTCAAAGGATTGCAGTCTGACAGTGAGTGCAGTGCTATAATAGCCATTCAAATGTAAGATTCATAGAGTTGAGTGTGGCTTTCTCCTAGATAAGTGGGTATTGAACTTCAACTTCAGACTGTCAACAGAAGCCCCTTCCGTTTTCCTGATTGCATCTCCTTTCCCCTCATGCCATACAAATCAATGGAGCATCATTCAATTTCCTTTGTTCCATTATCTTGGTCTGTTTCACTTATCTAAGATTTATGCATATGCAACAGGGCTCTGGAGGGCTGCCAATAGCTGCCCTTTTTAGTGACACTTGTCTGTGCCTTCATCTCATAGAGAAAAGATTGTAATGAGCACTGTTAAATTCTGTAATGTCCCATTTGGATTCTGTTATGCATGCAGAACTTACCAAAGCACTGAGATATTAAGTAATGCATTAAACAAGGAAATAAATAATTCAGTAAATGAATTACTCTTTCTCTGCAGAGCTGAACTTCAGCACATGTTACCTAACATCCTGATAATTGAAATTTCCAACAGGTCTTGATATCTGTTTTAAGATATACTCCAGAGAACCAATCTAGAAAAAACATCTTAGGTCCACCAGATGAGCAAGTATGAATGACTTTGGGCAGGCATGATGGACCTGGTGTGTACAAAATGCAAATTTAACTAAGCACTTAGAAAGAAAGTTCCCAACCATAGTTAAGACTAACCATGATTTGGTGTTTGGGTGTGACAATAAAGCATGGTTAATTTCAAATAGAGGCTAAAGCTTCCAATCTCTTCCTCACAACCCTGTTGGAGGGGGGAGAAAGGAGTGCATAGCCAGAGGTTTATGCCCATAATGCCAGGCTAAGTTTTGCATTTACATTTGACTCAAATGTGTGTTATCAATGTGTGTTAGTTTTATCCAAAACTGAGGCAAACGCCAGGATTACTTGTTCAAAGCTTTATTTTTTTAACTGAACGATAATGTGATAAACAATAAAATGGTCCAAGATGTGTTTCAGAAAGGCTGCCCTGTCTTTTTAAAACATTCATGACTTTCACAAGGGGCTTATGCAATTTTAAGGCCTAAAGGGAGTTGATCCATCTTTCCCCCTCACCTCACCTTTCAAGGCCAGATTTACATGCTTGCCTGGCTGTACAGAGACCTGCTGTTGCTAAGCAACCAAGAGCCCAACATTTCTAAAATGGGAAATTCACTAAAGCTAATTGAAATTTAGCCAGTTTTTAAAGTGCTCTGAAAACTTCACCTTAAAAAAAAGTCAAGTAAAATGCAACATTTTTGGAAGATAAATGTTTCATTTTAGGAACACGAAGTAATTTACATCAGCAGCTGTTAGGGCTATCACTCTTTCCCTTTCTAGGAGATACGACAAGCATCAGAATTTACGGGAAAACCTAGAGGATTCCTATTCATTTAAAGTTAAGGTTGAATTGAACAGATCAACCGTCAAGTGCAATTAATTTTAAATGGTCCCCTCCCAAAAAATTATAAGCTTTGCATCCTAACTAAGTTCTTGGAACAAAACTCTCAGTGGGGTGGCGGGGGGAGATGGCCAATGTGGCTGAAAAATTAATTTCCTGTAATTTTTAAATAAATGGCTGGTTTTATTGTGGTTATGTGTATAATCCAGTTGGTGCCTCAACCGGCTTTTGATCCAGTGGATGCATCCATTAATAAATGAGAGGGGGGAGGGGACTTTTGCCTATTTCCCTAGCAACTACCCAAACCACTTCCTACCTTGTTTGCAGTTTTTTTTCTTTAACCAAAACCTTGAAGGGGGTGCAGATTGGCAACGTGTGCCCCACAACACTCCAAATCAGAATAATGCCCTTTGCTTCTGTTTGCGGTGGGACAAGGGCTTCCAATGGCATCAGGGTGACCTACTCCCCCCCCCCATACCACCAAAGCTAATAGCAGCTAATAGTAGTAGGAGCGATTTTAGTTGGGATCACAGCTGAGTAGGGAAGTATAAAACCTCCTTTGCCCAATGTACAGCAGTCCCTGTGAAAACACACACACACACACTCTTTCAAAACACTGGTGTAGTTTCTAATGGGTCATTTAGTGTCATGTGTAGTTGGGCCCAGAGACGGTCCTATGACCTTTGGGTGCCTGAATCAGACAGTCCAATTGATACCTACTTCTTCCCTTCCCCATCAGCATGGTGTCTTTCTCTACTACAACTCCCATCAGCCCCTGGAAGAGAGAGATTGAGAGAGGCCCACTGCTGGGCTTGCATACCCTAGCTGTCCGCTCTAAGGTGGCCTCAGGTTGCCATGGCACAAGCCAACAAAGGTAAGGCAGCAGGGAGGGGACAATGATGGCAACACGGTGAGGGGTAATCTTCTCTGTATCGTTCCAATTTTAGTATGTGTGCTGTCGGAGCGAGTACTTTTTTGGGGGGGTGTCCCAATTTGCCCTCCTGAGATGTTGGAGGGTATCCTTTTAAATGCCTACTGAAAGATATGCTGACATGCCAATGCAGGTCATTAAAAATACATCTTTCCGCAATAGCTAACTGATGTCCCATCAGGGGAAAAGGCATGGTATAAATAAATATATAAGAATTATAATAATTAGTGTCTAGTTTTAATTTTTAATGGTTTTTTTCTGTATGGTCTTATGTAGTATTGTACACTGCTTTGATATTTTTCTATGAAATAGGGGTATATAAGGGGTTTTTTTTATAAATAAATAAACTCAATCATTCCATCAGGATGTAGCAGAGAGAGAGAATGAGAATGGAAGCAGGATGGCTCCATCAGCTCTGCTGAGAGAGCAACCACTTTTGCCTCCTCCTCTTCTTGTACCGTTTCCGCTCCAGCTAGTTGTTGAAAGATCTTTGCGACAAAGATCTATCATAATAAGTTCTTCATTACAAAGAATTATTCCTTGCCCTGTGCCTAGTGGTAGGTTTGTCCCTCTAGAGACAGACCGTTAATACAATTCTGGTGAGAATTAACAGAATTATTCCACACTCTGCCTAGTGGTAGGACTGCCCCACTAGAGATAGTCAGTCACTGCAATTCTGGTGGGTATTATTTTGAGAGGTACGGGAAACAATCTCCCTCCAGGGATTAAAAATTTATCTCATCTATGGGCTTTCAGCATGCACGTCTCAGAATTCCCATGATGAGAAGTGCTTAAAAGTTTACGGCCCTGTGTGCTTTTATGTCATCATTCAAAGCAAGGCTGACATATCCGTATAACTGTACTGTTACTACCTTGTTAAGAAACTGTCACCCAAACAAAAATATTCATTTGCTGTATTTGAAGTGCAGCTTTTCAGTGCCTGTATTCATTAGAGTAAGACTTTGATGTCCCAGATCTGAAAGAAACAGCAGAGATGTGATCAGGGGGTGGAAAAGCAGGGTGGGTGGGGGAGACGACACCTACAGAGCTTGTGGCCTTTAATGAGCGAAAAGCTGGATGTCAGGAAAGCAAATCTCACCATCTTTGACAATGAGTTCAGGGGGGACTTTGTGCTAAGAAGCCTGGTAGAAGGACCAGGGAACTTAGCCCTCCACCACAGATACAGGCAAATTTACTGCACAGTAAAATAGGTTGGAGCATTCCTCATACATAATTAACCTGGCCTACTTTCCTGCTTGCAAACAATCTGCGAGTCTTTATTCCTGAGAATGTGTTGGATATGCTGTCAGGGATTTGTTTTCAGATTACAAGTTACTCTGCATTCGTTCACTTTTGTGCCTTGGCGTCAACCCACAAATGTCCACTGGCTTCAGGAGGGGAATTTCAACCAGCTTGCATCCACAAACACCAGCTTGCTTCAGTCTTGAGGCATCTTCTAACTTGCAAATGTGAACCACCAGCTTCTACCCACCAACATTCACTAGACTAGACCGTGGAGATCAGCCACCTTCAAGCCATGATCCTGCTCAGCAAATGAATCTGCCTTATTATCCCACAGCCAGATGATCTCTGTCCACCTGCCATTTTGCCTCCTCCAAGTAGAAGACTGGCCTATGCTGACTGTCCCAGCTATTGGCCACTGTATTTCTGTAGATAATCTTTGAACTTCTTCCAATCTTCTTCCACCGACTCTTCTCCCTGGTCTCGGATTCTGCCAGTCATTTCTGCCAGTTCCATATAGACCATTAAACAACTATCTGACTTTTAGAAGACATGTGAAAACAGCCCTGTTTAGGGAAGTTTTCAATGTTTGATCTTTTATCGTGTTTTTAATGTTCTGTTGGGAGCCGCCCAGAGTGGCTGGGGAAGCCCAGCCAGATAGGCAGGGTATGTATGTATGTATGTATGAATGAATAAATTATTGATCCCAAGAGTTATAGCCAACCTAAGCTGTATTCAGAGTAGACCTTTTGAATCTATAAACTTAGTAACATCAATTACTAAGCATAAAGTATTTGAAGTATCACTCCAGTTATTAAAAACACCAGCCCACAAAGACATTATGAAAGCTAAACAGAGAAGCCTGAAATACTAGTTTCACATTTTATTTTTATTATTTTATTTTATTTTATTTTATTAAAAAAACAGCTTTAAAAGACTGAGTGCACTTCAGTCTAGTTTTTCAGAGGCAACACACATCATGAGGAAGGAATCTATATGACAGCACTGCGGTATGTTTGCAAGGAAAGAGTTAAGCATTTCGTTTCCTCTTCTCTGCTGGAAATGCTTTGCTGAAGTGTAATGTGCAGTTTGGTCCTCAGCTAAGTAACCCTGGTCTTTCCACAACTTGTGCTGGGACTGCTTTCTGTCTTTTGCTTCTTTCCTACTCTGAGACAGAAGCCAGTCAGAAAATGATGTATGAAAAAGCTTCTGGAAAACAAGTATGAGAGAAGGGAGGAATGGACCGATGGAAGCATGTCCCTTAATGGTTTAGAACACATTCTAAAGAGCAAAGAGTTCAATTTTAAGCTAGTTTGTTGCTTGCATCAAACTTGTTGAATTTGTAGTTCACTGGTGTGTATGGGACAAATCTGTTTTTTAGCCTATAAGCCTTCTCATCAAAACCAGGCATCTGTTGATGATATTTACAATGTTTTTCCTGGCACCATTAAGCTTTGGAGGATGGTTAGTTGCAATAAAGATCAGTTTTGGAGTCTTAAAATTATATTGAGATACATACCAGTATATCTCTGTCTGCATATTGCCTCTCTCGTTGGTGCCCTTTTTATTAGAAACTGGAATCTCTGGCTGGCTTCCTGAAAGGCACAATGCAACAGCTCCTGTAGCTGCACAGTAAACTTTACTAGCAAGTGGCAATCTTGACTGAATGAAATACAGTGGTACCTCGGGTTAAGAACTTAATTCGTTCTGGAGGTCCGTTCTTAACCTGAGGTACCACTTTAGCTAATGGGGCCTCCTGCTGCCACCTCGCCGCCAGAGTACGATTTCAGTTCTCATGCTGAAGCAAAGTTCTTAACCCGAGGTAATATTTCTCGGTTAGCGGAGTATGTAACCCGAGGTACTACAGTTGTACCTCTGGATGCGAACGGGATACGTTCCGGAGCCCCATTCGTATCCTGAGTAGAATGTAACACGTGCGTGCGGGGGTCGCGTTTCGCCACTTGTGCGCATGCGCGTGACATCATTTTGAGCGTCTGCGCATGCGGCGAAACCTGGAAGTAACGTGTTTCGTTACTTCTGGGTTGCTGCGGAGCATAACCTGAAAACGCTCAATCTGAAGCATATTTAACCCAAGGTATGACTGTATTTCTGGGTTAGCGGAGTCTGTAACCTGAAGTGCCTTTAACCCGAGGTACCACTGTACTTAGTCTTTTTTTTAAAAGGCCTACCCTACTATACAATGCATCTGTAGAGAAGGGTATTTACAATGGCCAACACGAATACATTAACTAAAACAGCAACAACTAAAACATGTAGTCAGATTGCAACCATCAGTAAAGAGCATCCATGAGTACAGACGTAGGAACAAAAGAAGAGCCCTGCTGGATCAGGCCTTTGGTCCATCTAGTCCAGCATCCTGTTCTTACAGTGACCAACAAGATGCCTGTGGGAAGCCCACAAACAAAACCCAAGCACAATAGCATTCCCCTCTCCTTTGGTTTGCAACAACTGGCAGTCAGAAGCATAACTGTCTCCAACTGTGGGCCAGGGTCTCAACCCCAAACAGCAAACACATCCCATGACCCAATCAGAAATGGGTCAGGAATGGATCAGAAAAACAGAGCAGGAAAAAGGGTGCTCCACCTACAGACATCTATCTACGAGGTATTTGTCAGCTGCTACCCCTACGAGTCTAACACTGGGAACAACTGACTGTGTGAAAAGCCTACGTTGTTTAGTCAAATCTGAAGTTATTACAGAAGTAGATTCAGGAGCAAAGCAAGGCGTAAATGAAAAGCTGATATTAATTAAGATGCAGCTGGTTTGTTCTCCACTGTTCAAGAAAGGTTATTCTAGTGTCCATAAAAGCTTATGTTACAATAAACATGTTAGTCTTTGTGGTGCCACCAGACCGCATTATTTCTGCAACAAATCCAAAGGTTCGTAATGTGGAATCATAACAATAGTGCTTAAACAGTTTTATAAAGTAAGAGAAGAGGGAAATCTTGAGCATAACTGAAAATAACAACTAATAAACAAAACTAATTGTACTGATATAGCAGAATCCATTATTTACAGTTGGAAATAAATAAATAAATAAATAAATAAATAAATAAATAAATAAATAAATAAATAAAATTTATTACTTATACCCCGCCCATCTGGCTGGGTTTCCCCAGCCACTCTGGGTGGCTTCCAACAGGAGATTAAAAATATGTTAAAATACATTTTTAAAATACATTAAAAATAATTGCATTCAAGTGTTAATCCACAGTTGTTGTTTTCTTCTTTGTTTACATATCTATCTTCTTCGACAAATATGGGTGTGTATGTACAATAAATTTTTTAGCATTATTATTTTAATTTCAGGCTGGTGTCAAGGCAGATTAATGGAAACAGATGGAGATATCAAGTGAGTTTGTTCTTGTGGGGGCTGGATGTTGCAAACCATGCTGTTCTGTTATGCAGAATGTGACAGTAATCACATTTGTTCTTTGGCGCAATGGAGTCTGCTATTCAGTGAGGACTGTGGGCATCAATTAATAAGATTATTGACTGCAAAAAGAAGACCTTTCCTCCAACCCATCTAGAATATAGCTGGAAGTCATTCCAGGGCAGGGGATCATGGAACCAATTTGTTGAGCCTAATGGAAGTTGCTAGGAGAGCTTTTAGAAACAGTTGGGATTTAGCCATGGATTCATTTACTTACTATATACCACCCAATAACAAAAGTAACACAGTTACATAAAAAAGGGAAATGATAACATTTAAATAAGCTTAAAACAGCAGCAGGAGATGAAACAAAAACATAAGGAATCTAATAGCAGCATTCCTCCCGACAGGTGTTAAAAATCCATAAATATAGACCAGTAGAAGACTTGGAAATTAGGGAACATCATCAGCAGTGCCGGATTTATGTATAAGCTGAACAAGCTATAGCTTAGGGACCCACTCTCTTGGGGGGCCCCAAAAAAATTAAAGGGAAAAACACCTGGATGTACATTTCCAAAATATAAGATTAAAAACAAATAAAATAAAACCTACATACAGCAAGAGTGTTTCGTGTTGTGTAGGCTCCTACAATGTAAGTAGTGGGCCTCACCTGCTAGCCTGCTCCCTAAAATATCACTGGTTTGCTCATTTCTATATATTGTATTTCACTATTAATATACAGTGGTACCTCGGGATGCAAACAGGATCCGTTCTGGAGCCCCGTTCACATCCTGAATAGAATGTAAGACGCGACGGCACGTCCGCGGGTCACGTTTTGCTGCTTCTGTGCATGCGCGTGACGTCATTTTGAGTGTCTGCGCATGCATGAGCAACGAAACCCAGAAGTAACGCGCTCCGTTACTTCCGGGTTGCCGCGGAGCACAACCCGGAAGCGCTCAACCTGAAGCACATTCAACCCGAGGTATGACTGTACTTCTTCTTAATTGTATTTCAGTTCAACAATTACTTTGAGAAAATACATATTTTGTTATGTGCAAATGGCTTTACAGTAGATACCTATTAGGTCCATAAACTACCATATAGCATATATTCAATATATATATTCAACACAAAAAATAGCGACAATTTGTTGTTGACAAAGGACAGCTGGACATAAAATGGGCCCCATTACCTACAGTAGCTTAGGGCCTCATCAAACCTAAATCGGGCCCTGCTCATCAGGCACCTGAAAGGCCAAATAATAGGTGTCAGGCAAGCCACTCTGTGAGGAATATTTCATAACTAGGGTGCCACCACTGAGAAGGCCCTCTACTAGCCACCTACTGTACTCCATTTGGTGGGGGTACTCAGAGGAGGAACTCCAAAAATATATATTAAGACCTAGGTAAGTACTGTACATGCAGGAGGAGGCAACCTTTAAGTCAAGGTTTCCCAAACTCAGCTGTTTTTGGACTACAGTTCCTATCATCCCTGACCACTGGTCCTAGGGGTGATCTGAGTTGTAGTCCAACAACAGCTGGAGACCCAAGTTTGGGAAACCCTGTTTAGGCAATCTGAGCTGCTTAGAGTTTAAAAAGCAAAGCCTGCCCTTTGAATTGGCCCCAAATATGGACTGGGAGACAGTGCAGGTGACAAAGCACTAGTGTCCTATGATCACACCGTCCAGTCTTGCTGCCCTGCTTGGACCACCAGGTGAAATTTCCAGACTATTTCCAAAGGTAAGTCCACACATGCAACACATTGCAGCAATCCAACAGGGACATTATGGGACATTATCAGAGTATGAGTAACTGTTGCAGAGCTACTGTATCTCGATCTGGATAGGTCTGTGGTTGGTACATCAGTCTAACCAAGGGGTCGCCTGAGCCAGTTCACTCCAGCAGAAATCCCTCCGTGGGTCAGATCGCGCACACGCCTGTGATTTCCGGCGTCTGCGCAGAGGCGATTTTCGGCGTCTGCACATGCGCAGACACAATTTCAAGTGCCGTGGAAGCTAGTCTCCACGCCGTG